TTGACAAATACTCATATGATTTACCTATTGAGCTCATTGCTCATTACAATCATCCAATATGATTATAAGTTCTATTTAAAACGTAACGACAGATAGATGAGAGATGCATCCTGGAAATTAACTCAGGATTGTGAACGAATGCTTAATTATCGATTGCGCTTGAAGTCGAATCCATTCCAAATTTCAACAGTTAGAAAATTGAAGAGTATGAGAACAGAAAACATTTTTCTTAATATTTCGCTGTTAGTGAACCGCAAGATGAAAAAGTTCTGGAAACATTGTAGTGGTATTAACATTTGAAGGATCTTAAGCCGATGGTTTTTGTTGTAAACGGGTACATCAAAGAAATGGATTTAGATGTAGTCTATCTGGCGATCATCAGACCTAATTGGTACTTTTTCCGGGTTGATTTACCGTATTATTCTTCAGTTTATTAATACAGACTGCTAAATTAAATATAGAATGACGGGATTTCAATATTGCTTTTATTGCGAAATCAACTTGAAAATATAAATAGTTTTTGGGACAATAAAAAATATACGGTAATCCCACTACGTGTTAGAAAATGACTCTAACAGAGATGTATCAGAGAACTACCAGGCGATAGTGCATGCAGGAAGGATCTTTAAATGAGGCGGGGTTAAAATTCGAAATTTCCGAATCAATCTCCGTGATTACATGCTTGTCTTACACTTGCACAGTGTGTCCCACATTCGAGACGATTGTCTTTCTTCCCGAACATTAAAAAAGTTGACTTTTCAGCGTATAACGATTTATCTGTCTAGTAAAATTTAGTTGTGTTCAACGTAACTCGAAATTGTATCGACTTACGGCAAAATGAAGTTATGGACATAGGAAACTACACGGACAACGTGAACTTAAATCAATATGTCCGCTTCTGCTTGTTTAAAGACTTGCTTGGAGTGATATCGTATACCGCCCTATTAGTAGATTGTAGCACATTACATAATCTATCGCTGGGCATAAAATAACAAATCTTTATGTGTGTGGTATCCAACTTCAACCATTGCGTGAATTAATATGTTCTTTCTGCTTGTCTAGAGCCTTACATAGAGTACTATAGTAAAACGCCCTAATAATAACTAACAGCACAATGCATAACCTGTTGCTGGATATAAAATACCAAATCTTTAGGTGTGTGTGGTCGTGAGGTGGCGGGACTCATTGAGTTTGTTAGCATAATCGCCGACGCCATTGAGGGTGATCAGCTCTATTTCGTTATTGTGACGTCGCAGTGGCGTAATTTTTGGATGACGAAGTCAGGTGAGGGTCAGGAATGATATATGCAAAAATTGTTACGCTAAGTTAACTAGAAGTTATTGAGGTAAGAAACTACACCCATAGCGGACACACAGGCGTATTTAACACGATTGCATTATGGTCGCTATTATTAGGCAAGCTCTATTTCGTTATTGTGGATTCGCATTGACGTAATTTTTGGATGACGAAGTCAGGGCAGGGTCAGGAATGATATATGCAAAAATTGTTACGCTAAGTTAACTAGAAGTTATTGAGGTAGGAAACTACATCCATAGGTGCCATTACGAATAACGTCGCTATTATTGGGCAAGCGTTATTTCGTGATTGTGACGTTGCAGTGACGTAATTATTGGATGACGAAGTCAGGGCAGGGTCAGGAATGATATATGCAAAAATTGTTACGCTAAGTTAACTAGAAGTTATTGAGGTAGGAAACTACATCCATAGGTGCCATTACGAATAACGTCGCTATTATTGCGCAAGCGTTATTTCGTGATTGTGACGTTGCAGTGACGTAATTATTGGATGACGAAGTCGGGTGAGGGTCAGGAATCTTATATGCAAAAATTGTTACGCTAAGTTAACTAGAAGTTATTGAGGTAAGAAACTACATTCATAGGTGGCATTACTAGTAATCGTCGCTATTATTGGGCAAGCGTTATTTCGTGATTGTGACGTTGCAGTGACGTAATTTTTAGATGACGAAGTCAGGTGAAGGTCAGGAATGATATATGCAAAAATTGGTACGCTAAGTTAACTAGAAGTTATTGAGGTAAGAAACTACACCCATAGCGGACACACAGGCGTATTTAACACGATTGCATTATGGTCGCTATTATTAGGCAAGCTCTATTTCGTTATTGTGAATTCGCATTGACGTAATTTTTGGATGACGAAGTCAGGGCAGGGTCAGGAATGATATATGCAAAAATTGTTACGCTAAGTTAACTAGAAGTTATTGAGGTAGGAAACTACATCCATAGGTGCCATTACGAATAACGTCGCTATTATTGGGCAAGCGTTATTTCGTGATTGTGACGTTGCAGTGACGTAATTATTGGATGACGAAGTCAGGGCAGGGTCAGGAATGATATATGCAAAAATTGTTACGCTAAGTTAACTAGAAGTTATTGAGGTAGGAAACTACATCCATAGGTGCCATTACGAATAACGTCGCTATTATTGCGCAAGCGTTATTTCGTGATTGTGACGTTGCAGTGACGTAATTATTGGATGACGAAGTCGGGTGAGGGTCAGGAATCTTATATGCAAAAATTGTTACGCTAAGTTAACTAGAAGTTATTGAGGTAAGAAACTACATTCATAGGTGGCATTACTAGTAATCGTCGCTATTATTGAGCAAGCGTTATTTCGTGATTGTGACGTTGCAGTGACGTAATTTTTGGATGACGAAGTCAGGTGAGGGTCAGGAATCATATATACAAAAATTGTTACGCTAAGCCTAATAAAAGTTATTGAGGTACGAAACTACACCCATAGCGGACATACAGGCGTATTTATCACGACTGCATTATGGTCGATATTATTAGGCAAGCTCTATTTCGTTATTGTGAATTCGCATTGACGTAATTTTTGGATGGCGAAGTCAGGGCAGGGTCAGGAATATTATATGCAAAAATAGTTACGCTAAGTTAACTAGAAGTTATTGAGGTAAGAAACTACATCCATAGGCGGCATTACTAGTAATCGTCGCTATTATTGGGCAAGCGTTATTTCGTGATTGTGACGTTGCAGTGACGTAATTTTTAGATGACGAAGTCAGGTGAAGGTCAGGAATGATATATGCAAAAATTGTTACGCTAAGTTAACTAGAAGTTATTGAGGTAAGAAATTACACCCATAGCGTACACACATGCGTATTTATCACGATTGCATTATGGTCGCTATTATTAGGCAAGCTCTTTTTCGTTATTGTGAAGTCGCATTGACGTAATTTTTGGATGATGAAGTCAGGTGAGGGTCAGAAATATTATATGCAAAAATTGTTACGCTAAGATAATTAAAAGTTATTGAGGTAAGAAACTACATCCATAGGTGGCATTACCAGTAATCGTCGCTATTATTAGGCAAGCTCTATTTCGTTATTGTGACGTCGTATTGACGTAATTTTTTGATGATTAAATCAGGTGAGGGTCAGGAATATTACGTGCAAAAATTGTTACGCTAAGTTAACTAGAAGTTATTGAGGTACGAAACTACACCCATACCGGACACACAGGCGTATTTATCACGATTGCATTATGGTCGCTATTATTGGGCAAGCTCGATTTCGTTATTGTGACATCGCATTGACGTAATTTTTGGATGACGAAGTCAGGTGAGGGTCAGGAATGATATATGCAAAAATTGTTACGCTAAGATAAGTATGAGTTATCGAGGTAAGAAACTACATCCATTGCGCTAAGGCAAATTAATATGTCGGTTTCTGCTTGTCTAAAGCCTTGCATAGAGTGAAAGCGTTCCACGTCCTATTAATAAAATGTGGCCCAATACATGATCAGTCTCTGGATATTAAATAACAAGTCTTTATGTCTGCGGCACCTAACCTCAATCATTGCGTGAATTAAATGTTCTTTCTGTTTGTCTAAAGCCTAGCTCAGAGCGGTATCGTATATCACCCTATTAATAGATCGTAGCACAATACATGAGCTATTGCTGGACATAAAATAATAAGTCTTTATGTGTGTGGTACCCAACTTCAACCATTGCGTAAAATAACATGTATTTTCTGCTTGTCTAAAGCCTTGGCTGGAGTTGTATCGTATAACGCTCTATTTTAGATTGTAGCACGATACATGAGCTATTGTTGGACAGAAATTGGTCAGAATGGGATATCGTGAACGTTCCTTGGCGACAATTTAGTCGCTTGTGATTCTTGTTTATTTTGAGCTCTGTACAACGACCCCGATAAGAGAGAGGTCGCTGACGTGTTGAGTTTGTTGACATACTCGTAGGCGCCATTACGGGGGACCGTCGCTATACTTTGGCAAGCTGTATTTCGTTATTGTGACGTCGCAGTGACGTAATTTTTGGATGACGTCATCAGGTGGGGGTCAGGAATCATATATCCAAAAATTGTTACGCCACGCCCACTAGAAGTTATTCAGGTAAGAAAGTACATGAGACCCCTGGTTTTAATTTTAGTTTTGACCCTGATTTTCTCTTCTCGCTTCTACTTTAGTTATTAGGCTCTATCTATGCGGTTGTAGGCTATATGTGAGTGTATTTAAGGTGAGCACAGTCTTTTACAGTTTTAGCAACAATAATTTAACTAATGATTTGGTTTCCACGAGACTAACCACTTATCCTTCTTCCATGCTTTTGTGCCGGTACCGGTATGCATACAATGCAAGGTTGCTGTAGCAAGAGTAAAGATAACTATCCCACAGTCCTAAGTGATTCAAGAGTCTTGCAGTGAGTCTTAGTGTTCAGCAAGACTCTTGAATCACTTAATTAAATGAATTTAACTTCTGCTCTTTTCAAATCTTAGTTGGGGCTGTTCTGATTCTGTAGACTAAGTGTTTATTTTGTCAATACCGGTATCTTTCTGGTGTACTGATTATGGGAATCAAGCTAAACTTAATAACCTATATTATTATTAGGTGGGCATAAATTGATTCCTTGAAGCCTAGCTTCACTTTAGTTGGTGTTATTTATTCAGTTCATATCAGCTAGTTTATATTGACTTATTAAAACAGATTACACCAAGCACGCGAGTTTGCGGCAACCATTTCAGACCCGAAGACATTTATGAGACGCCTTCTGGTCGACGCCGTTTGCACCACAACTCAGTTCCATCAAAATTTAGTTGGACAAAGTTAATTGCAGAGAGACCACTGCCAAATAGACTGAGGTAAAACAGAATATATCATTTTTTAAGTTAGACTATACCACCATACTAGTATCAAACCAAAATTTTAAATTAACCAATTTGAAAAAATATTTTGACCCAAAGTCTAGAATATCAGGGTAGTCCAACATTGTCGGCTCCGCGGGCCACAAAATAATTTTTTCCTTGTTCGCGGGCCACAATAGTGCCAAGAATAGGTAAACAGTGCATTACAAAACAAACACTTTATTGTGCAAACACATAGTCATAAGACATAGCCTGCTCTGGCTAATAGAATCCGCATTCGATTCTTAGTTTTCTATGATGCCTATATTGTTAGCATATATTCTCGACCAAAAAGATGGAAAGCCAGATACTAATTTAGACTACCAAGCACATCATTTAACTTCGCTAGTTGCCTCACAGCTAGCCATAACACTAGTCAATTCAGTGCCATTAGAGATGTAACGATATGTAAAAATATCTTTCTGATTAATTTTATTACGAAATGCGATTTTTTGATTCTCTCCGAATGTGATGCGGGCCACAGATAATGGAGCGTCGGGCCTGGGTTTGGACCACCCTGGTCCAGATTCAACTCATTTGGAAAAATGACTCAAATCTTTTTGTGAGTACACAAACTTTCAGCAACACTGAAACGCGCAAAAATACAATTTTGTTTTTGATTTACACATATACATGCAATGCAGAGGATTCAATACTTGAAGCAGTAATTTGGGTACAATATGACGATATCTGGTTCGTCATATAATTGAGCCGTCTTATCATCCTTCCTTTTCCCAGGATGAATATGTGATTTCTTTGCTAATGAATTTCATTATATTTGTTCAGAACCACTGATGCCACTGTACCAAGCAGTCGGACCAGCAGTCTGTGTTTTAATCACACTAATCCTACTCAAGTGGTTTACAACTACTGCATTGTAGTGAAAACAGCTGAAGAAAAACTTAGCAAGCTTTGAAAGAAATTGAGAATTTAAAAACAGTTTCAAAGCTGTCAATATCTAAATTCGGTATGGAACGTTTCAAGACGTCAAGCTCCATGATTAAATATTATACTGGCTTTAGTTCTTATTGTTTATTGATTGACTTTTTCAACATATTGTTGGACTGTGCTTTTAACACTATGGTCTGCTGTAAGCGAAGAAGTTAGTAATGGAAGTAGCGATTTTTTAGACCCCCCCTGTAAGAAGCGATCACTTCCACTGGCTGATGAACTGTTTTTATTTTTGTGTCGTCTGAGACAGGGCTTTGATAAGATCCATCTTAGTGATGTTTTATGCATATCACAATCCACTGTCTCTCGGATAGTTTCTGCTGTAAGCGAAGAAGTTAGTAATGGGAGTATCGATTTTTTAGACCACCCCTGTAAGAAGCGATCGCTTCCACTGGCTGATGAACTGTTTTTATTTTTGTGTCGTCTGAGACAGGGCTTTGATAAGATCCATCTTAGTGATGTTTTATGCATATCACAATCCACTGTCTCTCGGATAGTTATCACATGGGCTAGTTTTCTTTATTTTACCTTGGCGTCTATCCCAATTTGGCCTACTCGTGAGCAGGTTTATGAAAATATGCCACAGTGTTTCAAAAACCAAGGTTAAGGATCTACACGCATAGTCCTGGACTGTTGTAAATTTTTTTGCCAGTCACCATCTTCACTCATGCTCCAAAGTGAGTTTTTCTCATTTTATAAAAACCATACAACATTAAAATGTGTATTGGGTATTGCTCCCCATGGTCCAATAACTTTTGTCAGTTTATTATTTTGTGGTAGTATATCAGACAGTGATATAACCCGGAGATCTGGAATTTTGAGTTTGCTTGAAAGAGGGGATTCCGTAATGTGCGACAAAGGATTCGCCATCAGGAGTCACTTGGAGGTGAAAGGGCGGTTCACATATGATGAGGCATTGCGGTCCAGCAAGATTGCTTCACTTAGAGTCCACGTAGAACGAGCAATCGGAAGGGTGAAAGAATATCACTGAGTATGCTAGGAACAGTTAATCAACTATGGACTGTTGCTTATTAACCAACTTCAGCGGTCCTTTGTTTTAGAAGTAGGTATTTAGTTTTATTTTTAAGTTTTAGTTTGTTTATTGTTGAATAATTATTTTGAGTTCGAGCAGTTTAGTTTATCAAATACATTCAGGACATATTTTATGTCTCTTCAAAATTCTTAGCTTTGTTTGAATATACAGCAGATGGTGTGGGTATTACAACATTATTAGGTTAACAGTAAAAAAAGGGAAAATTCAGAAAAGCCTTTTGTACTGCCTGTTTCATCTGTTTTCAACGAATACACAAAATACTAATTTATTGAAAAATAGTTGAAAGCCCAAAGCAACTGGTTACTACATTTTAAAGCAATAAATTACATAAATGCCTAGGCGTCTCAAGTTTTTTCTCTTGATATATAATTACGCTTTAGACATTTCACAAAATGAAGAATTTTTGTCCTCAAGATGACATGTTTGATGCAACTCTATTTATGAAATGATCATAAAAAAAGGATTCCAGACGCATTTGTAGGTCCAGAAAATATGCATCATCAAAATATATGCGATCAATGGTAAAAGAATAATGATATCACACCACTTGAGTCCTGTGATTCCTAAACACCCCATTATTTGAAAATAATAATCATGATTCATTTTCAATGTCCATTCCCCTTTATCATTTTTGAAAAGACAAGAAACCTTGTCAAAAGTGTCAGACATTGGGCATTTGACTTCTAATAAGCCATAGCATGGGTTGCCATCACAAGATGGGTCGTAAACTTTGCGATCTGGTGAACAACACAACCAGGGACAGGTTGAAGATATTACCAATCCACATGGGGAACACTGGCATTTTTTTATTTCCTCGTATAATTTTACTGCTTCTGGTTCCATTTGGATACCTCTTTTCATCGCTGCAGTTTGAAAAAATTTGGAAGGAGTAAGATTTGAAGCAAGGGAGTCAAAATTTGAAACACGTTTATAAATTCGGCCAAATTTGGATGCTGTAATTCTAAATTTTTGTTGTTGGTGCCAAATTGGAGAGTTATACTGATTTCGAGTCATAAATTCAATGTGTTTACAATCTTCTCTGCCCAAAGTCGGATTTTGCATCACTTTGTGTTGCATTTCTGTTAACACCGTGTTAGTCTGTGGAGACAAACTAGACAGAGGGAGAGGAGGGAATTCAAAACTTTTCTGATCACATATCTGCTGATATGCTAGAGGACTCCCAAATGGTGCTTGTCCAAAATTTGTTGAAATACTTCCAACAGAAGACGGATTTGACGGCAAAATTGTATTTAACTGAATATTATATTGACTAAAATTTAAAAAGCTCTGCCATTGCGGGATTCTTCCAGGTTTGTTTGTGTAGAGTGCTGCGAATTGTCCTGATGGATTTTGAACATGGATTTTGAATAATAATTTTTTGGATAGGCAGCTGCTTGAATCCTTCGCTTCTTGGATGATGCCATGATTGTAATTGCATAGTGCCAGTAATAGCTGGGGGGACTTTCTTTAGTTGGAGATTGCTGAAATGCGCAGTGCAGTACAACAATGCTAAAGAATGACAGCAAATTGCTTCTCCCACTGTGCAAGAGCAAGTAGCACTCAGTACATTGACCGCCGCAAAGTTACAAATAATGAATGGGGTGGCTCGTTTTTTCTTTGTGATCGATAACATCTTGCCTTTATTAAAAAATTCTGACCATCTGGGAAAACTGTGAAAATAATAATGCATATTAGTGATAAGTTACAGCTTAATTTGCTTTTAAGGGTTGCATATTCAGCATGGTTAAATCGAAACCTAGGTGTAATGAGATCAGATAGTTAATTTATTTCAAACTCCTTCATTGTACAAAAATGCCAACAGCAGACGGAGATTCCAGGAAAGCTGTGTAATTTATAAGCTGCCCATGCCTTATAGATCCCCTATAAAAATAAATAGGTGAATCCTGAATAGCCCATGAATAAATATACACCACAAGTCAATATTTACTGAGGTTCTTAATGCTTAAAATTATAACAGTGGTTACGGTACATGTGACATCATGTCCCGCTCGCTCAAAAATCTTACTTGTCCTACCTAACTTACCATACCTTTGTAATCGTGGATGAAAGACTCCCAGAAGTATTTGTATCCTCTCTTGGCGCTATTTCCATTCCCTGCATGCTTTTCAGCATATTCTGTAACGTCATCAAAACTAAAATCAGGAAGATATTTCAAATCGTCGCTAAAGATACGCTCAGCCATTACACAGACAGATAAAAAAAACGCGCCAGAGTAACAATCGCGATGTCGTCGTCTGACGTCCTGCTCACTATCCAGTGGAGGCGCTAAAGAGGTGAATACCCTCCATTGCGGCTACATGGATGCAAAAAATTAGGCGATTCTCCCTTTTAGAAACTGACGACAGACCTGGAACATAATAAAAAAACAAAAATGATTGAACAACACATTTTTTCCTCGATAAAATGAATTATTGCTCAGAAGCTCATTTATCGACAAAATCTAAAAGTTAACTGAGTTGAAGCGTAATTTAGGCAAGAAATAATTTTTTCTCATCCAATTCATTAATACAGTGAATTTGATGAAGATATATAAAACATATATTAAATTTTAAAACAATTCCACTATGCGGAAAGTTGGGAAATACCCCCCAATTAAAGGAAATTTTTTAAGAAATTGTCAATATAACTCAGTTAAAGCGTAATTTATGCAGGAAATAATATTTTCTCATCCAATTCATTAATACAGTGTATTTGGTGGACAAATATAAAATACATATTAAAATTTAAAAAAAATCCACCGTGCGGAAAGTAGAAAAATTCCCCCCAGTTTAAGAAAAAAATATAGGAAATCTCCAATTTAACTCAGTTAAAGCGTAATTTAGGTAAGAAGGAATTTTTTCTTATCCAATTCATTAATGCAATGTGTTTGGTGGACAAATATAAAATAGATATTAAAATTAAAAAAAATCCACCGTGCGGAAAGTAGGGAAATTCCCCTCAATTTGATGAAAATATTTAAAAATCGTCTATCCAACTCAGTTAAAGCATAATTTATGCAAGAAAGAATATTTTCTCATCCAATTCATTAATACAATGTATTTGGTGGACAGATATAAAATACATATTAAAATTTAAAAAAAATCCACCGTGCGGAAAGTAGGGAAATTCCCCCCAATTTGATGGAAATATTTGAGAAATTGTCTATCCGACTCAGTTAAAGCATAATTTATGCAAGAAAGAATATTTTCTCATCCAATTCATTAATACAATGTATTTAGTGGACAGATATAAAATACATATTAAAATTTTAAAAAAATCCACCGTGCGGAAAGTAGGGAAATTCCCCCCAATTTGATGGAAATATTTAAGAAATCGTCTATCCAACTCAGTTAAAAAATATTTTATGCAGGAAAGAATATTTTCTCATCCAATTCATTAATGCAGTGTATTTGGTGGACGAATATAAAATACATATTAAAATTAAAAAAAAATCCACCGTGCGGAAAGTAGGGAAATTCCCCCCAATTTGATGAAAATATTTGAAAAATCGTCTATTTAACTCAGTTAAAGCGTAATTTATCCAAGAAAGAATATTTTCTCATCCAATTCATTAATACGGTGTATTTAATGGATGAATATGAAATACATATTAAAATTTAAAGAAAATCCACCGTGCAGAAAGTAGGGAAATTCCCCTCAATTGAAGTAAAAAATATAAGAAATTGTCAATTTGACTCAGTTAAAGCGTGATTTAGGTAAGAAGGAATTTTTTCTCATCCAATTCATTAATGCAGTGTGTTTGGTGAACAAATATAAAATAGCTATCAAAATTAAAAAAAAAATCCACCGTGCGGAAAGTAGGGAAATTCCCCTCAATTGAAGGAAAAAATACAGAAAATCGTCAATTTAACTCAATTAAAGCGTAATTTAGGTAAGAAGGAAATTTTTCTCATCCAATTCATTAATGCAGTGTGTTTGGAGGACAAATATAAAATACATATTAAAAGTTAAAAAAAAATCCACCATGCGGAAAGTAGGGAAATTCGGTACTCTCGAAATATGGACACAAAGATGACGCACAACCTGAATATAAAAGGTGTACCAGGATAGGTTCAGATTTAGAATCTAGATTGTACGCTTCTGGGGGCGCAGGGAATAACCCATTTATGCAAAAAACAATTTTTTCTCATCCAATTTATTATTACAGTGTATTTGGTGGACGATTATAAAATACATATTGAAATTTAAAAAAAATCCACCTTGCGGAAAGTAGGGAAATTCCCCCCAATTAAAAAATATATATAAGAAATCGTCAATTTGACTCAGTTAAAGCGTAATTTAGGTAAGAAGGAATTTTTTCTCATCCAATTCATTAATGCAGTGTGTTTGGTGGACAAATATAAAATACATATTAATAGTTAAAAAAAAATCCACCATGCGGAAAGTAGGGAAATTCGGTACTCTCGAAATGTGGACACAAAGATGACGCACAACCTGAATATAAAAGGTGTACCAGGATAGGTTCAGATTCAGAATCTAGATTGTACGCTTTTGGTCATCTTTGTGTCCACATTTCGAGAGTACCGAATTTCCCTACTTTCCGCATGGTGGATTTTTTTTTATCTTTCAATATGTATTTTATATTTGTCCACCAAGCACACTGCATTAATGAATTGGATGAGAAAAAATTCCTTCTTACCTAAATTACGCTTTAATTGAGTTAAATTGACGATTTCTTATATTTTTTTCTTCAATTGGGGGGAATTTCCCTACTTTCCGCACGGTGGATTTTTTTTAAATTTTAATATGTATTTTATATTTGTCCACCAAAAACACTGCATTAATGAATTGGATGAGAAAAAACTCCTTCTTACCTAAATTACGCTTTACCTGAGTCAAGTTGACAATTTCTTTTATTTTTTTCTTCAATTGAGGGGAATTTCTCTACTTTCCGCACGGTGGATTTTTTTTAAATTTTAATATGTATTTTATATTTGTCCACCAAATACACTGCATTAATGAATTGGATGAGCAAATATTCTTTCTTAAATAAATTACGCTTTAACTGAGTTAAATAGACGATTTTTCAAATATTTTCATCAAATTGGGGGGAATTTCCCTACTTTCCGCAAGGTGGATTTTTTTTTATTTCCAATATGTATTTTATATTTGTCCACCAAATATACTGTATTGATGAATTGGATGAGAAAATATTCTTTCTTGCATAAATTATTTTTTAACTGAGTTGGATAGACGATTTCTTAAATATTTTCAATAAATTGAGGGGAATTTCCCTACTTTCCGCACGGTGGATTTTTTTTAAATTTTAATATGTATTTTATATTTGTCCACCAAATACACCGTATTAATGAATTGGATGAGAAAATATTCTTTCTTGAATAAATTACGCTTTAACTGAGTTAAATAGACGATTTTTCAAATATTTTCATCAAATTGGGGGGAATTTCCCTACTTTCCGCACGATGGATTTTTTGTTAATTTTAATATGTATTTTATATTCTTCCACCAAACACACTACATTAATGAATTGGATGAGAAAAAATTCCTTCCTACCTAAATTACGCTTTAATTGAGTTAAATTGACGATTTCTTATATTTTTTTTTTCAATTGGGGGGAATTTCCCTACTTTCCGCACGGTGGATTTTTTTTAAATTTCAATATGTATTTTATATTTGTCCACCAAAAACACTGCATTAATGAATTGGATGAGAAAAAACTCCTTCTTACCTAAATCACGCTTTAATTGAGTCAAATTGACGATTTCTTATATTTTTTTCTTCAATTGAGGGGAATTTCCCTACTTTCCGCACGGTGGATTTTTCTTAAATCTTAATATGTATTTTATATTTGTCCACCAAATATACTGTATTGATGAATTGGATGAGAAAATTTTCTTTCTTGCATAAATTATTTTTTAACTGAGTTGGATAGACGATTTCCTAAATATTTTCATTAAATTGAGGGGAATTTCTCTACTTTTCGCACGGTGGATTTTTTTTAAATTTCAATATGTATTTTATATTTGTCCACCAAATACACTGCATTAATGAATTGGATGAGAAAATATTCTTTCTTAAATAAATTACGCTTTAACTGAGTTAAATAGACGATTTTTCAAATATTTTCATCGAATTTTTTTTTTATTTCCAATATGTATTTTATATTTGTCCACCAAATATACTGTATTGATGAATTGGATGAGAAAATATTCTTTCTTGCATAAATTATTTTTTAACTGAGTTGGATAGACGATTTTCTTAAATATTTTCAATAAATTGAGGGGAATTTCCCTACTTTCCGCACGGTGGATTTTTTTCAAATTTTAATATGTATTTTATATTTGTCCACCAAATACACCGTATTAATGAATTGGATGAGAAAATATTCTTTCTTGAATAAATTACGCTTTAACTGAGTTAAATAGACGATTTTTCAAATATTTTCATCAAATTGGGGTGAATTTCCCTACTTTCCGCAGGGTGGATTTTTTTTAAATTTTAATATGTATTTTATATTTGTCCACCAAATACACCGTATTAATGAATTGGATGAGAAAATATTCTTTCTTGAATAAATTACGCTTTAACTGAGTTAAATAGACGATTTTTCAAATATTTTCATCAAATTGGGGGGAATTTCCCTACTTTCCGCACGGTGGATTTTTTTTAAATTTTAATATGTATTTTATATTCGTCCACCAAATACACTGTATTAATGAATTGGATGAGAAAATATTCTTTCTTGCATAAATTATGCTTTAACTGAGTTGGATAGACGATTTCTTAAATATTTCCATCAAATTGGGGGGAATTTCCCTACTTTCCGCACGGTGGATTTTTTTCAAATTTTAATATGTATTTTATATCTGTCCACCAAATACATTGTATTAATGAATTGGATGAGAAAATATTCTTTCTCGCATAAATTATGCTTTAACTGAGTTGGATAGACGATTTCTTAAATATTTTATTATATTTCGAGAGTACCGAATTTCTCTACTTTCCGCACGGTGGATTTTCTTTAAATTTTGATATCTATTTTATATTTGTCCACCAAACACATTGCATCAATGAATTGGATGAGAAAAAATTCCTTCTTACCTAAATTACGCTTTAACTGAGTTAAATTGGAGATTTCCTATATTTTTTTCTTAAACTGGGGGAAATTTTTCTACTTTCCGCACGGTGGATTTTTTTTAAATTTTAATATGTGATTTATATTTGTCCAACAAATACACTGTATTAATGAATTGGATGAGAAAATATTATTTCCTGCATAAATTACGCTTTAACTGAGTTATATTGACAATTTCTTAAAAATTTTCCTTAAATTGGGGGGAATTTCCTAACTTTCCGCATAGTGGAATTGTTTTAAAATTTAATATATGTTTTATATATCTTCATCAAATTCACTGTATTAATGAATTGGATGAGAAAAAATTATTTCTTGCATAAATTACGCTGCAACTCAGTTAAATTTTAGATTTTGTCGATAAATGAGTTTCTGAGCAATAATTCATTTTATCGAGGAAAAAAGGTGTTGTTTCAATCATTTTTGTTTTTTATTATGTTTCAGGTCTGTCGTCAGTTTCTAAAAGGGAGAATCGCCTAATTTTTTGCATCCATGTAGGCGCAACTAAGTGAATTCGCGACAACTGTCGTGGAACATGGCGGGTTCAAATTTGGAAAAATTGGTAACTGTCCGCTGGAAGTGGCCGCTAGCTTTACCTAGGTCCGAGGGCCGCACGCGCCAGGAATACCATAAAGCATCGCTCAAGCGTAACGATAGAACAGTGTAACATAAATAAACAAAGACGAAAAAAGCGTGAGCTAACTATATTCAGTTAACCATGGTTGCAGGCCGTTGGTGAGGGAGGCGGACAACTCGACTACACGGACAACTCACAAGAGACAACTCGACTACCTAGAGGCCTGGTGAGTTGTCCGTCTTTTGGCATTTTCTACGGTGGTGTTTTAGGTCTATAGAAATGCGTTTTTGATATTTTTAGTGCTCAAATGTTGGGGAAAATACATAAATATGCTCTAGATAGCATTTTTATTTGTATAAGTTTGATGGTGACATAACATTCCTAGACATAGGAGTTCCAGCCATTGTGCAGTAATCAATTGTGTCTGATTGTGCAACAGATCAGGATCAATGCAGCGTCATTTCAGCATTTCGCTGATTAGTAGTACCTACCGGTGTTCTATTCTGGATATTATTACTGTATATGGTGCGGTACTGTACAGGATTTGACATATTCAGATATTAGTCTTCTATAATACGGTACTGTAATAGAATAGGCATGCCTTTTTGCTCCAGGCTGCCAGGTAATAAATCGTGGTTGGCCTGAGTCGGTGGGTCCTTAGACAGTCTGACAAGTCACTGTACAGCTGTAAGAAGTGTGGTCCACTTGCTGACTTGTTAGCTTCCTCGCTTTTGTACATAATAACCCCGTAACATGAGAATCTTTTACCAAAGACTCTAGTCATCTAAATCAGTAAATGCTGAAATGAAATGACTCAGACCCCTAGACTCGCATTCAACTAACCACCAGCCACTCTGCCAGTGAGACCGAGCTCAGTGAATCGTCTCAGACTCTGATGGCCCATGACCTAATGAGTCTGCACTTTTAACTAATAAAAACATTCCCTTATTTGCAGGCTTGTAGTAGACTGCAGTGAAATAAATGCCGTATTTGTTAGTGAGCACACTGGTTCGATTAGTAAGTATCATCTTTTAACCATAATGTTTTTGATCACTCATCGTATTGTATAAAATCTCCTGATACTGAAATATGAAATAAAATCCAGGAAAAAAACAGTTTCAGTATAAATTTTGAAAATATGATTTCTTTGCCCAATTTAGAATATGATTTAGTCTTAATCAAAATGAAAAATAAATCCCACAATATTAGTTTAAGACGCATATAAACAACATCAACTTTTCCACAAAAATTTGAAAAAATAAAAATTTATTTCAATTATGAACTAGGCATTAGAAGCCAGTCAGGCATCTAAGGGTATAGTGGGTTCAATTGCACTTGAACAATATTTTATGTTTGGGAAATACAGTTTTATGGTCTGTTGTGTGATTATGCAAACCTAAATCTGAGAAATTGTTGTTGAATTCTTTTATTTCTTGTCTTGATTAATGACATGGTTAAGCAAAATATATTTAATTTCTTGTGTTAGATATGAACAATAGTTAACTTTAGTCTAATTAAAATCAATTAATCTCACTTCTTGGTTGTTTTAGGAAATTGGACCGACAATTGTTGGAGATGAACAGTCTGATCCAGACTTGATGACGAAGATAGGTGCTGTGTTGGGGCAACAGAAAGGATGTCCTTTGTGAGCTAATCTTGTTATGGATGTTTTCGATTTGTACCTTTTTTATTCAATGAGAAACTGTCTGTCAGAATGGATAGTTAGTTGTTCCATGCTAGTTTTATATTCTTTGAATTTTTCTGATACTGCAGTAAAAAAAATTTTGATATGTATGTCACAGTGATGTTGTTTGCTAACTTGCAAAATTGGATCTAAGTTAATACAGAAGATAATGCTACTGGTAATCCCACTGGATAGAATAGTAGAATAATATACTATTTTGTGCCATCGCACAGGTTACCAACAACTTGCATTCTGTTTAGTTGCAACCTGTTTGTCTTGATTCTTTATGCCATGTTACATGCAACATACCACATTTTTTAATGTTTTATTGTTTTGAATTGTTTTAGCAAAGAATACACAGTCCCTGACCCTCCTCGAATTGTACTGAACAAATTGGAAAAGTTGGGATATTCTGTAATAAATACAAGCGGCATTGGACAAACTATTGTTTGGACATTACATAAGCCAATTTCTGAGTGATAAATTTCAATGTTTGGGGGATAGATAACTTGATCATGCTGTCTAATTTGATTAGCTGTGAGTGGCTGTATTTCGGTTTACTTACAATCGATTAATTTATGCCATCAACTGTTACATATGTATGCATTTCTCTCGGAGATATCAGTAAATGGCTTTGATTAAAATTGTTTTATTTGTCAAAAATATTTGGATTGTGTGGTACTGATTCAATCATTCATTTTTAAATGTGCAATTGTAATATATGATGTTATGTGCAACAAAAAAAGTGGTAAAATGAGTAGTCTTATGAATTGGTGTGAAAGGTGTGGCTTTTGCATATATATATGGGCTTGTGTCATGGTGGTGTGAACAGAATTTCGTAAATACGTGATTGTGAAGGTATGTACGATCGAAAACAGTGGTCATGGCGCAGAAAGCTTTGTCTGAAGTACCGATTACAAGTGGATAAACTAATTATTCACTGAGGTATTTCGTATATATATAAACCCATTGATGGCGGCCGGAAATGAGAATAATAATCAAAAACTAAGATTTTGTGGTGAGAAATGAATTACAATACAATTTTATCTCGATCTTTCGTCTGCAACACCGAACACTAATGGAAAAATAAAAACACAGACAACGGGGCAAATGGGAAAAACCTCCAGAAAGGTTTATAGCGAACGCTGTAACCGGCCGGCATTTATGCCCATTCACCCACACAAGTGGAAAAAACATCGCGACAATCATACTGAAAAGAATAAATGCCATAAATAAACTCGAGAAAATAAAATTCATGGGCGAAGCTTACTTGTGAAGGTATAAATAATTTTGATGAGCGAAAGTGGTGAAGAGTTAAAAAACAAGTAGAAGTTATGTGACGGGACCTGTGCCAAAATACGCGAATCATAACATTAAGTGGTTAGCTGCTATTTTTCTTGGCAATCCTTGTAATCCTGAGCATTTGCCAATGATGGTCGGTCGTAAAATTAACTTTGCGAGTAGCGAATTCATTCAGTTATCATTATAAAATTATACAAGTGAAGCGAACTAACTTCTTTCTAACAAGAAAAAGACTTTCAATTATGTGGATGTTTAATCCATAACAAAGCAATGTTAACGACAAGCGAACAGAAAACAGAATGACAAGTTATCGTAAGAAATCACGTAAGTAATCATGCACGTAAGTAATCATGCGTGACAAAAACATAAACAGAACAATTGTGACTCATAACGGCTATAAGTTAAGTGGTTCGCCACACAAGGTGGTAATTTATATTGGGTACATTTAATGGACTAACCCTATAAAATTAGCGCGAGGCATAGGTTAGTTGCGCTAACTGTTGACATGAACTGATTACCAGACGAGAGATGCGATGAAATCGATATTGGCACTGACGAATTACCAGGTTTAGATCTGACGCGATTTTGGTCCTAGTGGCCACAAAGAACTTTACAGTTAACCAAATGACGTCCAACCAACAAATATATACGAGGAGCTACATATAAACCAAGAACCAACAAAAACTTATGCTAGCCTTTTACATATTTTTTTACATTATTGTGAGAACTTATGGTCAATACACAAAGCACTAGAAGTTCATCACCTTTGCATCATTGATGACTTCGCTTGTTAAGGTATCGATGCTCGCATCCCGTAGTTACTGCCTACGTTTCTCTGTCTTACATTTGATAAACATGTTGGCACTGGATAGACGATAATGTAATTGATAAAAACAAAATAAAGAAAACTTATTATAGAATCGGGAAAGCAAACAAAACCTCTAGTAAGGTTTGGAACGTACAAATTTTAAAGAAAAGGTATTGATGAAGGAAATAGCACGTGTTCGCTCACCCAAAAGTATTAGTAAATTACTCAGTAAAAAAGAAAAATATACAAACGAAATAACTAAATGAAAATGATGAAAATTTTTTTTTGCCAAACTATAATAATAATTTTATGAGGCTTGCCAACATGAGTTATACACTGTGGATAAAAAAAAATTCCTCAAAAGATATCGTCAAGCTGATTATATTTGGAGTCACCTAATGCCAAATTGCCCAATCAGAATTTTAAGTTGGATGCATGAAGGGATGGGCTAGACCTCACCAAATTGAAAGCCAAACTAACGTCCAAATCATTTTAAATACTATTAATCAATAAAAGTACCGGTAATTATAATTAAAATTAATTTTATGGCAGTATGATATCGAGATAGGAAAATCGGTTACAGCAATATATAGGTTATTAAAGGTTCAAGTGAGATTTTTTAAGGTCATGGAATATAAGCAAGGAAATTTAATTGAGGTTGTTGATCACTGGGGTCAGTTCAAGTTCATCAAAGATGATCCATCAGTCTGCAATATTGTTAATGTATAGTGGTATGCACATTTTATGTTGAATTAGCGACCTTTTAAATCGATCATCACGACGTTATGAAAAACGAAAAATATATCTGCTAGTACAATATTCAATGATTGCAAATAAGGAAACAATAGAAAACTACTCTACATTTTTGAGAAGATATTGTTGATTTGAATAAATATTGACCAATATTAATAATTCATCATTAGACTACTAGTTGAAAGACCTGAGAAAGAGGAGATTGTAGTTGGGACACAAGCGAAATTGTTCACAAGCCATGCAAAAACATTTGATGTCGATCAAACCACACTAAGCATTCACATGTTGGCCATTATCTTAACTATACAGCAAATCAGAAAATCTCTGTGTACACACAGGGCACAGTATATAACACTACAGGAAATTAAAAGGTAGGGAGAATCCAAATATAGCTCGACTGATCACCTAATTACAATAATGGATAATAATAGCATAGGTATTATTAACCACCGAGTCAAAGATAACTGGCAAAATCATACCCAATGAGGACTGGGAAACAGAAGAGAAGCCGCGGTTCGCAATATGAGCAAGCCGTCTTATCGACTTTTCCCCATCACGGAATAAATAGCCTATGTAAATCCTATCAACCACCAACTAGGCATTTCTATTTTTATCGGGCAGTTGTTCCGGGAGTTAATGCATGTTCGAACAATTGAATATATATATACCTATTATGTATAATAGGTAGTAAGCAATTTACAGTATTTACCTTTTCATTCATTTTAATGAATTGGGTTTTCTGTCATCTTCCTTCTTGTTTCCGTGCACTACAGACAGTGACGTCAATCAACTTGCGTGGAAATCGGCCATGCATGAAAATGAGAAAAGACACCTCGTCAGCTTTTATACAATTGGTTGCTTCTGTGTTACAGAACTTTTTATCGTAGGATTTACGCAAATTTGTCTTCGAGTCTTAGAAACTGTATCCCATGTTTTATTGGAAGTCATATGACTAGATGATTACCAGGCGAAGAATCGGATCTCATGAAAAAAGCTCACCTTCAGGTTAGTGCTGTAGTGAAATCTGTAAATGGCTTCAGTTAATTCACTACCGGTACCGTAATTCGCATTTATTTGAAACTACCTTCAGACCTTTCTGAACTATACCTTTATACACTCTGAATGCCACGGTCTGGGTACCACTCAGATAAATAATACCTTGAACTTCTGTGATTACCGGTACTGGATTAAATTATATTTCTGTATTTATTAATTTAATAAAAAAATAATAAAGCTGAAATGTTTAATTGATTAGCACATGGCAGTTAAGATAATCAAAAAGTTTTATCGAAGCTCATTCTTCAGTTTTTTCATTAATAGCGCCAAACACTTTGTCACTTATTGACAAAGCTGCTGAAAACTAAAGCATTTGTTGTTTGGTTATTCTGTTATTACAGTATTACAGTATTATCAGAGCTGTATTGAACTTGTTGCTGATTTTTTATTGTGGAACTGCTATGTAGCTAAGAAACAAGACACTATTCTACTGCCTGATTGCAATACAGAGTGATGGATTGACAAATCTGTGTAAAGAACACTATTTCGAAAAGACTATACACTTGCATTGCAGTATTGATGTGTTCTTAATTTTTGTACCAGCTGTTTGTATGATGATATCCCAACTGACTGAAACCTTGATCATGGCGGTGGCATTGACCATATGACCAATATAGAAGAACTTTATTTGACGAATCAGCTTGCTTTGCAAATTCTGACATATCGAAAAGTACTCCAGTTGTACAGAAATCCATTATATTCACAGGTGGTTGGTCTTTTTCACAACTTCCTTCACTCTCATCAACGAGAATACTTTTCAACGGAACTGAAAGTAACGAGGTTTCTTCTGGTCAATTGGAAGAAGACAATTCAAGCCAATCAGCAGATTTAATGACAAGCATGAATTCCGCGTGCCGCGACCGGACTGTAGAATTTCAATCTGTTGTGAAGTCATTAAAATCGAGACAGGTATTCAAGAACCAAATATTAAATTTACTTGAAAATCATGAGGAATTTCCATAGCAAATTAATATTTGCCTAATATAGAATGTCATGTGATGGTATAAGACATCGACTCGTTATTTTGCAGTTTGGCAGAGGATCATATTGCCATACATTCAAATTTTTTGTTGTTAAATGTGACAGAGCTGTGTTGTACCTTGACCCATATTTGCTCTATGTGTACATATTTTTATGAATTCTATGTACGTTATTGTATTTTCAGTCTAATGGTGGGGTTCCACATAAAGCACAAAACAATGCTCTGAAAAATAGAAGTGAATTTTCTACATTTGCCAAGTAAGCATAATATGTACTTAACGCACTTTTCAATATATATGATTTTTGATTTCGAAATACTCTGAATATTTCTAGTATACGGCAATAAAGTAATTTCAGACAAGTTTTCCTTGGAGAAAAAATTAAATTACATTATATCAGAAGTGTCAATGCTGTTCTTTACTTTGCAGCATTCAATGCTGTTCTATACTTTGCAGTACTTCACTAACTATTTGTTTTTCAGTTTAATGCTTCTCTATTTGTTTTATTGTGGAATTAGATTTGTTGAATTGTTATATATATATAATATATACCCCATTTAAGCTATAAATTAACTGTTGATGAAAGCAATGAATATGCATAGAGCACAGTTATTTAATTGATTTAATAATTGTCGTCAAGTAAGTGGCAGAAATACATATTGCATATTTTTATTCAGGCGAATTGGCAGAGATATAAGTAAGACATATGAAAAATTAGAAAAACTAACTTTATGTAAGTATGAAATTTATACTGATTGTGTCTGGTAAATCAAAAGTCATATTATGTTATGCATATCTTTTGATTTGTTTTTATTTTTGTTGACTACTTCATCATAATCACTATTGCCAAATTTTTTATTTTACTTGAATTCTTATTTTTTGAAAAATAGTAATTGGATGTTTGTTCATATGATATATTTTCATATAGTCGTTATGATACTTGATAAAAAAGATTTCTCATCGGTTACTTCATTTTATAGTATGTAAAAAACGTTCACTGTTTGATGATCGACCTGTTGAAATCCAGGAGTTGACATATATTATTAAACAAGACATCACTTCGTTGAAGAAACAAATTGCTCAACTTGAGCAGGTAGTTTCTGCAAGGTCTAGTGGCCATAAAGATATTCAAAAACATTCGTCATCTATTGTTCGCACATTAAGGGTGAGTTTTTTGTCAATTTTATTGAAATTTTGCAACGTTATTATTGTAGCTATATGAAACAAGATAGCTGAAATTAAATATTATTCATTTCAGTCCAAACTTGCTTCAATGTCTGATAATTTCAAATCTGTCCTTGAAGTTCGACGTGAAAATATGAAGCAACAGAAATTGCGTAAAGATCAGTTCAGTACTACTAATTTATCATCAAGTATGCCGCCATCTGCTATGCAGGGGAATCGTAAGTTGACAATTACAAAATTTGTTTTGATGGATATATATGGCACTTTTAGGTATAGAAACAGACCTACCTGTTTATTTCAACAGCACTCTATATTTTGTATTGTTATTACCATGACTGTGTTGTTTTAGGAGGTTCAGTTTTAATAATGGATGAACAAAGGAATTCTTCTGGAGATGTTTCAATATCAATGGATGGTTCATCGCCATCAACTTCACAAGATACAATGCAACTGCTTGATCAACAAGTATGTTAAAATATGAATTGATATATGTACGTTTCACATTAATTAAGCAGTTTCTTTCGGTTTTCCAATCTTTCAACCAAGAACATGTGCCTCAAGTATAAGACATCGCAGTAGTACATGGTACGATATATTGTTATTTTCAGGATGCCTATATCCAAGAGCGTGCAAGTACGATGGAAACCATTGAATCCACGATAGTTGAATTAGGAACAATATTCCAACAGCTTGCAACCATGGTAAAAGAACAAGAGGAGCAGATAATGAGGTTTGTGATTGCTCAATATTTTCATCAAAGATGTTTCAAAACATTGATCATAGATATCATCAGTCGATGAAATAATCTGCACCCTGTGGAATAGTGGGGATAGTCAGTCATTTATTTTTAATTAAATCGTATTCAATTTGCCACATATCGATCTGTCAAGTTGGTTTTTAATTAGTATATAATTAAGAATTATAGTATTTTAAGAGTATGTGTGTGCAAAAGTTAGTCTCGAACACAGGAGTTTCAACATTTCTGGTGCGGTGGAACTTCCGATGAAACATTTCGGAGGTTTGGGGAATTACTGTGCAATAGTTTAGAATTTGTATAAAATACGAATATACACATAAAAGCAAACCCAATACTTGCAAAACAAAAAAAAATCCAAAGTGTAGCAAGTTTAATAATAGTGGCAAACTCAATAGGTATTTGATTACTAGTATATTTAAATTATCGGTATATTTAAATTATTACTTATCGATTTTAATCGGTAAGTATGTTGATAGGTATTTGTCTGTCTGTCTGTTAGATGCACGTAATATCTCACGAAGGCATGGTTGAATCTGCTCCAAATGCATTTGCATGTGCATTCATCATATCTCGGACCAAAAGCCTATTGATTTTGGATGAATTATGTCGTATAATTAGCTAGTTATTAATTAATTAGTGATAGGACACGCGGTGTCACTATAGAGTCATGAATCGAAACCGCAGTTTCGATCAATAAGTCTTCGGCTTCCGACCGATATTCTCGTCTACATATTAATTAATATGGACTCTCAGATTTGAATGGAAATTTGCAGAATCGTGGTAGAAAATTACTCCTCCAGCATGTATTAGGCTTCCATAATCCAATATATTGACTCATATTAGCATGCTTCATACAATCTTTTTCAGGATTGATTCAAATGTTGAAGAAAGTGAATTGAATATTGAAGCTGCACATGGAGAAATATTGAAATACTTCCAAAGCGTCACTTCTAATCGTTGGCTCATGGCAAAGATATTTTTGACTCTCATTGCCTTCTTTATTATTTTCGTTGTGTTTTTCGCTTAACCCAATCAGGAATCGGTCTTGTTTTTTAGAATTCGAGCTGATGCTTTGCGTGCCTGGCAAAGTTCATAGCTGTATATAAATTAGAAAAATGCTCTTTCAAGATTCATTGTGCCAGTATGTCTGCACGGTTCTATTTACCACAAATACGCTCGGATAGCTCGATTAGCTGTGATATTGCAGTAAACATACTGGTATTTAGTGCGACATGATCCAACTTAAATCCCAAGCCTATCTAAACTGTGCACTAGTCAGCGTCTCGATAAACATGAAAACCAACCACCTTCTGATTTTAGTTGGATGGTGAGAATATTGGAACTGGTATCGATTATAATTCCTGTTTCGTTTTACTTAAAAAAATCTTTGATTTTGTCTATAGAGGAGATAATGAATATTTTTTATATATTTTTAATTGCAGAGATAAATTTAGTCTGGGTGCACCCAAAATTCTTTGAGGGCGACGCCGACAAGCAAAGCAGTATTATGGTTTGACATATTGAAGTTTTATCTGTGTATGACTATATTACACAGCTGCACTATGATGGTTTCATCACAACACTATTAAAGTAGGCAATAAGAAGAATGTGAAATACATGGTGCCGAATGACCCCCCCTTCATGATAACATCTTAGATTAGTATCTCACTAGAATTTTTATTGCGATGTTATCTCACTATTTTGTCGATCCCATTCACTACAGATTGACATTCCAGCCTGAGAGCTATTCTTTTCATTCTATACGATTTGTGAAACATATTGTACATAATCTATTTATTTTTAAAGAATTTTGAGCTTGAAAATCATATTTGACTGCATAGATTATTTAATTTTGTCACTTTACAACCTGTTACTGAAGTTCTAGTATTAAAACAGCTGTGTAGTCGACTGTAGGACATGGTCATATTCAGTCCCGAATGATCCTGCCATGTCCTTTGTCGACTGCGCAAGATTCGGAATCTTAGAATACGCGATATATGTTGTAATGTTGGTGCTACAACGTCATTTAGCAGGATGATAGAGTGCAATAAAACGGAGTCTTGGTATGTTATGCTTATTTACTTTGTGTTGTTTGGCAGGATAACATTGGAAAGTTATCACAGATGTAAAATTGCTTTCGACGTCGCGATCTTACTAGCTGCAGAATTGGATTGTCTGTTAATTACTTGACAGCTAAAATAATATATAGATTCCCTCATCCAGCATCTCTTTTATATAATAGAAGGAAAGAGTGGATATCTGTCAAGATGTTTGAAATATCGTTTATAATCGGCTGAAATGTTTTAATAGGACTGGAGTTTCTAGTACGTTTTCCATAAGATTAATGTGCCTTGTATGGACTCTAAGACCTAACACGGGAGAATAGATCAGTAAATGCATTTGATATTATCGATACTCGATAGCCCCACAGAATATTGCTTGAAAAAAGACCTCATTTCAACGAATTCTGAAATTTATTAGTTTGGCAAATAAACCTTTCTGCCTGGCTGGATGTCCCAAAAATAAATATAATGCTTTCCAAGCCTGGGATAATATACTATCCCAAATTCAAAAGTGCACTGCATAGTAATTCATTCAACAAGACAATTAAAAAGAAACTGTTATCCACGTAATCACCCTTTCTGATTATTATCATTTAATGGTTTATGATAAATCGCAACAAGCGGGTACAAAGCTGTAGAAATAAGAATCATCAATTGAGTTAACTCGGAAAACGCCATCTACAGTACACCAATGATCCCAGAATCTTTTCGTGACCCCAATTTTTGCAAAATCGAATATTCCACAGATTCGCAACCAATCACAAAAAACTGCAGCATTTTCAGAAATCAGTATATTTGTCCACTTGTCTCAATTAGAACAATGCGCCTGTGTATGTCTGTAAGTTTTTGGAACCTTGTTGTGGCGTTGCTTAGACAAAACCACATCCGATGTTTACTTTTCGCTTTCTTTTTCTCTTACCATGATATTTGAAACTTTCTTCATTAGTGAGAGTTTCCCGTTATCTTTCATTGTATGTGTTTTTCTTCGTGACGTTTGCTTGTTTTTATAGTCCTTCCAGTTCACATTGAGATTATATTTATCTCGCAACTGAGATGCCATTTACATGTATTTCTGAAATCGGTTCAATTCTATTTTAAATCGATTATAAATCTTATTGCACGTTCAGTCGAAATTACGACGCTGTAAATCCTCACGGGACCCCACGGTGAAGATAATCAGTCAAGTACATAACACATTTTTATAAATAGTTTTATCACTAATAAAAAAATATTTACCACCCCCTAAATTTGGAAACACCCCCCTAAAATGAATACCTTGTTGTCAACGCCCGTTTTAGCCAAAGTGACTATGGCTCTTTGGTTTTAACTATAGGGTTACCATATTTTTGTAATCTCTAATCTCACCTTTAAATTGTACCTTGGGGGCCTACATTTAAAACCCTCCCGACCGTCTTCATTGACCATATTGTAATCGAAAGTTCATGCGCTGTCTGTCTACATATCGGTTTCAGTTCGAATAGAAATAAATTTACCTTGACGTTAAGCACCCTTTTGGCGTACGGGGCTTACACGTAACAAAATGTAGCAATTATCTGCTAACAAAACAACGAAACAAACAAAACCACGATTGCACCTTCAGTAAGAAGGCTACGACAAAACGCTACACAGCAACAACAGTATCAAGAACATTCCAATCGCTATTGTTCGTGTATTATGCTGACTGGTTGAACGCTAAAGTGGGATATGTGGCTGACCCGTCGAGACACCGGTACAAGACGTTAAAAAGCGGGACTGTTCCGCCTAAAAAGGGAGGTATGGTAAGTCGACCTACGGGTAACATATGACCCGCCGAAAGTTTCCGAGTGGCCCGCGCGATATTATCCGAATCCCAATGTTTTTCACAAATCTGAGCCATTATTGAAACCTCTAATAAAAAGTTATTCCTCGTCGCTTAAACGCGCGAAAAGCACCAACCAGCTATCGGAAGCTTTTTTTACGTCTCTTTGTGAGCGTAATTGCTGGAGAGAGATGTTTGAATTTATTTTTATCGTCTGCCATGTACTTCAACTTGATTTCCTGTCTTTTTTTCTACCATGCCAGAAGAGGCAGTTTTCATGACCTCAACATTTGACAGCACTTACTTGTGCGAGCAAGTTTTTCCACGGATGAACCATGTGAAATTCTCCACGAGATCACTAATTTCGCTAATGAAAAATTTGCCCTGCATTGCTATCTCGTCCAACACACCGAATATTGACAAACTTAATCGATAAAAGCGGTGTCATACTCGACATTGAAATATATATGCGTAGTAAAAACTTTTGACTTTACTGTATCTTCCTATTTTCATTGAGCTTATAATTTTGGTTTGAGGGTTTTGATTGTTTTTCATTAATCTGCAGTCGGCGTAGTAAAAACTAGAACATAACCACCATGTCAAGTGGCCCGCGAGATCATTCGTGAACTGAATGTGGCCATTCGGCCAAAAAGGTTGGACCACCCTGTACTAAAGAATGTGTTTCACTTACCTAACATCTTCTGAATAGCGTTTCATCTCTTAAAGACATTTGCATAGAATTCGGTACCTAACTAAAAGAATGAAAAATCAGTGTAAATTACATTCCAACATGGGTATTCTTCCTGATATTTTACATGATGCTTGTAGACCAGGGGTGGGCAACATACGGCCCGCGGGCCGGGTCCGGCCCGCGACGAGATTTTGACCGGCCCGCTGACTGTATCCAACCACACTCTGCAAAGTGGTCCGACGCATCATTCATGAAAAATACCGATCGCTCTACTCTCACCGCACTGTTAGTGCGAGCTGGTGAAATAAAAAATTGCCTTAGTGAACAAACAATTGCGTTAGCAGACTTGTTGAACAAACAATATAAGGTCAGAGCAGAGAGCGTTGTAAACACTCCCCACTACTGTTATCAGTTACTGTATATATATTTGGAACCTAAATATAAAAAGATTTTAGAAATTAGATTTTATATTAAGTTTTATTTACCATGGAATAACCCAAGAAACGTAAAGTTGACAGAGAGTGTCGAGCATTTGACAGAGATTGGATACCGAAGTATTTTTTGTAATAATCCGGCCCGCCGAGGGCTTTATTTTTTCATATCTGGCCCGCCGACTAGAGAAGTTGCCCACCCCTGTTGTAGACCTTACTCATACGAAAACATTCAAGCTCAATTTTGATATGATTGCTTTTTTATACCTACTCTGTTGCTCCGAACTTTACCACTCGAACAACTTGACTATTGCAGTGGCGTTTTAATGCCCCTATATATAGGCTTACCATAAATCTGAAACAAAAAACCGGGACGGTGCGATTTGGCAAACATTCGGTCGATTGCCAGTCTTTGTAATATTGAAACGTCTACCATGTCATTAAGGGTATATACGGCTGTAAATCTCTACTGATCATTGAATTAGGAAAAACACAAAAAAAAATAGTTTGTATTATTTATTTAGACCAAAGTATTGTCCGCAGATGGAACCCTTCTCAAAAATTCATGTTCTGATTTTTTTCATAAAACTGATAACAAGAGACATCACCATTAAATTTGCAGGTCACGAGTGCTTTTATATATTCTTCTTGCATTCTGAATCTGCTTTCGGATCAAAAATTTTTAACAATGGAGAAAATCCGTTCAACTGATGCCGATGTTCCGGCAAACAAAATCTACGAGTTTCTGCAAATTCGAAATGCTAATATTTCTGTTAGAAAAAACGTTAAACATCTCTGTCCACTTAATTTCAACCGGCAAAGTAAGCTAAATTGCATTTGAACCATGCTCAGATAAATATCTCTTCATCGGTATTTGTCGAAAAGTGCATTGCTATTCAAAATCTGACTAGCCAACCAAACATATATATCATTTATCAATTTTGAAGACCAAACACTTCAGTCCAGTTTATTTCACCCTTCAAATTTGTTCATATGTTTGGCCTGACAGCATTGTAGGCTTCATCATGCAGCTACGATAGACATTTCTCGTAAAAATCGCAAACATTATTTTTAAGTAGAGTTACGTCGATTTCGTCAGAGCGTTCCAAGGATTTCAGAAGTACAAGTGATTGCGACGGAATTACCAGACTTTACCCTTTTTCCTTCAAATTTAGCTTCACCTCTGACATCTACGGCAGGGATCGGCAACCTTTTGTCGATCGCGGGCCAAAATTAAGGGTTGCGAGTCATTGGCGGGCCGCACATATTTTTAGAAAACTGAAACCGAACGGATGATACTTTTATAATAAAAATCAAGCAGTAATACATCTCTCGAATACAATATAGATTTATTTCTTCATTGCATCTCAAGAAATTCCATTTGAATATTTTCAGCGCCATTGAACCATTTGCACTTAACATCAACTTTTCTGCGTTTTGTTGCCATTTGTCTAATTATAATTAAATTATAGGCACATTAAACGAGTAATTGTGAATTATATACTTGTAAGGTTATAATATAATTTAGTTTGAAAAATATAATCGTCAAAAGGCTGTTTTGTTACTATAATTCAGTGAAGCGTCACGAGCCGGATTATAATACTCTGCGGGCCGGATCCGGCCAGGGGGCCTTAGGTTGCCGACCCCTGATCTACGGCATTACTATTATCTTTTTCCATAATTAAAATAATTTTTGCGAGCTGGTGAGCTGGCAAAGGACAAATTTCAAGTGAAGTTCGTACGTTGGAACATTTAAGCATAAGAGTAGGACATCCTTCTTGAGAATTTGAATAACTTATCAAGCTTTCAAACATTTCCGTAATCCTTTGCAAAGCAGATAATAAAGGGAGGAACCGAGTGTTGCCATGCTGTAATAGCCGTTGATATTCAATATCAACAAAATCGCAGAATGGTTTCTGCTCTGTTACTCGGACAGTGTGAATGTAAAAATAATCATACATTCTGACAACAACACAAACAGGCAAAGTATCTACGGCATGATGGAAAGGGCATCGCAGTGCAGTGTTGAACTACATGAGCCGCACAATCTATACTGGTTATACTTCTTTTAGTTTTAAAAAAAAAGCATTATTTGTTTTTCGTCTTTTTAAGCCTCCAAAGTTGGTGTTGCAGTTATCCGCACAGAATCCAACAACTTTTCCGAGAACAGAGAACAAGTATTCAGTAAACGTTTTGGCGGTTTCCCTGGGTAAAGATTTGAATTCTAATAGTTTTATCTTCACACCAACATCAGATAAAAATAACGAACCACGAACTGGAACAAGCTTTAAATTTTTCTGTTTGATGCATCGAAGGTTACTGATACAAAACTGGTTTAAAGTAAATCATCATTAGGTTCAGAGGAGAACAGCGGAGCAATGCAATTAAAAATCACCGACTCTCATTTATTTCTGGCTAAACGTGCAAAATCAGCGAATCCGCTTATCAGACAGCGGACATCAGAAATTCTAACTGTGTATATTTACAAGTTAACGCAAATTTAGGCTAAAGAAAAATTAAAATTAATTTAGAGGTGCAGTCAAAACTTTGGCCATGAATAGCAGTGTGATAGTAAAACATATACCGATTGTGACATAACAATAGAGCAATTTCTCTCTCTCTGAACTAGCGAAGTGTGTCGCAAAACAGTGGCAAATGGGCTGTCACCGTTGAAAAAAATTGTAATAATAATGAATATGAATTTTTTACCCACGACAGTCGTGCTGACAAACCGGGGCATTTGAGTCAACCGGCCGGGACGCCGGGACAGCTCGTCAAAACCGGGACTGTCCCGGCTAAACCGGGACGTATGGTAAGCCTACCTATATAGACGCTACTTTGAGTCATTCACCATTTATATATTTTAAGTAACCAATGCCATACACTCACATGAAAACCTTCTCTTCTTATTTTAGTCATCAATCAAAAATGTCAAATTCGTTAATATCATAATTGATCAAGCAAGTAATTTGGCTGAATTCATATCTAGGTATATATATTTATAAGTAATGCTTATATCATCCCAAACGCTTGCCAACTAAATTATTCTTCCATTGAAAGTTATTGATGGTTTCGGACAAACGTACAATATCACACCCTAGATGTCTTATCACATCTAAAGCCTATGTCTTTCACGTTATAAATATTGAGTGGTACTGGTAACTGATCTCGATGTCCACATGATCGTATTGATACCAGTTGCTATACAGTTCATACCGAGAATTTGTTGCACCAAGATGTCGCATAATCTGAACCCTAACCTGGTACACAACCTTAGTTCAGGTTGTGCGCCATCTTGGTGCGCATACTTCAGGAAGTTCGACAAAATAAATAAACTCTCTACTTAAAATATGAGAAATCTGTTACTATTTCGAGATGTTCAAGAATTGAAAAGCAAAACGTAATAATATACCAAACATATCTTCACATTAAAAATTGTATTCATATTAATGATCGAAAAACTTTGAAAGAAACTTTAAGAATTATTTACAATGTTTAGTTAAATTTAATTAGCTGATTTTGATTTAATTTAAATTTGGCATACGACTCGATCACTCTGCATAGAGAGATTTCGTTAACTTTAGTCTCTCTATGCAGAGTGATCCCAGTCGTACGTCAAATTTAAAATAAATTACAATCACTTTGCACGATGACATAAACATGTTTTTTTCATGTCATTTCTATGCATAATCAAGTAACATAAAATATTAGAAATAGAAAAAAAATTGTCTGACACTATTTGAGGACATGGAAATTTTCTTAAAACAATTTTAACTAACTGTAAAATATTCTGTTATTCGGTTCGGTTTTCATATGTTGTTTTCAAGCTCCCGACGAACACAAACGTATTTCAGGCAACATTGTACTACAAGATAATAAATATGCAGATGTATTTCATAACGTTGGCCTCCCAACTGTGCCTCCGTTTTTGACTTTTTGAATTTCATTGAATGTTACATCTAAGTTTCGCGAAGTTTCGAGAGAAGATTGTTCCTTTGAGCGTTGACTGTTTGTACAATACGGCGTGCTTTTTTCCGAAATTTTGGTCTGTGATCGGTTCCTCATTCATGTAATGAAACACCAGATGCATGCACCATTTCATGAATCAAAACTTCCAATGCCTTTTCAAGGTTTGTCATCGCCGATTTCATGAATAATTTCTATTTAATTCTATATTTCCTGGCGTCGCTACCGGTATACCCTCACATCTTTATTTAGGTTGATAGTAATTAACAGAGGCTCAATTGCTACAATTAACATATAAATACTCGGCGAATTTCATTTTCAAATTTTAGTGATCCTTGATTTCATCCAGCTCGTTGTCACTGATTGCGTACCGGCACCCTACTGCCAGATTTACGGTAATTTGACAAGCTCAGTCATATTTTGCCATCTACATTCTCACACGCCTCTACCGTATTTCGTCACCCCTAATCTGACACCATACCCGACCTATTTCGTCACCCTTAACCCGACACCCCGCAACGACCGTATTTCGTCACCCCCAATCTGACACGCAACGACCGTATTTCTTCACCCCCAATCTGACACGCACAGACCGTATTTTGCCACCCCTAACTTGACGACCCTATTTCGTCACGCCCATTTTGACACACAACGGCCGCATTTCGTCACCCCTATACCTGCTCTAAATGTATGAGACGTTCAATATCGCCGTAATATCTATCTAAAAAGTAAAAAGATAATTGTGGTAAATTAAGTTCAAATACAAAACCACTTTTAACTATGATACATATATATTTTTCATAAAATTACCGGAATATACGCTATGTTTTGTATTATACAGGTCCAGTTCAAAACGTGATACTAGGCTACTATTCTGACATGCGGAAATCAAATCATTACGGTTTCTTCGCAGCGACCGTAATTCGTCACCGCTAACCTGACACCACGCAACGACCGTTTTTCGTCACGCCTTATCTGACACGCACCGACCGTATTTCCCACCCTCAATCTGACACGCACCGACCGTATTTCGTCACCCCTAACTCGACTCGACGACCCTATTTCGTCACCCCCAATTTGACACGCAACGACCGCATTTCGTCAGCCGTATTTTGACACCCCCAATATGACTTTTATACTACCAACCCCTCTGATTGAATATTGAATGCGCAATTGCACATTGTACTCAGTCAGCGCATAGCTCAAACTTGTCAAATCGATCCCAAGATCGCCAAAATCCGAATCCAATTTAATCGGGCAGTTTATCGTGTATTTTCATATCCGCAGTATTTATATATTTATAGTGCTCTCATTTTACCGTAAGTCGATGCGAAGGCGAGTTACGAACTTACGATGAACACAATTAAATTAATATGGCAAGACATTTTGAAAGCTCGCATAGGCCATGGATCGAATATTTTACGCAACGAAAAAATCGTATCCGCCGAGAAATCGAGTTTTAGAAGCCGTTGCACTGGAATTTTCGATTCCGATTCTTTATCCCATGGAGACGAAAGTCGATAAGACGGCTTAATAATAACCCCGAAAACGGCCTCTCGACCGGTTTTCAGTCCATGTCGGGTGTAGGCGGCGAGTCCAGCATTCCGGCCACACATAATTATTCCTCACGGGATTCGAAACCATCATGAGTAATCAAGAGGTGCGATAGCGAGCGTATTCCAGCACTATCCATCCCACCGCCAAAACCAGGGGTGGGAAACATGAGGGGGCCAGGTCTGGCCCGCGACGGGATTTCGACCGGCCCGGTGACTGTATCCAACCACACTCTATAATGTGGTCCGACGCAATGTTAAGTTTTATTAACCATGAAAGTTGACAGAGAGTGTGGACCATTTAACAAAAATTGGATACCGAAGTATTTTTTTGTAATAATCCAGCCCGCGGAGGACTTCATTTTCCCACATCTGGCCCGCCGACGAGAGAAGTTGCCCACCCCTGGCCAACACCATTGCAGTACCCACCCCGGCCTAGCTAGCTGTCAGAGGGGCACTAAGCTGTATAATTTAATTTCCCTAGATTTGAGTAACATAAAATCCTATGACTATCTGATTTAGAGAAATGCCACATAGGAACAAAAGAGGTTATTATATAGTGATTGGTGATATATTTGCAATTAAAAACATTATAAGCAATCAACTTAACTTGACTGCCCAGTCACAGAAGCTGTTCTTTGTAAAATATGGACAACACATGGAAATATTTCAACATTGTTCATGTGTGGCCAATACTCAGTGAAACAAATCAAACTAAATTTTGCAATGAAGTGTGGTGTTCAAATACCCAAATGAGTAAACTTAAATTAGTAATATTTGTCAGTGAAAAAAACTATCATGAATAAAACTTTCAATTTCGAATTTAGTTAGAATGCAAATTTTGAAATTCCCTGTATATTTTTATGGGGGTTGAACTGAAAAGCCTCTATGAAAAGGCAGTAGATGACCATCTTAGTTGGAAGAATTGTGGGCGCGGCGCCAGGCAGTACAAGTTATTTAATTGAAAAGTATGATTTTTTGCTGGGTTACAATATATTATATAGATTTGCAAGTATACAATTATTGATGAAGACACATATATAATATTGTAGTAATATGAGCGCTTACATGTGCAGGTTAATAATAGTGCGTGCTTAATAACTTCATAATAGGCTATATACAAAAAGGGTCGCCCAGAGTCATTTTTACACCACTCTACATTCAAATGAATGTCAACGAGTAGTGTGAAACAACAACCGAGCAATACTGCATTTGTGGAACCCTTGAAAGTATAACAGTTATATAATATGATTATATGGTTGCTGAGTATATAATAGTATATAAGCATGCACTATACATAAACAAAAAATCTGTTATTTAGTTAACCAGAAATGTTCATACTTTCCAAAAACTTTGATTTTAAGTTTTATGCCAGTGATTTATGATGCCCAACTAATTCTAAATTAAAAAAATGAATAAAACTTGGGATATATATTTTCAAATACTGTTCTCGTGGACAGATTGACTTGAGAAGTAAATTTTTCGAATTTTCGAAGAAATTTAATGATTTAAAACATTTCAGATATATTAAACCACCTAAGGCTGCTAACCAAAAATATTTTCCAGGGCAATTGGGTGGATGTCAATCATCAAAAAAATTTACCACATACAACCATTATACACGCAATTTTATCATTTGCATATAAAGTTTTCAAATACATTATCATAATTCATAATACAAGAGCAGAACAAAAAAGTCAATGACCCATGACAAATTATTCAATATTTGAGACATTTATAAAAAACTGCAAGCCAAAAGGTATGGTTGCCTGTATCTCAATTTCAGAAGTGTTTTAGTAGACATGAAAACAGAAACAAACTGGAAAAATTAGAGGCAAAATTCAGTCAAGATTCGGTAAAAATCACAAAAATGAGTCAGGCCATAAAAATAAAAACTAACAAAATGATCTAAGTTTTTTAATAGCCATACAAAATACTGCTGGAATATTATTGAAAAATTGTTTGATAAAGGACGGTTTATGAAAATTCCAAATCCATACTAATATTATTTCTATGGACATAATTGAATAACGGAGCCATGCAAGTGTATATACAATCAATGATTACATAAAATAAAGTTATATTTACAATAACACATCAATATGGAGAATGAAAGCACTATTTATATATAAGAAATGGCTGGAAGACATTTGATTTTGTTTGCAGAATTATTAAAATTAAGCGAATACTTATTTACAAAAATTATATTTACACATTCTACTCTTAAATAAAGCATGGTTATACTATATCAGGGGTCGCAACCTTTAATTTTGGCTCGCGAGGGACAAAAGGTTGCAGACCCCTGTACTATATGGTAGGGATGAGCCTTCAAAATCAACTTGTATTCAGTTCATATATTTTTCAATTGTAGGAAATGTATGGCAAAACTTTGAATAGTTTAATTAAATGTTTACAGTTACACACACCTTCCGCCTACACTCCAGGTATACGAGTTGGGGCCATAATATGTACATTAAATCTATTATATGTTGAAATTTAAGCATTCCCCAAAAACGAGTAGAATCGAAAAATGTTAGGATGTAGAACCTTGCTAATAGGAAGCACAAAAATTGGACACGGGGAAGAATTTGATGTAATGGAAGACATATATTACACGAGAAAGGATGTTTAAATGATACCAGGATACCGTAAGTATCAAAAGTTAATAATAAATTTATTTAATTTATGGGATGCTATGATGACCAAACAAATGGATAATAGCTAAAGTAAAATTGATTATGAATATCCATTTTAATATAGCCTATAACGGCCAGTTTTCGCTTCGCTGTCCAAGTTGAATAGGATTATGAATATCCATTTTAATACGTAACAGCCAGTTCTCACTTCGCAGTCTAGTTTTTGAAATGAATCATGTCGTGGATAGAATTTTTCGTTAATGATGTTGATGACCAAAATGAACTGAACTATAGACTACAACTGTCATGGTCGGACTGCATATTTCCATTTTTTGATATGTTTTCATAGACAAAACTAAGTTTTCTTTGGAACTCTGTGTATATTTATAAATCCTCACAGACAAATCAGCAGAACCTGTTGAAAATAAGAGTACAGGAGTAGACTATGATCATCATAACACTTTTTCGAAAATAACGGTACCGGTACGGTAACCGGGAGGCGGACAACTCACCAGAGACAACTCCATAATCAGCATAACACTAAAATGATTGATAAAAACAAATAAATGAAAACTGACTATGAAATCAGGAGAGCAAACAAAACCTTAGATAATATAAGATGGAAGTTAATCGCTTACTATTTCGTAATAAAGCATTATTTCATAACACTTACGTGGCAAATAGGGCCATATCCAGGCCAAGATGGCGACAAGCAATACGAGGAAGAACAGCGGGATCGCTGTCCTGGACCGCTCCTGCTTTCAGATCTATCAAAGCGACAGTGGATGTTTCTCCGACCTTTGACCCCAGAGTAATTCTCTCTATAGAGGACTTGCACGGGTCACGTGACTTTGTTTACTGGACGGCAATAAAACAAAAACGTCCATTTGGCTCCTGTCAGTTGCAAGTCGGATTATACGTTTCCGTTTTGTTTGGCTGTTGAAAATGGTTATTTCGTATTGTTCCGTTGGCTGTACGTATAGTAGGCTTTGAACAACGAAATGGATCTTCAGAAATATTCCACTGATTTCAAAAGATCCGGAACGTCGCGCTATGTGGATATCATCTATTGGCAGGACTGCTTGGTGTCAAGTCCAGAAGCCATCTCACTTGTGTTTCACTGTTTGAGGACAGCACTTTGTTGATGGTGAGAGATAATGTGCCGTTATCAATTTCTTTAAATATTCACAAGCTCCCTCATTTCAATGGAAAGCAGATGACAAACTACTGTTATTAGTAGGCCTAGGCGTAGGCCTACTGGCAGTTGCAGACTTGAATTGTGTAAGACAGTAAGGAATTAATATTCAATTGCTATAAGTATTGATTCCCTAATTAGCAGGTAATCTATGTGGTCATGCAAACAATAACCAGAATTCAATTGAATTCGCCATCTAGGAATACGCTCGCCACCGCATCTCTGATCACCCTGGTAGTTTCACAGGTTCCAATCCCATGCGGGGATAGTTATGTGCGACAGGTTTGCGACTCTACTCCCACCGAGGGTGGTTCACATGACCGCTGATCGGTTACGACCATCACCCACCATCCAAGTCCATGCTTCTGAAAACAAATAACTGCCCAAGATAAATCCTATCCTAAAGGTGCTTGTACAACTGATCCAAAATGTCTTTTTATTGTCATTGGTAAAAAAGATATGCTACCCGGAATCAAATTCATTTACGTCTAGTGTTTGTGGTGGGATATGGACATAAATTTCACACCACTTGCTCGTTAGATTTTATGAAAACTCTACAATTATTACAAAGCTAGTGCAGGATCATGATATCGAATGAATCTGTATCCATTATCTTACAGATATGGGTGCGATCATGGAATAGATGGATGGCAAAGTATAAGTTGCAACAAGACCACAGTGGCACAAGACCTCAGCTTGCGTGACTTGATAATACATCCTCAGTATCCATTTATTGATGCTTATCGTAATGACAAAGTAACTTGTGATTACTGTGGATTGGTGGAGATAAAGTGTCTATTGTGCTTTAACGAAAGCAACTTCAAGACGACCCTATCAAGAACAAAAAAATTGTTTCGGTGGGTCTGGTAGTGAAGGTTTCAGTCTAAAGTTGGACACCGATACTACAACCAAATACAGCTGCCAATGAAACTTAGCGAGGCGTAATATTGCGATTTTTTGATCTGAAAGAAAAGTCGGCTAGCCGCAACCTTTTGTTTAAAGAATATTATGAGATATGACTTAAGAGTCTAAACTTTTATTTGAGAGGGGTGTAACCCAAGCTAATTTGCAAATGGTATTCATGGTACCGAATGTATCACACACTTTACAGTAATTATAAATTATATTTGAAAAATAAAGCACATCAAAAATGTATTTTTAAAAAACAATTGGTTTTATCTGCAGATACCAGGTTTATGTTGAGATTGACCATTTTAATGCTATATTTTCCTTAGTCAAAACGCACACTTGATTCACAAAGATTCGTGAATGCGCCCAGTACACCAATTTGTCTAATGCTTTGATTCCATAGACAGGAGATTGCGGATCGGTGCTGCTCAGGATGGGATATTTTTGCCTATAAATGCATATTACGTGTTTCACATGAATCCATCGTGCTCTGATTCGACTGTTTTCAAGGTCTGAATGCTCCAACTGCCTAATTTTATCGGTACACAAAAGAATTGTCAGTGTGGCATGCATGGGTCAGTTGGAGTCACTAACCTCAAAATATCTATAAGTAGGGATAAGATAACCTGGAAGTAACATTCCATAATGTAGAGTAAAAAATGTATCTGCCTCCACAGCCCTTTTAAATGGAAGATATGATGCCTCGGGGGTAATTTCTATCAAATATTTTACAGTATTATGGTTCTAGTGAAAAGGGGTGTAGGCGGCTTCTTTTAAAGGGTGGTAGGTCTAGTCGAAAGACACATTAAATGTTTATGCTAACAACTGCAAAGTAATATTGCAACGCATACAAGTTAATAGAATTTGTTGAAATGGTCCTGCTTTTTGCCTTTCTTCAAAATCCCCCTTTTTCTAACTATTCTCTTCCTCTCCGGGGATGGCAAAAATTCAAATATCGATGGGACATAAGAAGCTGATAAAGGGTTATCTTCCCTTTTTCCTGAAAATAAATTAAACACTAATCATCATTTGACAGTGCCAAGTTTGTGTATCAGATCAGTAATAAATGACTTGCTAACAAACAAAACAATCAGACAACACCTTCTGACCATTAATGAAGATTTCTCTCGATTTAAAACGCAAATATGCCTACCAATGTGGGTAGTTTTTAGGATAGGATTTCTCTGTGGTTTGGGACAGATTGCAAGGTGCAACATCGTACGATTACCATTCTATGTCGGGATTAGTTAGCCAGTTATTTGTTTTAGAAGCATGGACTTAATGGTGGGGGATGTCGTAATCGACCAGCGGTCGTGTGAACCACCCTCAGTGGGAGAGCTGCTATCCTCTCGCACATAACTAACCCCGCACGGGATTGGAACCTGTGAAACTCCCAGGGGGATCAGAGATGCCGTGGCGAGCGTATTCCTAGATGGCGAATTCAATTGAATTCTGGTTATTTTTTGCATAAGCACTGGCGTTAAACTTTAGTTATCTATTCAACCTTTCACACTTACTAATAGATTACCTGCTAACTAGGGAAACAATACCTTATGGCAATTGATGAATAATTGCTTACACAAGTCAAGTCTGCAAGTAGGCCTAGGACTACCAATAACAGTAGTTTGTCATATGCTTTCCATTGAAATGAGAAGGCTTATGAATATTTAAAGAAATTGATATCGGCACATTATCCCTCACCATCAACGAAGTGCTGTCCGCAAACAGCGAAACACAAGCGAGATGGCTTCTGGACTTGACACCAAGCAGTCCTGCCAATAGATCATATCCCCATTGCGCGACGTTCCGGATCTTTTGAAAACAGTGGAATATAACTGAAGATCCATTTTGTTGTCTATACTATACGTACAGCCAACGGAACAATACGAAATAACCATTTTCAACAGCCAAACAAAACGGAAACGTATAATCGGACTTGCAACTGACAGGAGCCAAATGGACGTTTTTGTTTTTTTGCCGTCCAGTAAACAAAGTCACGTGACCCGTGCAAGTCCTCTATACTTCACTATGGATCTTTCCCTGAGCACCGACTTCCTTGTTAATTCGTGACATTAGCCAATCAGCAAAAAGTGACGTAACAAGGCTCCCTTTTTTCATCCGCTCAGACACTTTTCTCACTCGGACAGAGATCGGGGAAAGGTCCATAGCGAAATATTTCCAAACATATTTTGAGAGTGTTTTGGCGAGTTGGCGCTTACAAACTGTCTTAAATGTCTGAAACCATCATTTTTTATCAAAGCAATCAACCACGTGCCTCTTACAAGTGCTGATGTCTAATTTCAACCGCGACTAATTTTTTGTTACCAATTACCATGATGTAAGCCGTAACCACAAAATATCCCGTCAGAATGCAAACAACCGAAGCCCAAAACAGCAAACGGAATCCCTTTAACACCAGACTTTCAGATTCTATTCCATATGCACTGGTTGAAAAATTCATTTTGAAGTCTTTGTAATATTACCGCAATTATGTTTTCTCTCCGCTAAGCGAATATTAAATATATATTATCCCCTGTCAAATTATTCCTATTGTATATTGAATGTTCATTTGATTTGAAAATCAATTCATGCATTATAATCACGAGCGGCGTACTGAAGATAATGATAACTTTTACTAAAATATAATAAGACCTTTGTTGCGAGATAAAAGCATGATAACAAAAGAAAATAATATATAGTCTATGATTTAATATTGATTGAAAGCAAATATGGAATCGCTCCGGTACAATGCTGTAGGCCTACAATTTTCGAATTAATTATGAATTGAAGATAATACTTTAGACAAATCATCATATAGCTTCCCAAGTCAAATTTTCTCATTTGGGCCGTCTTTGTTGTTCTGGCGCATGCAGAATTAAATTTTGGAGGTCATATTAGAATTCAACGTGTTTCAAATTACCCACGTTACCAACGATATTTAAACAAGCACGCAGTGATGTAACTATATTTCCTTCTCCAAAATAAAAAACTTGTAATTCAAAGTTTAAAATAGTTCTTTGCTCATGCCTATCATCTCCAAATAAGCAAGATAGCCTACTATGTAGACCCGTAGGGGTTTCGGAGAATATGAACAGTTTTATCTCGAATTTAACTTGTCATTATAATAATCAAATAACAATTATAATAATCAAAATGATTTTCGAAATGTACCAAAACGTTCGGAGCTGACTTTGATGACCTTGTGGTCGTATTCCTCCAGCCTATACGGAATTGTTATCTGGTTGACGCTAAAATAAATCTCTCTCTCCTATAAACCATTTGAGCCAGATTTTCACTCAAGGGCATTAGTTGAATCAGCTCAGTACATAATATGTCATCCTGATAAATTTTGCCCATCATCATGTCCATGACGCTTCTGACCTCATTTTTTACCTGTTTTATGAATATTATTCGATCTTTTGAAACTACTTTAAAAAATACAACAAAAATATGGTAGCACTTATCCAACTCACGTATTCCATTCTCACAACCTCGTCCGTCAATTACGTTTGCCATCGTGGCCTCGCCATCTTTTTTGCTCTGAAATCAAAATGAAATGCAGGTATTGTAATACATCCTTCATTGGATTATCAAGTCATTTTGATCATATTTAAATCATATTTAACCGAAGTATATTTGATTTTTCAAATAAGTGTGCAATCCTTACAGTATATTAACACAGTATATTAACGTAAAAGTCATTATTTATATATATACCTTTATGTTTTTCTTCGATGCTTTCTTCTCATTTCTTGACTTTCTCTAAAACATTACCTGTAAGTATTAGTCAAATTTTACTATAAGCTTTTCTCACATGAATCCAAAGCAACAAATCATAACTGAGAACAGTCGTAAACCTTTTTTCATTGAGACTTCGGACGAATCCTAGCATAATCTTGCAAACTGGGTAGACTGCGATTAATTCTATGCACGTCATGGCGCTTTATGTCGGAAGGAGTCCAAAACCCCGCAGGTGATGAGCGTGCATTTTGTTTTCGTGTTGATAGAGCGGTTTGTGGTCTAATCTTCCTGTATATATATCCAAAAAATATGATAAATTTGCTTATATCATTCATATTTCAATCGTTCATGTAAGAAGCTAATATAGACTATATGGAATGATACGTCTTGTGGGGTATTGTTGGTAAAGCTTATTAGGGAGCAAGGTCGATATAATCAGATAGGTTTTATACAAAATGAATTAAATTAAAAAAATTCACGAGATTTTTCATTTTAACGGTTACATGTTCTAATGAAAATTCAGCGTTTACAAATGAAGACAGTGATGGTAAGCGTCCAGAGTCGACTGGCTTTTTCAAGTGTTTGCGCCATCTTGTGAATAACTACTTTTTGATCAAAACACACCCCGTTAGCAGTTTAAATCTCATCTTTATGACGTATGTAACTTTTGAATGCCCAGGCATCACTTTTGCAGGCTAGTATTAAAGTATAAATATATTTCAATTACAAACCAAATAAACGAACCTGAAGGTTGGTGTTATTTCCAATGGGCGACAGTTCTAACGGTTTGCGCGTGTTAACCTGAATTAAAAGAATGCACATATTTCACTTAAACTCATGATGTTGTAATACATAATGTATGGATAAAATTTGACAATATCCCCGGCTTTCCAAATATTTTTTCGTCGACGAATTGTGGATAAACTTAATCCCTTTGATTGATACATCTACCTATATTACATAAAAATGTATATCGCTAAGCTTACAGTAATAAAAACATTGGGCAAAACGGCCAAAGATTTAACGCAGCGACAAGAGTGAAAAAACATGTATTTTTTACCTATGTGAGCACATTTTTATACTATTGTTCGTTGTCGCAGTATCTTTCACGCGCGTAATTACTAGTTAACCTTGACTCTATTTGTTTGTGGCTAGTTTCAATAAAATGTAACTACCACCGTATTCAAAACAAACTCCACGGTAGAGGGTTGTACGATTTATGATTGTGATGCGTTGGCCTTATTTAGTTGAAAGAAAATGGCCAAAACAAAGATCGTGATGTGTCAGAGGAATACTTCCACTACTGTGGGTATGAATTTTCCTTGGTACGAATATTCATGGGTGAATTCAGGAAGGTTCAATTAGAATTTAATTTTCGAATGTCGTTTTTGGTGTTTATAAGAATATCGATATCGCGCACACATCTTAGGGCAGCCGTCCACGTTTTGATTGAAATATATTACGATCGTTTTATTTTATGTTTTATCGTAATCGAAGACACACATGTGCGACGCGACAATAAATTACAGCCGACAAGAAAGAATTTAAATCAGCGCCGACTTGAAGTATACGATAATAATTGTGAAATATTTTATTTTATTTAATAACAATTATATAATAATTGTAAAATATTACCTAAGTATTCGGTTGTGGCCATCCCGGGTGAAAGTATTCGTGGGTGTACATGTCCACTAATAAGTACCACTAATACTTATATATATCAGCCCCATTCGAATGACACAAAATTCTGTAACCCAATTTAATACTAATAGAGATGAGCCATATGACTAAGCTAAAAAAAAACGAATTTTATAATCATTACCAAATTACAATGTTTTCTCATCATCCATCCATTTATCACGCGACAATATATGAATTTAATTATAATTGACACGCGATGTACATCGGTGTGCACACATCGTTCAGCGCAAATCGCCGCAAATTAAAGAATGCAGCAGGTGTATTCTGCTGGACTTCAGCATCGTCGTGTGGTAGCGTATTTCGGTGCATTGAACTGCCTTCGGCAAGATAGAATTCCAAAATACATATGTGTCGCCTCGGATCGCATGTTCGACTAATGCGAACTATTGTGTACCTTTAATTTAGTCAAAAGTTTTATTAACGAGAATTTAGATTTTTTGATTGTCAAACAAAACAAGTGAGAGAAAGGAATGAAATTTCCATTTGAGATTTCCAAGCATCCCGCTATATGACATAGGCTTCGAGTATATATCGTATGAAAATATGATAGGTGACTATGTTATGCACATGTAATTGAACAGAATGAAACAGAAAACCGAAGCACGTAAAAGTTATCCTAACAATACATCAATTTTTCTAATCACAGCCACATGCGAGGTATAAAGATTTTGGTAACAAATTATTCACTAAAGTGATATCTGTTATTGCTGAATCATGATTGATTTTGACTATATTCTCACAAAGATCGGGAAAATCGGATTATATCAGATACTAGTGATCTCAATGATATATTACTATGGAATCCCGTGTGGATTGAATACCTTACTACCCGTGTTCACTAACTATATACCGTATTACAGGTGCGTTATCCTAATAAATTTGTAATAGCCAGAAGTTGATTCTAATATATTGTTACAATCATTCTAGTTGACTAACTATCTATCTCACGGTATAGTTCAATTAAAGGGGGGTAGCCGTTTAAACTGCAAGCAAATTTAGTATAAATGCGATGAATATATATAGTCAAATAAGAATGACTTAAAAATCGAAGGTACAACTTTGGTTCGTAAGCAGAGATGCTGCACAAATTAGTATTCCTATCGTTTTTGTATTATTAATCAGATGCAAAGTTCCACCATTTGATAATGAGCACTCCGGCTTGAACGAAACGCAAATATTAGCAATAACAACACCACTCGACGAGAATGGCGAATATGATACATGCAGAAGGTATGAAACATATTTTCAATAATAAACATATATTTGTACCAACTTGTTTCGCTATAAGAGTTACGACGTGTACTTCGTTTTGGTTAATGGTACATAAATCTATTAGGGGAAAACATTTGATGAATGATGATGCACTTGATAAAAAAATGATATTGTTTTAGTAATTTGCCCTTTTAGGTACGACTACAATGCAACTGAATGCCACAAACACGGAAATATTAGTTATGATTGTTTGGAAAATATCAATGAAACAATTCCATGCACAGAAGGAGATGGATATTACTACGATAGGTCATTGTTCACAGAAACTGTTGTAACCGAGGTTGATTTTTTTCACAAAATATAATATATTTTATGGGTAGCCTACTCCTGAAGTATGCGTATCAAGATGGCGGACACCAGAACGTAGTATGTGTACCAGGTTAGGGTTAGGCCATAATTTTGTTCCAACTTTCCTTATTTCAGTTCTATTACGAGTTCGGGACTAGCCAAGTGACTCCCGTAGTATTTGTACCTAAAAGTATGGCCTAACCTTAACCTGGTACACATACATACTACGTTCTGGTGCCCGCCATCTTGGTACGCATACTTCAGAAGCGCCATTTTATGTAAGCTTATGACTGTAGTAGTGCGAGTTGTCTCACTGTGTTGGTGCACTTTCACTTGTTTTAACTTCAATACACGTATTCGCAAGAAGAAACAAGCTTGAAATATGACTATTAGCGACTGCCAGGGTATCATGACGAACATGTTTTCGAAAAATAACCAAATCATCTGATAATTTTCAGATGGATTTAGTGTGTGAAAAGATTATATACAGCTATGTGTCGACTTCTCTGTATATGGTTGGTCTTCTCTTGGGATCGTTCATTTTCGGAAATTTTGCAGACAGGTATATACCGCAGTAAACAATGTCAATTGACTGAACGTATTTAATCTCAGTTTTGTCTCGAAGCATTGCTTCCAACGTATTTTCAAATTCTAGCCGAACAAGCAGGGTGCCAACTTTTGCATTTTTGTACTCAATGAACCTCCGATTTCATTTTTAACAATTGTTTTGTACATTCGTCTAAAAAAAGAAATTAGTGAAGTTGAGCCTGATACTTTCAGCTTAAAATACCTAATTTTCTATTTACATTAGCAATACAGCACTGCCTGTACCACATCATCAACACTATTATTAGGAACGAGCAATTGGCATCTTCCAAATTATTCGGAACAAGCTATTGGCAATTTCCTAATACAGTATGTTGTATAGTCCTTATAATTAATACGCTAATTCTGTTGATGACGACAGATATGGCAGAAAACCCTCGATTATCATCACCTGTATAGGAAGTGCCATTGGGCTGATTTTAGCGGCTTTGTCACATGTCTACTGGTTGTATACGTTTTCTCGAGTATTCAATGCTGTTTTTGGTTATGGATTGTATATGATAAATTTCGTTTTAGGTAAGTGAAATGAGAAGTTAATTAATTAACTGCACACTTTCCTTTGATTCTCAACTGAACTGAATTTACTGGCTGACCTATTTATGGAGTATGCATTCCATGAAGATCTGCTAAAGCAGAAATAGTTTATTGGTCATTGGTTGTAGTCTGGCGTAGCATATCGAATGTATTTATTTTAGATTCAAGTATGGTAATGAACATGTAAATGTGATAATATCCAATACATTTATCCACTAACATCAGTGGTAGACATTTATGTGCAAAACTCTAGTTTTAAAAGCACGGCCAATGGCAAAACGTATGTTCGTGCGTGACGATGGGAAAGCCTTGTGGCCAACTTTCTTTTTGTTTATAGTGGTGGAATTAGTGGGCCCAGAATGGAGAACGTTAGTAGGAATTGGATACCAATTTTTCTACGCCATTGGTGTATTGACTTTATCCGGTGTTGCTTATGGATGGCGAGATTGGCATCAAATGCAGGTAGGTTATAATACTACTAAGAAAATCTACAACGGTATTAAATCCTCGATATTCATACGTGTCACAGTCAATGTATTTGAATGGTGAAACTATTGTTATGAACCACGTAACATTTAAATATACTATATATATATATACATTCCTTTAAGTTATGCATTTGCAATTACATTAAAAAATTATTACTTATGCTGCGTAAACAATTCACATTATCACTTGGAACCAATTCAGGGGGACATTTGCTAAACTTCGTAAATAAAAAGCGAGGTTTACAAGCATGTAAGTGAGTCCCTCACGGACGCAATATCAAAATTCCATATGGAAGATTAATGAAGTATCTCGTAAACACACGTACGGTCAAATACACTGTCTCGAAATCTTCAACAGTACTGTTCGAATGAAAGTAGGCATAAATTGGTGGGCACTTTTATGATTATTTTTCTACCGTTGCAGTTTGCTGGATTATCTAGTCAATCATTACTGAATTAGGAAAATTTTATATGAAGTGTGTAAATATCACAGCAAGACTATTTCAAATTGAAAGAAAGTTTCCCAATTTTTCGAGAAAATGTGGGAAGAAAGCACTACACGAGACCTCAGATTTGGCGCCAAAATATTCTATCGAATATTTATAATATTTAGTTAATGTTATTTTTGCTTTTTACGAAAAAGTTGGTACTTTAATAAACATGTCAAATGTTAACGATGTTTAGCAAATGGAGCCTCTGGTCAAGTACAGACTATTATTAAAGTACTATGTTTTGTCGTGCGATGTACCTTTTATTTTCTGCATTCATTTTATTGCTTTTAATCGTTATGTTGGTTCGTCTTTCGTAATATTTGTTAATATATAGTGGGGCCTCATCATTATTTCTGTGCCGTTTGTGTGTTTTCTTTTTCTTATCCCGGAATCACCAAGATGGTTATTTGGAGTCGAAAGAAACGAAGCTGCCAAAAAGGTACGAAGCAAATACGTTTACAAAGTATTGTTGCATTATTATTCATTGGACTCTAATACCCGCAACAAGATCGCGGATAAAGTTGTAACTTTCCGATTTTATATGTTGTTATGTTATTCATATAACAGTATTCATATAGTAGACTATGTCCAAGCGATTACTGTGTAATCACGCAAATATTTAATCACCCTTTACACACCTTTAGATAACAAGTCGAATAGAAAAGTTCAGCAAAATAGATATCACTGAAGAAATGTGGTTGGAAGCCGAGAGACTGGGGACTGAAATAAAGGTATAGCTTATTCAGTTAGTGTGCTAATTCTTTCCTTGTATAATTTTACTTTACTTGATGTGCTAGATTGATTTTAACTCATTCGATTACAGTGTTAAGCTGTTTGCACCAATATCATTTTTAATTTTTGTTCATACAGGGTCGTGATCGTAAACAAGAAGAAGAAAACAGAAAATATTCATCCTTAGATTTATTCAGAAAACCTGGAATTCGACTAACAACTCTAAAAGTCATGTTCACCTGGTAGTTAGTTACACTTGTGTTTTTTGCGAATTTCCCAACCATATCGAACTATATTAGCATACCCTACTATTTTACTCTCACCGAAACTATTAAACATTTTGACCCAATTTTGCATGCTTTATTGATCCCCTGATTGCCCTGTGTTGCTTCGAAACCCGTGTGAGGAGAATATTGGCGAGAAGATAGCTGAACTCCTTGGTCGTCGTAGGGTCGTTCACGTAACCAATGGTTCGTTACGACTTACTTCACCATCAAGTCCATGCATCTGGAACAGACAAGTGACTAACAAATCTATACTTGACATAGCGTGGCCCGCCATATGATTAAGTCGTCTTATCGGCTTTCCTTTACCTTGGATAAATTTGTAAATTCTTTCCTAATTGTATTATTCACATGCTTTCAACATAATTCCATACAAAAAGATCATTGGGGTTAGATAGCTGTGATCGGTTACTGGAATTTCACTGATTCCGAATAACATATCTGAATACTTATGTCCTAACGTGGGCGCGTAATAGTCATTCACCCAAACTCAAAACCCAAATGTATAACTTGAGAAGCTATAGGTAGCTACTTGGCTGGCTATGAAAAGTTATAATCAAAAATGGCAAAGAAGTTGTTGATGCGATTATCAGACAAACTCACTATTTAATTTCACTTTTATTGAATCTACTCGGCCAGTAGTCACGGGTGTATAATTGTTCTATTTCAGGTTCGTCAATAGTCTTGTCTATTATGGTCTTTCATTAAACATCAGCTCGCTAAGTGGTAACATTTTCATAAACAACGTTATCGGTAAGTATTTTAACGTTATTTTTTCAATTTAATGTTGGATTATGTAGTTATCTCTTCCCATTCCTCGACAAGGGCCGGGAGTCACAAGCAGACGTATAATGCAGAATGCCTTTACAACCTGATAACCGTTACCCACTGTCGATATTTTATAAATTCAGGTGGATGTATGGAAATCATCAGCTACGTGATCTGCATTTTAGCCATGGATGTAATTGGAAGAAGACTGCTTCTTGCGATAATGCTTCTCTCATCAGGAATAACGTTGATCATTAGTACAATTGTCAACCTATATGCTGGCGATGATCAGAGTAAGGCTACCGCAATCAAGGGAATATTCGACTTATGTGCAAATTATGTGCGACGTAGCAAGTCCTTCTTCAAGACAGCAATGCCCGAATTTTTATTCTGGGATTGTATCTCAAGATCTTTGATCGATTTTATGTTTTTTTCAGATGGTTATGAGGATTAGGTCAAATACAATGCAAAAATCAGAAAACCCTTTCATTCACGATTTCAATGTTTTCAGGGCGGATAATTACTACCATTTATTTAGAAAAAACTTGCATTAATTAAATTTTAATTAATCAATCATATGATGATATTGATTATTGTCCGTTCAAAATAAAAATAAAAGCATATCACCAACTCTCGATTAAATTGTATTTTGAATTTAGGTCTCATAACACTGGGTGTCGTTTTCACATTCCTCGGAAGATTGGGTATTTCGGGTTCATATGCACTTGTTTACAACTTCACTCTTGAACTTTTTCCGACGGTGGTACGGTGAGCCATATACAATATACATAACTGCATAGTTCACAAGTTGTTGAGAAAACTAGATAAATCCACGATGCTTGGGCCCATTGTTATGTAATATATCGGTTGCTTCTGATTTCACATTAAATACAGCTGAAGCCTGCTGATCTGAAGCCAATGCTATTTTTTTTTAATAAATAACAAACTCTGTACTGCGACTGTAATAATATCTATAATGCAACCGATAACGTCATAATCCCAAAATTATTTGATTTTGTAATGTGGCCAAAGCCCAAGTTTGGTCGAAACCAGTAGCATATTTTCGCAGAAAAAAATCTGAACTTCTTGTATACAAAATTTTTTCTTAGAGCGGGACAGATTTTGAGGTACAATTTCTCACAAACAGATAGCGTTTGTTTTAGTCCAAATGTTGCCACCTGACCATGGCTCATATACGGAGCATCAGCCATTGGTCATGAGTTCTCAGCAATAGTATGAAAGTAAATTTGCAGATTACCAATTCTTCGCATGGAAAACCATTTATTCGCTTATCTCTTTGTAATTATCTTCACCCACTATGTTCGAAAGCATCGTAACCACATACCATATCTGCTTATTTCATGTAGAAATAACATGACTTAGGAATACGTTATAATAGTGAAAAGATGATCAATTTCTCAACTATTTTAAAACATAATAAAAAGTTTATCTTATAGGTCAAATGGAATTGGAATATCATCATGTGCCGCAAGAATTAGCGGAGTTATTGCTCCTTTGCTAATTGCCACTCAGGTATTATTCACTATGCTGCTTATACTAAAATTCACAAGCTTTGCTATGGTTCCGTATGCCTTTTATCATTTGGTTTCTGATGTGTAATCCGCCATCACTTTGTTCACATATGGTTTAAATATTTTTTTTAGATATGGTTCCCCTGGTTGCCAAATAGTATTTTTGGAATCTTTGGTATCATTGGTGGATTTATATCTTTAACACTGCCTGAAACGAATGGAATGAAGATGCTTGTAACATTGGAGGAAGCTGAATTCTTTTACAAACAAAAGCAATCCACAAAGGAAAAGGAAGAAAATGGAAGGTTGTTTGTTTTGAAAAATTAATTAATAACTCGAAGAAAACAAATTATTTTCTCACGACACTGCAAAACCAAAGTTTCGATTGAGTGCACTGCATTTTTTTTCAAACATAAGTGGACATCCCATAAAGATTAGTAAATTACCAGATGCACATTGAAATGAATCAATTGAATTCTGTGTTTTCTGAAAGAATGGCTGGAATACCTTGATGGCCTATTAGTCGAAAACTACCTCCCATTTTAAAGAGATTTCGAGTATGTACAGTACTAAATTCCTTCCATGTGCTCTTCCAGTAACGTTTGATATTTATGTTTTCTTGTTGACAAGACAAATAATACTTTTCAGATTGCCTTCAGAAGATTTGGACAATTCTATAGCATTTCAAAACAAATCTTTTGAAGCGGAGCTGACCAAATTATGAAGCGCAAGTGTTCAGTAAAATTTTTAAAGCTGGTTTGGGACATCTTGAATCAATTTTCCATACCTCAAAAAATAAAGATATTTCCAATGATTTCATTATTATGTTGCCCTCTACAGTGTCGAACTAATAAATTCTAACAATGTTTCTATACTTTATATACTTCGAAGATTTTTCCTGTTTATATTCATCTATAATTTCACATATATATCTATATCTATATATATATACATTTTGATCTTGACTTACAGTAGTAATAATAAGGACGAACATAATTTATCAAAGAGGAGTTACTTTGCATTACCAGACTGTAGAATTTGTATTTCTGCCATAATTTTCGGTTATATACTTTTGCCTTGAATTCCAAAAATCGGGGAGACATCTCAATACGCGCATTGACTAATATTTTCCATTCAAAGTAAAATAGTATGTTCTATAATTCATTCTTCATATTCAGCATGAAATGGTAAATAGACGGAAGTTTGAAATTAGTTCGTTCATAAACTTTTATGCAGTGTCCATACAACATTGTCCTTGATAATACCAATGTTGATAACAACATATCCAATGTTTTCAAGTTTTCTTGCTAATTTTAATGGACCTTCACTGAGCTTGTCGGGTAGGTCAAACCTGAAAAGTAAATAGGCCAACTGTGAGAATATTGTAGTTTTATGAAAGAATGACTGAGCTATAAACTGAATTACTTGTGCTCGCAGCAAATATCATATCTTACATAGGGTCGTAACCTAATTCAGCTGCGACTTCCCGAAATTCTGCTTTCGTTGTGCCTGGGGCTGAAATCGAAGTGAACCAGCGATGGTGTCTTCCCGGTGAATGCGGTCTATCGTCTGGATCCTGCATGAAACGAACATTATTGCATTATTTATATATCACGGCGCAACGATAAAATTGTATAAGTGCCGCGAATAGGATTTAATATTTACACCACAAAGTGAGAAAGAAAGTTTACGAGATCGTGTTATCGTATAGCGAACAACGGCCGAATTGCAAAAACAAAAATCATACCCGATGCTTGACTCTCTCAATAGTTATATATGGCATTTTCGCAGTGAGTGATGCAGGCACTCAATCGCTGCTATTCAACTGGTTTCACATAGGAACAGATGACGAAAGTAGTATTCGTCACTGAATTACTCACAAGGGAAATGCGATTAAATCAAACACTGGCAAGGTTTTAATCAAGTTTTCGGACCCACCTTGCATTTTTATGGCATTTTAACATTAAAAGTAAGTGTGAGAAATTAAAAGAACAAAAAAGTTTGTGTGAATGATGTTTAACTTGTGATAATGTGTAGATATGAAATATATTGAAAGTTGTTCCGTGGCGTCTCGAGCAGTATTATGCCCATGTTGGGAGGGGCTTCATATATTATATTCGGATTTTCTGGCTATAGAAAAGAAAGTTCTTGGGCATATATTTAACCGACCAAAATGCCAACAGTTGGCTAAGGCTGCTTTCTCACACGAAGCGCCATACCGCCGCATACGCTATAACATTTTCAACCTTTATTATTACTATTCAATTGATTAACAGATCTAATATACTACAAAGTAAACAATCTCAAGTTTACTACACAATACAAATCCATAAAATTTTCTCACCCAGTCCGCAACATTTCGCTTGATCAAAACGTACGGCATTCTTCCCGGGTCTTGTCGGCGACTTAAATTATAATGCACAGGATAAACACAATAACAGATCGGGCTATAAGTACAACCATCCACGTACACGGAAATTACGCTCCTGACATTACTCACCAGAATAAAGTGATACAACCTCTTGATTTCCAGGACATCGCTGATCTCACCGCGCCGGGTTGATAGGCCTCTCAATTGCTAAGACCTCAACATTGATGCGAAAACAAAAATAAATATTCTCATCTCATTGAAGCAGTTTTAAGTTAACACGGTCTCGTTGAGGACATAATATAGTAAAAATGGGGAATAAACAAACGAATTTTTCCACATTCGCGTAAATTAAGTTATATTAACAATACCGATATACCTTGGAACGCATATTATTCGCACCTTTGATCGTTGACTGACACTTTTTTACGACAAGTTTAAATTATTTCCAATTTGAAATTAATTTGTTAAAACATTTCACAATTAAAACTTTTCGCCGTCCCCCCCCCCCCGTTTAGCGAAACACTAAATACGCCACTGCTTAGGGTCAATCACCCGGTGGGTTGAGAGTCAGACCGCCGAGACGTCCTTTTGTGTAACCCGAATATTTTTCGATAGATTTTGGAGTACCGTTTACCATGAAACTGTTGCGACGGAAGCAGTAGGATTGGCGTTGGCAGGGACATAACAATATTTTCAGTTGGGACTACCGACTTTTATTGATAATAATATTGGTAATCCTTGTCAGAGCCACTTACTCTTAAAAATAATCCATCACATAAACAAACACTTTTTGACAAGTTTATTACAAAGAAATAAAAAAATGTATATAAACGGACAAGATGACTTGAAAATGAACAAAACGCAGAAAGAAAGTATGACGGAGTTATAGCAAAAAATAATTAGTCATAATTAGTGAACACCAGCACAAAATTAACTGAAATTCCAAAATGCACACGATTTTCAAAGAGATATTGTATCAATCAATTGAGTATCCTTATTTTGTGAAAGTTATCAATGACAGTATACTATACACCGAATTTCCAATTCTTGGGGTATTTTGCCATGCATACATAAACGAAAGCGAACCAGCAACAGAGTACATTAAGATTCTGAATACAGGGTAACATTTTTCCTAACGGAAAACAGTCATACCCTACTTGCATGTCTCTAAAAGAACAGGGCAGTGTTTTCAATTATTATGTCTATACTAAAACACTGAAATATTCAGAAACTATTCAGCCTATCAATGAGCTTCACCAGTGATTTCTTGTTATCAAAAGGAAAATTATTATCACAATACAACGAAAATCAAATCTTTGGAAACAATCATTTCACACTTATTTTCTAGTCCTATTTTTCTTGACAATGAATAAATCAGTAAATTCACTGTCAGGTATGAATTGGAAATGTAGCATGTTGCCAAGTTTCTTCCATCTTTAATTCATGCTTGGCAATGAACAACTTTCCAACAGCCAAATTATTTCTCTACTTCAAACTGAATAATATTAAACATAGGTATTGACACCGAAGACTGCTTAATCATATAAACATCACAACAAATCTGAAATTGAAAAAGGCAGTGATACCACGATAGCGTGGGAAATTAGTGAAAGGTGGAAAAGAGACGTTAAAAGAATTATGTACAATTTTAGGCATCATTTGCAGGATGGAGGTCGTTATGCAATTATTTAATTGAATTACAGAATTACCTAAGAGTGCAATTTTTCGTTTTGAATCATATTTTTTGGAATGAATAGCGGATACACTGGTCTGTAATATGACAGTAGTTGGTAGTTGACATTTAGGTGACAAATTAGCGGGCGAATAATGAGCGATACTCGTCGGTAACATGTATAGGCAATTGAATATGTGATTATAAACCAGAATAATAAGAGCATTCATGAAGAAAAGGCCAGCAATTACTTTAAGAACGATGAAATAATGAAACACAAAAAATCATTGATCGAAAAAGTATATTCGCCTACTCCTAACACAGCTAATTGTTTTGAGGTAACATAGCGGTCAACGGAGTGCCGCATATTAGTACGAGCCATGTCGCAGATGACTACTGAATGTACAGATCCGTTTATATCAGTTCTTGAAAAGTTCTGCATCCAAAAAGTATGGAACAAAAGCAGTGTTGATGATAGGATTCAGCATTCAGTTGACAGCATCCATTATGCGCATGTGCTATTACTTGTAATCAAACCATAGTGACATCTCAAAGCAAGTACTCCATCATTGACTTACAATAGGCAGTGAATCTGAACATCAGTAGGACCTTGTTACTTTTTTCACATTTACAGTGTTCAATCAGCTCATGATTTTTTTTCATCAAATATTATCAGTGAAAAATAACTCTTCAATGCGAGTGAAGCAATTTAGGTTTGATCAGAAATCATCCATATCTTTCTTATGTCCTGCCATATGGGCTTTGTAAAAGCATTGAATCGAGAACATCTCTCCACATAATTCACATTGGTATAATTTGAGTTTTATTGCAGATTCGCTGTCCTGAAAAGAAGTCAATACACGCTTTTAAGATTCTGATTTTAATTTCAACAAGTAGAATTACTTTTTATAATGGCCCATTGGCCTAGCTCGGAATCAAATTCCATGTCCCCACCGAACCCTGAGTGTAATAAATTGAATTCAGGTCCTTCCAGAACAATAGTAGCTCCTTGAATTTCATTAGATATAAGTGGCTGGAGTGAAGGGCGTGAATTAGCGTCATAAAAAAAAACTGAAGTCAAAAACGCTTTGAGATGTAGAAGTTGGAAAAACAATCAACATTTATTTATTTTTTTTTCAAAATTGAAGAATCCTAGTTTCAGATAAAATTCATGAGTATTTTACTTGTATTGCTCCAAATACAAATTTGAATTTAAAGTTTAAACATATTGCAAATTGGATTTAGATGACGATATACTCAGTCTGTATCTTCTATAATACGTATAACCACCAGTTATCAAGATTACCTGAGATTCTTCAGGATTTGAGAGATTCACTTCTTCCTCATCTACACCACGACTTGAATAAGCAACATCTTCATCTGACAATGCTCCTTGATCACTGTCTCCAGTGTGGGGGTTTTCAACATCACTGCTCAAACGTTTCTTCATTTTTTCCTCGTATGGTACATCACCATCCTGACAATGTTTATTTATATATTAATCAGAAATACAAATTTTTTGGCATAGCTACATAACACCAGGAGTTCCTAATCTTTTCGATATATCCCCCTCCCCCCACTTGCCTATTTCATTTCTCTTTATGCCTCCTTCACTATGCATCTAAACTAAGTCTCTGTTATTTGTTAAATATTGAAAGAATCCTTAGCTAGCATTCACAAGTAACTTGCACATACACAGCTTTCGTACAGTTTATAAGGTATGCATAAATAGGTTTTACAGAAATACCAAATAATAAAATAATATTAGTTAATCTACAAAGTAATATTTCTGTATTTTCTACCCAAAAAACAAGTTCCTCCAGACAGTATTATATCATACATTATACAGTTAGCATTTACCAAAAATAAACTACCACGATGGCACAAAGTATCTACTCAATGGCCATGCAATGAAACTGTGACATGATAACTGGTTCATTGAATCATTTAAATTTGTTTCTTGATCAAACAACAAATAAACTTTAATGATGTGTACTTCAAACGTTAACTACAGTCTACAGAATCATCATTACATATGTATTACGAATTAAAAGAAACTTACGCGAACATGTTTCTTCTCGTGAGCTGCTCTTGCGGCACCGGTCTTAAAATAATGAAGACAGAATCTGCACTGATATTGATAGTCTTGCGGAAGGCCTATGGAAGGGTGGGTAATTCTCATGTGTTTTGCGAGTGCAACCTCATTCTGCAGGACAAGTTTACATTCGGTGCATTTTCTTGGTCCACCTAATTTGCTGCTGACGTAATCCTTTGACCTTGTTATGTCCCTGATTTTTGAGGATGACGGAGATGATCTTTGATCTTTTCTTTTTGATTTTGACCATGAATTTGTGTTGGGCACACCAGTAGGCTTGATTATGGATTTTGTGACTGAAAAAGAAAAGCAAATGACTATTTTTTTTAATTATGTGTGGTCCAATAACTCTGTATGTAACATGTCAATAATATAATAGGGAAATAGAATACTTATTACACCCTCAGTGGTGGTGAGAGTGGACACAATGCTGAAATTAAAAAAAAAACTCATAACTGTACTGTCACTGTTTCAGCCCAAAACAATACTAACATGAAGTACATCTACACTTAGCTAAATGGTCTTAACTCGGTTCATTAAATCATGGTACGAAATCAGGGCTTCCCAAAGTTGATTGACCGCAGGCCAAAATTGAAGCGGAAGGATCATTGCTGGTCCTTTACCTAATAAGCTGAGGAAGCAAATATCATTATAGCATCTAAAATAGCCATTTTAATTATATACATAAAGCTGATCAAATTTGAGACATATGAAATTAAAAAAATCAAGACAAATTAAGAGATTTAACAAGACCTGCTAAACAACTGTGAATCAAAGTAAACCTACTGAACCTACTAAATCAAAGTAAGTAAAATACTTACATTTTTTAATTTGTTCACTGCTTAGTTCAGTATGAATTTTCACCAAATGCGCTTCAAGAACAGATTCTTTCCAAAACATTTTCTTACACAGAGTACAACCATAGGGTTTTTCACCTGATAAAAAAAGAAACTGGTCAATTTCAGTCAACATTGAGAAATGAAGAAAAATTTATCCAGTTGAGAAAATTCAATAAAAGCAAGTTTCCAGGTTTGGTAAATCACTTGAATATTCAAGTTTTTTACTCTTACTAATTCCAAGGTTCTATACTGGAATCTTACACATAGATAAGTCAATTTCATGATCGGCTTGGTAGTGTTCAACATATTAGTCAGTTCATAGGTGCGGTGTGGGAATATATTGATTATATGAGATCTTTTGTATGCTATCAATAAAAATTTCACTTAAATTGAATTGGTAAAATCTGACTTGATTTCAAGTCTCAAAATGGTAAATTTTAAAATTTCTTGTACATTTTTCTATCTATTCAGCACATCAATTAATCAACACTATATAAATTTGATTTGCATCAAATTACCTTTTCTCACGTGGGCTTCACAGTGGGCATTATAATTTCTTCTTGATATAATGTTGCGATTGCAGTTGTTGCATTTATAGACGGCTTGTTCTGAAAATTAATGTAAGAATTTATATTTGAAAATTAACTACAATAAAATATCAGTGATTTTATGAAGTATAAGGTTATTTTAACAAGATAATCTCTTAAAAACGAAGATTCTGAAACATTCAAATTCATCTTATTTAAGAGATAGAGAGGCACAAAGTAGATGATGGCCAAACTATCATGCTTCAACTAGTCAACTAGTGACCACTATGACAAAAAGTTTCGTTCACTAGAAAAGATTTCTGATTGACATACATAATTTTACATATGATCAAGGTAAAAAAAGGACCTCAGAACTAGCAATTTCTGGTATCACATGCAATCACACGGTTTCACATACATATGGATTATTGAAAAAAGTTTGCGATGCTATCACAAATTTTTCAATGATTTCAAAAAAGTTTGGAAGAGAATTCCACTCTGGCAGAATTATATTTTTCGTCCGGCTTTCAACTGCATGAGAGTCACCACCATTTTATTGTATTGTTTTTTCAGGTTTCGGGTCATAAATTTAAAGCCTTAAATACTGTTTACCAAAAGACATTAGGCCTGCGAAAATCGGATAGTATATACTTTTACATCTGGAAATTTCGAAAAAGTGAGGGCACTTTAGTTGTTTCTCATTCCTGATAATTGAAATCGAAATGACTTTGTATAATAGTTCAAAGCGATGAAATTGTACAATGCATCTGCATTACCCCTTGTAGCTGTTTCTGTTGATCTTTTCTTTTTCTTTGAACTTTTTGACTGAACATAAATTTCTGACCAAGAAGTTGGTGGCATACCAGGTGATGCTATGATACCAGCTTCACCTTTCCTACAAATAAATATTAAAGAATTATTACCTTTCTTATCTACAAAGTCTAGTGGCCTAAATTAATCATTTTATAAGAGAAACAAGAAAGCATTTAATGGACACGAAGATCAAAGGATTGAGATGAAATGTCAGACACTACTCAGAATGTGAAATTTATGCTTACTGTCATACCTACTATCCTTATATAGCTTAAGTTTAAAAATAAAATTAACATAAAATAAATAAAATACTTTGAAATCGCTTCTGATTTAGCAATTCCTTCCAAGTCATAATCACTGTCAGTTTCACTTGTCTTCTCTGAATATTTCATCTTCCTTTTCATATATTTAGCTGAAATAAATAAAGAATGAAAAAATCATGCAAATCACAAAATTTCTCCAGAAGGGTGTGTACCAATATGGAGGTGACTAATTTTGTTCGCATACATTACATCAAGTTGTGTAAAGGGACTGAACCAAATGGGCAGGTATTCACATGGCTAACACAGACAGTCCAAGAACTTGGAATAGAACTAAAATAAGGAAAATCGGAATAAAATTATGCCCTATCCCTAAACATTTTAATCTATGTTATTTGCGAACATCTTTTAAAAATCCATGCATTGAGAAATACTATTTTCATTCTTTAAACTGTGTGTTAAAAAAAGTCATAATTGATTCATATGGGAATTCAGGATATAGGGTAATTTTATCTCCTCATAAGACCGAATTTTAACTATATAGGGCAGGGGTCGGCAAACTGCAGCCCGAGAGCTAAATTGTTGCGGCCCTCGAACGACCTGACATTTAATACATGAAACAAAAATTGATCCTAAGCTCATTATTGTCTTCGCACAGATTTATGTGGTAACAAGTGCTGCTGTACGTCGATCGAGTTTATTTTCATTTTTCAAATTTAAAAATGTCTGTGAAACGGAGGGAAATTTGCGACGAGGGTCTAACATTCCAAAGTGCCTGGACGGAAAAATATTTATGTTTCTTGCTCAATTTCAAAACCAGTTTGCTCGATATGCCCAGTCAGAATTGCAATTACAAAGGCATTCAATGATATAATCGTTACGAAACAACCCGAGACCCAGGGCTGCACGACAGCTCATTTATGCGACTACGCAAAAAAAGGAATGTGCACATTTGGAAGCACATATTGCTGTGAGCAGCTTCATCTAAAACGCATTACACTTGAAACAAATTTCGTACTCGCTTGTCAGATCGTCATTTGGACGACATGCCGCGGGCGAGTTGTCATGAAAACCTAATCCTTCACATTGATAACAAGTAAATGAAAACAATGTATTGTTAGATAATATATTGAAAACGTCACATACACAACTCATTGTGGCAGGCTTTCAACGCAGCAAAAGAAGGCACGAATGCGCCATAATTTGAAACATATTGTAGCGATTGTTTAAAGACGGAATTACTGCGGCCCGCACGCTATCGGAAATGTGTTTATTTGGCCCGCAAGTACATAAAGTTTGCCGACCACTGATATAGAGGAAAAGAAATAACTTTTGTGCAAAACAATGACTTTTTAAAGTAGACCAGCAAACTTCAAATAGCAAACATACCTTCATCATTAGAATAAGCATCATAGGAACCTTGGAAGTGGCCAACATCTGCTGATCTTTTTTTGCTAAAACAAAAACAAAAAATATAATAACAATATCAATCAAGACACAATATACCATAATAATTTCATTAATTTTAAAAGAATTCTTGAGTTTTTAATAATTGGTTTTAGAAAACTTGTATATACTGAGGTTCAAGAAATGATAACAATCAAATTATTGAGCGAATTATGAAATAAATTTGATTTGGTCTCAAAATTTCTCAAAAGTTACTTGACATGGAAACAGCACAACATACAGATGTATAAAGTGAACTAAACAGGACTATATTTAACATTCAAATTAAATGCTATAAAAACTGAAAAGGTGAAATATTACTGTTCTGTGCCTTTTTCTGCTAAAGAAGAGACACAACTGAACACAACAATATAGATTCGGATTTATTTCCATTAGGATTTATTTCCAATGTATAGGGTGACATCCGAAAACAGAACACACATCAGTTGGGTTTTATCCTAGAGAGAACATACTTTTGTGCCTTACAGAGTCCTAGATTACAGAGACTTTTGGTTACAATCATACATAAACAAGCGGTTTGTTTCAAGTGTTATTTTTCATTTTTGTGGATGTTATTAAGAAATTTATGGTTTTGTTCTTTGGTGTCGCCCAGTGGTACGAATTTCAGAGTCTTTCACAAGCTGCTAGGGCAATTCTTACAAGACACCAAATCTCTGCATTGTACATACACAATCAATAAGTACCTTGAAACATCTCTATCAACATGACAAATATAATCGCCAGCACTTGCATCTCCTGATCCCGTCATGACATCTTTGACATGTTGTTTACTGTCGTCGATATGCATCATTGCTCCTGAACCGCCATAATCCCGTAGAGTTTTTATAGCTTCAACATAGGGGTGCTTGTCACTAGGGCTAAGTAGACTTGAGTTGGAGATAAGCCAACCTGTAAAGAATATATAATTTCACAGGAATATTTATTATCAATGCAGTGGATCAACTAACTAGGGACACGGATTGAGAAATTCTGAACATTGAAAATGTGTTTTTTAAATTGTGATGCGTGTAAAACTCTCACAACAAGATATTTCCGCATTAAAACCATATTAGTTTATCTCACTCATTTTTGTAATAATCAAATTCTAATGGGTTTGGTACAACTTTGAAGTCCATACCGAAAGATGGCCCCTGGTCGATAACATGACATAAGCTTCTTTGGTTTTACTGTTGCGATACGTCGATTCAGTATGACCAACATTAATAGCAATATTTTGATTGCTAATCTTTCACCAACAGGTTGCGAAGCGATGAATAAGTTGGGATTCAATTTCACTATAGAGGGCTGAAGGGGATATATAGATCCTGTATGAATCCAGCAAGAATGTCTCGCAAAAGATCAAATATTAGAAATTATTACCAGCCATGTCAATCTTTTTCGCGATAGCTTGTTCGAGTGCAGGACAGATGATAATTAGAGAATGGATTTGTAATCTCTTTGCAGCAGTAACAATTTCTTTAATGCTTGCCAGACTTCCCATCGGCAATACAGATGTATAAATGTAATCCAGAACCAGGCTTAGGGCTTTTGCTGTAGAAATAAAAAAAATTTGTTTCATTATATTGTATGGTAAAAATAAGGAATGAGTTTACGAGTATACCTGTTATTCCCTGTAATTCAATATGGCTTAGCGGTGTTTTCTCAATTTCTTCCGATGCAAACAAGGTGTAAAAGAAATCGCTCGATGCTGCCAAAACTGATTTGTGTGCTTTAAAAACACGACCTGAAATAATAATAATATATCTATTGGAAGATTCAATGAGAAATTGGGAGAATTGGTTTATCAATGGAATAATAATACAGTACAAAAGAAGGAATTTCTGAAACGATGTCTTGAGAAAACAGAAGAGAATCGTCAGCATCATCAAATTTTCAACATAAAAAAACACTCAGTTACGGCTTCCTTCACCATCAAGACCATGCATCTGAAACTAATACCTGGTTAACTACTCCCATACGTGACATAGACTGGTAACCCAGACCAGAAAGGCTGTGATTCGGCATATGATTAATTAAGCCATCTCATCAGCTATTCTCTCCCCTCGAAGGAATAATATTCTAGTAAAAAGTATCAATAATCAAAAATACTAATTGTCACGCAAAGTCTAACTTTATACCAAGATTTGTATATCATTCCAACCCAAAATATGCAAATAATATTATTCACCAGTCTTTGATAAATAAAACAGTAACAAAAAAACTCAGCTGTTGTAACAACCGTGAAAATCGATGAAAAACCAAGAATTATCAAGCAAAATATCAATCTATAACACCTACCTTCAGCTCCCAAAGTTATATCACACAACAATCCTTGTCTTCTTTGAGAATATAAATTTCTAAGCAGAAGTCCAGTATGCTTTGTGTATTCATTAGGAAGAAAGTCATCTTTCAAAGCAGTTATATATTCTTTCAGTGCAGATCTTTCTTTGCTAACAAACATTGTTGCATTCCCACCATCAGGATGACCAGAAGTACTGTCAGCAGCAATGTCTAGAAGAAACAAAACTAATTACTAGAGTTATACTCTTAAAAATGACAACATACATATTTTCTCAAACTAGCTATGCCTCACCTAGACACAATATGGGCATGTATAACGTATTTTTCTGAGAGTAAGTTCTTATAATGTGCAGTGTAATGATGTTAAACTAGTCTTGATAAACTGCACATATATATTTCACTGATAAGAGGAGTTATTTAATTTCAATATTTCTCCTTTTTCAAGAAGAATTCACGGATGTTTGAAAAAAAAGGCTGTTAACAAATAGTGGCATACAAATCTATTGCATTTAGAAGAACCATAATTTGCAATATTTGCCAGAACTAACCAGAAATTGTACTCCAAGTTTTCTGTCTTTCCAACATAATACCCACTAGCCAAAAAAGGCCAAATTATCATGGGGGTTATAATTTTTCATATGACACTTATTCAGGCCTATCGGTCTGAATAGGGCCCTGCATAGGCAGCCACTGTTGTCTGACGATATGTAGAGAACCACAATATTTTTGAGGAACCAGAATCCTTCCTGTTCTATATTGCGTGCACAATTTTTACACTCTGGGTCAGGTGGTAAGCTTGGGATTTGAACACAAGATAAGTATCCAAAGATGTGTGCCAACACAGTTAATAAGTCTAACGCTGGACGGCTCACTACGCTATATAATAAATACATTCCCTGTACCTTGTGAATCAGATGGTGGGTTATATTGCGTTTGTGCTTCTTTTGTTTTAATCCTGAAATAAGTTGCTACACTCTTGGAAGGAACTCTATATAACGATAAAAAATTCTTTGTCTTTTTACGGTATCTGTATTGTGTTGTTTGGTCCTGGAAATAAGAGTTGTAATATTGATGGTTATAATCGATAATAATTTAATATCCAAAATCAGGGGGGGGGGATCTACACTAAGAGCAGTTCTGAGTAGCGTTACAAATATTTTAGATATTACTCTGGCTTTCCTAGTTTTTGATGAAATGAAAATACGGACCATGGAGCAACTAATATACTTAAGTATACCTGCATGTCAACCACGATCTGTGACTGACTGTCTTTGAGAATCTTGGAATCCGTTTGAGTATCAATGTCTCTCCTCTCTGATATGAACAACGAATCATCTGGGTAAAGATGAAATAGAGTTGATATGTGAGTCCAAAGAAGAATATGAATATTATCGTATATATATTATACATACCTGGTGTAGAAATGTAAGGATTTTCATAACTTGTAACTTTTTCTGAAAATAAATGGCATTATTGCAGTTTGGTAAATAAATAAAAAAAAAATAGATTCATGAAATGGAACATATAAAAATTCCCTACAATTTATTGTACCTTCAATGGGTGAGGTGGTATTGTCTATTGACTATTTTACAAGGGTCTACATTCACACTGTAATAGGTTATATACCCTTGATGAGTTCTTTTGGAGTTTTCTTCCCAATTTCAGATGGAATGAGTGACAATTTTTCTGCTTCATTTTCATCAGATTTTATTCTTTTCTTCTTTGGTTCACCCATGTCATCTTCCACTGGTGACTTCGGATTTGAATAAGCGCTAGAAACAAAACTTGGTCAAATCCACAGTTAAAATTATCTCTCATGCACCAATTTCAATTTTATGTTCAAACATAGCTAAGCAACTCCCCTAATCAAAATAGCCAGTTTCAGTACCGTAATCTTTCCAGTTAGACATTGTCTATTTAATTTATATTACACCTTCAGTGATGTGGGGATCATGGGGCTTGATTCCGCAATGTATAATCTGCGATACTAACACAGTTTGAGGGCAAAGTTTTAACTGATATCGTGTCACACAATTTTTAAAATAGTGCAATTTTGTTAACCTTTCAAAGAGATTTTTTGAAAATTCTAGGAAAGTTGCTACATACCTGGCATCGATAAAATACGGAACTTGCTCAGTAGGAGATTTCGGTGGTGGAATTGATTTCTCAATCTTTGGCTCACTCAAATCAGCTTGAGAATATAGAAAAATATCAAGTGGATTGACGACATAGGCTACTATTTTCATGGTAAGTATAACATTTATATATTATTTATTGTTGTACATAAATATGCACCTCATCACAATGTTTTGAATACATTCTTACAAAACATTCAGATGAGATAAAATAAATAGGAAATTAAAATAACAAATCAGAACATATTTTAATTTTTATACCTAGCTGAGCTGTGATTCACACCACACAATACGGTTTAAATTTGGTGAGTCTATGTCTAATTATAGAATAGATAGAAACCCACCTGATGTAGTCGGTTTATCACCCAATGACTCAAGTTTATTCAATTCTTCCTGTTTTTTTATCAATGCTTTTTCTAAAGCTTCTAGTTCATTATATTTTTCTTCATCCTGTGATAGGAAATCATCAATATATTATATTGTACTGATATACATATGGCTGGTTAACCGGTTAACAGATTTTAGATGGTTAACGGTTACAATTTATTTCAATCGTTTACATCTCAGGTACAAATCATCTTTATAATGTACAATTTCTTCAAAAATGATAACGTCATCACAAATTTATTACCCGTGGGCGGCATTCATTTTAAAAAAATATCACTAACTGTATTATAAGGACCCAATAAATGTGAAAGTGTACACATAATTCAGAAATACTATCATAAACAAAGCATAATTTTATATTTACTGTAATTGACAACAATACAAACCGAAGATTCTAAATAGTTCTATGTAGAGACTTCAATTCTGACTTTTCAAATTCAGTTCATATACAAATTACAAACAACCCTTGCTTTAAAATTCAATCCCATAACCCAAAATGTAACCGCACTCTACAATCATAAGTTTAAATGACAAAACTATGATTTTGTCATGCCACATACATTACAATTTAGTATTTCTTCACATAGTATCGTAACTTTACTGATATTTTTTTGTTTGATAAATACAAAAATGAAATTCAGTATATTCAATTGCTCGTATATTTATATAACTTGTAATGGATGTGTTTTTGCTGTAGAGTCAGAGTTTTTATTATTACTATTGGTACTTCTAAAGTCTGTTGACAGAGAATGAATTTTCTTATGAAACCAACCAACTTTTTGTCTGGCAAAATTTTTTATTCTGGAATCGGGAGACAGCTTTGAAATTATTTTGAAATTGAAGCGGTTCAAATAAAACTCATACAGTTGAGAAGAGAATATTTATTACCCAAGACGCAATAGTTTTTTTCACCATATTTCAATCCTGCAATCTATATTTTCAAGAAACTGAGAGTGAGAAGTCAAACATATACCAAAACTGTGCATCCAATCAATATCGGCCAAACAATTTACAGTATTGATTAAGCTGATTGATTACCTCCAATATACATTTGCATGGAAAATAAACGAACAGGGACCATTTTAAAATCCATGTAACAACACCTAACAAGAAGAAAATGATCAAACATTTTTTTTAGATTAAAACAAGTTGACTATTATTCCATAAATACACTCACAACAAGAATCTCCTCTTCCTCTACTAAGATATCTCCTCCTGTATCGAGGGTTCCTGAATCTCCCTGGTAGGATGCATTGTATTCTTCTTCATCTGATGAGAATTTACTTGGACTATCATCAGCACTTGAGGATTGGGGTCGATTCATCATTTCTGCTACTCTCTCATCCTAAATTATAGAAAGTACCATTTGTGAACAAAATGCAATAATGAACAAGTGAGGAAAATGCAATATTGGTTGGATTTGAGTTGCAATCTTCCTATATAATGCATGCAATATTATTGGCCTGTGTGTATAGCAGTGGTTCTTATTAACCGAGGGCCCTGAGGGGGCCACAGAGCAGTTAAAGGGGGGCCACAAAACTAGATACCGATATGACTTTAATCTGGTTTCGTTTGCGTACTTTTCATCACAAAAGAGACATCCCCGATATCCGTAGTTTTATTACCTAAAAATCAGACCCTGGCCTGTGTGTATAGCAGTAGTTCTTAACCGAGGGCCCTAAGGGGCCACAGAGCAGTTTAAGGAGGGCCACAAAACTAGGTACCGATATGACCTCAATCTGGTTTCGTTTGCGTACTTTCATCACAAAAGAGACATCCCCGTTATTCATAGTTTTATTACCTAAAAATCCGACCACCCCCTTTTTAATTCATTTTTCTGTATCATACATAGCAATATTTCGTATCTTGAAACGCGTTTTAGACTCCCCAGGGCTCTTGAAAACCCCCTTATTACAGCTGGAAGTGCAGCTGTTACGGTCTAACTTGGCAATTAGAAATTTCAGGAAATCCAGGCTATGCGCTTGGTGTCCAGGGTGTCCAAAAAACAGAACCCATAAGTCACCCATCTTAATTACTACTACAAACATAAAAAAATTATTTAACATTTGAACTCCTGTTTGCGTATGATTAAATCCAAAAGTTTGAGTAATCAACAATGCTTCACACTGAAGTTATGTTCTCTATAGAATATATTTCAAATGACGAGGGTGCTGTTTTTTGGGTCACCCTGTATTACAAATTACAATAGACATTACCAATGTTAATCCACTTGGATGAGCTGTTTTCTTTATCCTGATTGGCCAGTTGGGATCAAACTGCTTAACAGCAACATCTAAGTCGTGCAAGAGACCTTTTGAAAACATGCCATTCCACGTTGATCGCAATTTGAATAAGTCTTGACGAACTTTCGTTTCTGCCTAAAATTGTGAAATTCAAAAGGTTTTATTTAATCTGAATAATGTGAGCACTGAAATTCCAAACAATTTAGTTTTAAAACGAATTTGATACAGTAACACTCATAAAATTCTATAATACAGTGATCCTACATTTCCTTGGATGCATACAATATTAGAAGTCTAAGATATTGCAAGAGAGTTGCGAAAACAACTTTCAAAAAATAAAAGTTAACAAGTATACGAAGGTAATTCATGGATACTGGAGCTTGAGCCTTGACTCTTTTCTCCTTATATTAATTAAACATTACAATGTTTGTAAATTTACGTCTTTAAAAATAAACCATGACAAAGTTAGTAACTTACTTTTTCAAAGACGAAAAGAAAGGTTTTGATCAAATTTGGGCTGAATAACTTGACATACGGTCCATAGGTTTTCACAATTGAATCAATGAGATATAAAACTGGAAGTCTCTGGTTTGGAGGTGACTGGAAAAGAATGTTAAATTATTTAATCACGGGCTAATATTAACATGTTAAGCGCTTGAAACCTAAATGATGAAACTTGGAAAAAAATTGTTTTGCGAAAAGAAGGAAAACATATATTTTTGTCTTTTAAACAAATCCAAATTTTTATTGAAATACAGTATACTTTGGAGAATATGGTTATGGAATTAAAACATGGTAATTTTTTTCAGTCAAAATTTCAAAACTCATATTTCAACATTCGCCCATTAAACTTGTGTCTAAAAAATAACAACTGAATTTTGTGCATCGTGCACTGAATTAGTAGAACTTTTATCTATTTGGAAATAGAGCGCTGAGTAATACATCATATTCACACATCTATAACAGGAAAATAGCATTTATCATTTTATTATCATGTGTTCCCTGTATGAATTGACTGTAAACTTCAACAATTATTAATTATTATACTTGATATTCAACAGCCTACTGATGCAATGGAAAATGGGTAGTTTGGTGAAGTGATTACACTTGAATATTCAAAATTATCAATGATAAAAAAGCAATTTAGCAAAAGAAGCAATCTTGACATTTTCACAAAATTAATACCCATTCTAAAATTACCGTAGGCTTATTTAAATAGCAAAAAAATTCACACAACAACAATCTGATATGATGATTATACCCTTGTCACTATTAGGCTACTCAATAAAGCTTAAAAAAAAATTGAAATTGACCCCTAGGTAAAAACTGTTTCTCCTTGGTGAGCCATACCGAATTTTAAAATATGATCAATAGGTATTAACGCCTACATTTTTACAGTTTCAATATTGCCAAAATAAATTGGGTAGATGCAACATTGAGTGAACAGTCATTTCCAACCAGGGATGGAGACCCAGAGCTAGAGTCTTAATGTTGTGTTGGAAGCTTGAACTGTAGCCGAGCTTATAACAGATGGAGCTGGTACGGCTTCCGCAAAAAAAGCTGATATTTCATGGTGACGGTCACACCGAAACACCTCAATCGCCAGAAGCCATAGCCATGGTTTGAATACACTGTGGCTTCAAAGCTGTGACTGGAGCCTTTGCAATTTCATTCCAGCTCCCCAGGGAGAAATTAGCTATCTCAATGGAATACATTGTGAAATATCAAAGACACAGAAAAGTTTTTTGTAAGTGCTGACTCCCAAGAAATATTCCTCTAAAATAAATTAAAAGAATAGCCTACCAGTTGCATAACCAACAAAAAACAACAACAACATATTATTACCTGATAAACCTGGTTTTCAATGATTCGAACAAGATCAGGTGCATGGCTGTAATTTTCTTCAGCCAATACTGTCAACATGTTGATCAGTGGCTTGCTGTTAAATGTTAAATCTGTCAATGATGATCTGTATTCTTCGAGTACAGAATCCATTTTTAGATTTTTTATGTTATGCTATAAATAGTACAAAAAAGTACACTACTTTATTTCATATTGTCCAAGGCTTAAAAAACACAGGATAATTGGTTAATTAATAATAATAGAACATTAATACAGTAATACATTTAGGAATAGCAAAATTCACGGCACAATTCTTGGATTCCTAGAATAACCCGCACATTTAAAGACATAAATTGTAACGCTAAATGCAAACCTCTCCTTTACAAGACAATCTGGCACCTCCATATCCAGATATCGCCACAAATCGGTAAAGCAAAAAAAACTAAAAGAAATCGCAATCTAAAACTGCCACTGTTGGATTCCTTGAAATAATAGTTAGATTTGAGAAGGTAACCGGCGCACGGGACCCTCATTTCTGGAAAAAATACCGGTACTTGTTGTATAGTACCAAATATCGGAACATCTTGGAATCGGAGAACTGTGGCCTAGTCTACTTAAAATACAACCACAAGACTACTTTAGAATAGGCGTACTTTTGTACGTTATGATCTCCGGCAATGAAACATGCCTTTCTGAGAATTATCCACATTCAAATTTGAGAAATGTCAACAAAATATATCAAGGACTTCGTGATGGGTAATGAAATGTCACTGATGGATATCTTTAACTTTGATTAATAATGCACAAAAGAATACATGCTCCAAAAAGACTGAAAGAATATTTGCTTAGAAAAGACTGAAACAAGATGTTTGAAAAACTACCTATCACCAAGATTCAGATCCTACATCAGTGATAGTCGACAGATGCACGGTTGATTACATTACCTCTGAAAATGCACGCAAGCGAAACTCAAGGGTATTCCAACATACTACTGTACTAAACGCCATGTAGTGCTTTTATGGCGGCAAAATTAATTGACAAATATAAAGAGTCATTTTTATTTAACATATATCCCAGCAGAACTAAAAAAGTGCCTAAACTCCAAGTGCCTACTTTTAGTCCGTCCCCTGTAAGATCAATAACAAAAAGAAACCATTTTGTGCCCGCAACTACTGGAGAGCCTAGGTAAAATAAAGACGCGGCCCGCGGTTTTACCAAGTTATTTTTATCTGGCACATGTATTAAAGTCAGCTCACCCCTGGTCTACAACAGAGAACATAACAGAAGAATGAAAAACACATCAGAGGCAAAAGCGCAAGTGCAGCCCACTCGCATTTCGTTGCACATTCTCATCTATGATGCCACCAAGCGATGAACTCTTTAGGCGCCTTCAGACACTCCTTCCGTTTTGAAAGGGAATTTATCCCAAAGCTAATCCATAAAGCAACTTCATATACGATAAACCACGGCTCATGGGAATAGTTAACTAGTTGTTCGGTCCATATGACAGACTGCCCAGTTCACCGATTCTCAACCAGTGGGCCATGGGCCCATGGCTCACTACTGGGCCACAGAAACATTTTCAGGTGGGCCACAGACCTATTAAAAATGACTAGACTTGTTGCTAAATTTAGTTGAATTTGATGGTAGTAGCAATGTATGATGATGCTGTATTTTGCTACAGGTTTGTAATTTTCTTCTAATTGTTATTAAGTGAAAGTGTCTATTTTTGTAGAGAGAATTTTTATTTTTCTTGTAGTTTTTCCCTAGCATGAAAAAGTTAATGGGCCACAGAATTTTTGCACAACGAAAATGGACCACGAATAAAAGATTGAGAACCACTGGGCCCTAGTGTAATAAAATAGAAAGAGATTTATTATTTCGCCAACCAAAGAATCCAGTTATCAATAAAACAAAACAACAACAGCACAAAAATGGCGTTGGTATGGACAGGAGGGAGCGATACGACCATACGGTCATCAAGGTCAGCTCAACCAAACGTTTAGGTCAACCATCATCGATCCTGTATGTATACTGTGCCACGCAAAACTATGTTTAACCAGACGTCATTCACTAAACAGCGACAGAGAAAAGATTGCATCGGTCATGGCTTCACAACTCGAGGCTGGAAACGGTATTATGACACCTTACTTTCTGCAACCACGTTTCATTGCAACTGAGCTTTTTAATTTGATTAAAAATATCGTTATTACCAAATATAGCCTACATGTGTGATGTGTACCTATAAAGAATTTTACATTTTACCCAAATTACGATGCCATACCATTTTTTCCCCAAAAAGTAGACCTAGCCTGAACTTTAAAAATGATTTTAAGCCCTCCCCTTAAAATAAGTCCTAGCTTAATGGCCTGAGGTAATTTTTGAATAATCTATGTTTAGCAACTTTTTTTACTAAAAACGGTATGGTATTTATAAAATGGTATTTATAAGTAAATGAATTTAGGTTTTCATATTGTGTATATTTAGGAATCTCGTAATTATCTACTTTGTAATTTTGTTTTTTATTAATCCCCCAAAATAAGCCATAGTGTTATTTTTCCAAAATAAATTGAAAAAAGACAATGTCTCATAATTCTAGCATTTGATACTTGATACATAACAAACGCAAAGTGTTGTATTCGAAATATTGTGTACACTGGGAAATCATCATATATAAATCATATATAAACACTGCACACTGAGGGTCATAGCCCTTTTTTCCAACTCATGTATGAATATAGGTAATAAAATTGCTGTCCTCTTTTCTTTCATTGGCATCAATTTGATGATTTCTATGTTCGACTTTAAAAGCCATTGTTATTGATATTGCTATCTTTTGAATTATTGCTAAACATGTCATAATATGATTGGCTCATTGTTATTTTCATTTCTCCATGTAATTGAGTATAAAATCTTGCTCCCTTGATCCATATAGTACTGCCTAATATACTGTAATTACCTTTTTTATGTCATTGAAAGTTATTGTGGTGTATGTATGTATGTTTATTCGTCTCGTAAAAGCAATATAAAAGAGTAAGTAATTATAAATACTGAAGACGGGATGTATGCACAAGACCATATTGGCCTAAAACACAGATGTGCGGCATACACCCCTTTTGATATATCGTGGTATTACTGATGAACTGCATAGTTATTGCATATTTAATTGTGGATCATATATTAATATTCTAGTTCCAAGTATGCATAAATACTTATAAATGATAGTAGCCCATTTGTTAATTAATTTAATAATCTTTATATATTGTGAAAAAGTGATTAACTGCAATAATAATTGCATATTTAATTGTTCATATTCAACTGTGGATCATATATTAACTACTATTCTATTTCAAAAGTATGTATTAATACTTAAGAATGTTGGTAGCCACTTTTAATTCAATAATCTTTTTAGATCGTGAATAATTAAGGTGTCCAACGAGAGTATCGGTCGGAGACCAAAGACTTATCGATCAAAACTGCGGTTTCGATTCATGACTCTATAGTGACACCGTGTGTCCAAACACCAATTAATTAATAGCTCCCAAATTATACGACATAACTCTACCAAAATCAATAGCCATCTGGTCCGTGAAATGATGAACGCACATGCAAAATTGGATTGGGTGGAGATTAAACCCCGCTTTCTTGAGATATCGCTTGCATCTAACAGACAGACAAACAGACAAAGATCGATAAACAAGATCGACAAGTAATGATATTTTTTACATCATGCACTCGGTCTATTACTGAATCTGTGATAATATTATTTTTCGTCCTTGGTATTCATTTTTGATCCCGGTCTGTGTCCAATAACAAAAAATATGCTTTTCGTGAAAATTTTTCCATTGGACATGTCCGGCTTCAACCAACACATGACCTCTCTAAATCCTAAATTGCCCTTAGTAACTTCCATAATACCATTAAATTGCCGACTCGTTTCCTTTTTTCCTCGTATTTATTTTTTAAATATTTATATTTAATCTCATTTGTATACACCTATGATGAACTTATATATAGCACATACACAAGGGTCGGGAGCCTAGATGACTTTAATCGGTCTTGCACACCGACCCGCACAAAGCAATAATCAATTACTGTGGAATATTTTCGTTATTGTATTATGTTTATATTAGTGTTGATTCCGATGGAGATAATGAGTCAAGTAAGTAAGTGAGTTTCATTTGTGTAATAATCGATATAAATTATCGTAACAGAGTGGCAATATCCCAGTAGCATGATTACCTCTTTTATACCACAATTAGGCTTCATCAAGACTGTCGCTGTTTGATAACTAATATTGGGTTTTGATTTATATCCCAAGTTGTCTATTTGAAATGACGAAATTGTTCGGATCAATGGTTTTAAACATTGTTTAAGTTTTTTTTCTGTAAAATATGGCAACCCTAAACTCAAAAAAGCTTTATTCAGGAGACGAATATTATTTTAAAGCATACTACAATAATATTTTAAACTTTCTCTTGTGTGATGCGGTGGTAACATAAACCGTTTTATTTTTTATTATTTAATACTCTTGTTTACTTTCAATAGTCTTTCTATAGCCATGCTACTAACGAGCGGATGCCATTGTATGCATATTATGCGAAATGAGCAAGTAGACCAACAAAAAGAAACACTGACCGTAGTTCGCAAAACAGGGTAATTTGATTCCGTGACCACTGTATTTTTTTTGTTAAAATTTCAATTTTTTATTTATTTATTAAATCTCATTAAAATCAATTCGTTACTCAGGACTCGTTAACCTATCGGTATTGTCCTGTATTTAATATAAAACAATAACTTCATCAACTTTCAGTAAAATTTCAAACCATAAAGTCGGAAGTACGAAATAGTTGATGAAACAAAGAACACGTGATCTGAACGAGTCATAGGATTGTATATGGATCACCCATACATAGGTCGAACAGGTTGAAAGATATACAAATAAAGTTATTGTGATACTCATGCAGGTGGTGAAATACATTGATGCGTTTTTATGTAACGTTTTCTGGCATAAATACAAATATGGGTATATGAAAGATTATTCCATTCTATACTATGCGCTTATTATAGCATGCTGTAATACCTGAAGGTGAACTCCAAACAGGCTTTGGAGCTGGTCGTTAATTCTGTCGCAGAAACTGGAAATTAAAGCGTACGATTTGGTAAACATTGGCGGGTTTATTGACACCAATAGCAAGAACGTCAAATATTGCACACAAATCACAGGGGAGAGACTTCATTATTCCTGATTTTATTCTTAACGTAAATATTATTCGATATAAACATTTAATCTCATTTTAACCTAAGGAAATAAGTAACTTGTTTATTTTACAAATGAGCATCGTTAGGCAGATCTGCCACAAGAAACTTTTAGTGGGAGTTATATCATGCTGATATATATTTTTTAATTTTTGACAACCTACATATGCGGTATAGCTTTAGCTTCACGAAATAGGATAGAAAAAAACGTCTGTGCAATTTATTTTTATTTATAGGAAAAGGGTGAAATATTTGGCATTAGAGACATAGGTGGTTAACGCGTTTTAACTACTAAATCATCCACTTTTACAAGATATAATTGATATAATATACAAAAAAAATGACAATGTTAAAATATCCCTATTCAAATCACACTGCTTTGTTCCGCAAATGGCGTCGGCGCTTCTTTTGCTGACGTAGGTTTTTACTAATTACTTCTATTGTTATTTTTGATGAGGTAGCAATAGCATTCGCTCGTTTGCGCCGGGAATTTAATAAAAGCTGGTAAACCCAAAATAAATAGTGACAGACGAACAATAGGCAGTGGGAAGCGTTTGTGGGATATAAATATAACCAGCCCATACTGTTACTATATTATACAAAAAAAATTGTTTGCGCAAATATATATATATATTAAGAGTACAAGTATTTTTTTTGGTTATCACTAACGCAGTACAGGATATCAAACAACAAAATGAATATTCAGTTTTTTTATATAGGCCTTCTCATGGCTGGGAATCCAGTTTTTGGTAAGTTGTATTTATTTACTCTCGTTCATGTTGCCATGTCATGAAACCGGCAAACATTTCCGTAAAATAAATCGAGACAACTTAAGAAATGTAAGCATAACAGGAATTATCAGCATATACATGGTCCACTGAAGTATATTTAAATTCAAATGCGTGAAAATGATCGGTATAATTTGAAATTGCTTAGCTTATATATATATTTTTCCGCATGAATATATCTGTTTTTTTTTTCTGTTCTGTAACACATCGCTTTTTTCATATATAGGGAAAGAAGTTTGTTGGACACCGATGCTTTGTGAAGGCCAGACAACGCCATCGTGGATAAAACTGAATATCGGCGTAAGTATGAGTATATTTTTCTATATTTTTAATGTGTAAGCTAGAAAGTTAACATCGACAAGATCAAATTTATAGCGTACCATCGAGGATTTCAGCTGTCAATTCTGTGAACCCTGTTTGCTGGACTACAACCACGTACAATATAACCGCCTTATCAACTTTTCTCCCGCCAACAATAAATGTGAAGACTTTTACTTTACTAGAATAGTATTTTTAACCCCATAAAACATCATTTTTCTTGTACTTTTTTCAAAAAATAGGCTTCAGGCAATACCGAAGATTACAAATGCGCAGAAAGAGTCGAAGCGTTGGAAGGTAGGCACATAAATATAGTTATAGTTATGATGATAACACTTTATATACATATGATAAAATAAAGAAATTTTTCGGCAAGAAATTCAGGCAGTAAATAATAGTGTGATAGCCCGGCTTGTCCATGGAACATTCCCATCCCATTCCATAGCAATTATGCCTGTCCCATCCCATCCCATCTCGTGGGATTCCCATTGGAATAAAATTCAATAAAAATTGTTAAATTTAGGTTTAGCGTCTACTAAATTGGAATACATGTATAAAGAGACATGTAACACAAACAAAATTTACGGACTTCATTAACTTTATATTCATAACTTTTATGCATGTGTCCGTCCATCAACTCCTTCACGAAGTATATATAATAAAGCTGAATATATTTTGCTCTTTATGACTAACTAGAGAGCTATGCATATGGACACGAAATCCATAACGAAACGTTTTACCATCATCTCCCTGAAAATTATACGGTTTTCGTGTCCCACGTGTCCCATGGGAAATACAAATGTGTGCCATCCCATTCCATCCAATGGGACGTTTCCCAAGGGATTCCCGAGGGAATCCCATTCCCATAGACAAGCCTGGTGATAGCAAATTGTCATGTAAATCAAAAGCAGATGAACAGTAATGAGAGATGCTGAAAACATTTGGTGATGTCACACAGTACGGCGCACGTTGTCAGGATATCACATTGCAAATCTTTACAAATTCGAGAATTTTGAATAATACATAGATTTCTCTTAGCGTATAATCATTGACTGCTACGTGCTTCCGATTAACCGTTTCTGTGGTTTGTGTTTTCCTCACAAACTATCTCATCTAGGATGGTGCTCCCGAAGTATGCGAACCATAATGGCGGTCATCGGAACGTAACAGGTTAGGTTAGGCGATAATTTTTTTCCAATTTTCCATATTTTAGTCCTATTATCAGTTCGAAGACCAGCCAAGAGCCTCCCGTAGTATTTATACCTAAAATTATGGCCTAACCCTAACCTAGTACACATATTACATTCCGATGTCCGCCATCTTGGTTCGCATACTTCGGGAGCCCCCTAGGATATCTACACCAATTATATTAGCTAAATCCAATCCAATTAATTGTATCCAAATTTAGCAAAATAGAGTAATCGCAAGAAGAGTCGAGAGTATGTTTGTCATATTCCCTGAATAATATCATAAAAAGTTAATGTTTATTTAGGCACTGTCAGCACGATGAAGAATCAAATCCAAAAACTGACAAAACTAATAACTGGTACGATGACGACTGGTGCAACTACCAAGTCATCAACAGGTAAATTAATATACGTCTTCTATGCAGGTTAGTTTAAACTTTAAACGATTAAACATTTCACAGAATAAGTTTGGCAAGAATGTAACTAAACTAGTGCGATGACTTACAAATTTGATTGAAAAACTGTTGGAAATGTTTACCACGATAGACCGAAATACATACTTTTTTTGAAAAAAAAAAAAACTTGAGAAATCAACAATAATCCTTAAACCAAGCTACTACAATGCTCCATGATAATAATGGGATAGTATCAACCCCTATTTCCAATCAAACTACTACTCCTGTCATGAACATTTTTGCGACGACCGAGAAAAGCGAAGACCAAACATCTGCACAAGGTATTCGATGTAGGCCTGTAGTAGTTAATCCAAGATGGCAAACCCAATTCACGTCGTTCCTTCATATTTCATGCCACTAATGTTTAAATAAAGTAATACATGGTGCACACTAGACCGATGTATTTATTTTCGCTCAATAATAATTTTTAAGGCAGCTTCAACCAAGTATGCGAGCATGAAGTGTGAATTTTAAATTTTTCTCAGACTCTACTACGCAATCAAACGCTGCTACAACGACCCATGATAATAATGGAATAGTATCAACTTCCTTTTCCAATCCTACTCCTGTCCTGGACATGACGACCGAAAAAAGCCAAGATCAAACAACTGCACAAGGTATTCGAAGTACAGTCGTTAATCCAAGATGACAAACCCGATTTACGTCGTTTCTTCATATTTCATGCCACTAATGTTTTTAAATAAAGAAAAGCGTGCTATTTAACGGTACGAATATTAGTGTAATGGGGTTCTTTCTCGCTCATTAATCAAACATAGCCCAAACATATTTATACGATTTTCATCTCTCGGGATTTATCATTTATGCATTCCGTTTTTTTTTTTTCATTATTGCTATCACATAATAATTAGACCTGACCCCGTCGGGACAAGGAGCTAACCAGCAAGTATATGAGTTTTTCTTTTTTCGAGATTGAATGCACATTTACAAAATTATATTTTTTGTTTTTGTTTCAGGCTGCGAAGGTGTTTCTTATCTAAATAAATGCTTCAAAACTCCACAGGATTTACACATTACCGATAACGTTATTTTAAGTCAGGCTCAAACAATGTGTAACAATATTGGATGGAAACTTGCCAATATATATTCAACAGATCACTACGAGGCTGTAGCAGATTATCTTCGCAATAAATATCCCAAAATTAACCAGCCTTCGGTGTGGCTTGGCATGACCATGGGACAGGTTGGAAACCTATAATATTATAGTGAAGTGGAATTTTTTCTATTTATCACGACCAGATTTTGAATTCTCATTTTAGCACTGCCTGACACGCGTGTGTTTCACTTGTTAAGTCAAAAGCACACGTTTTTGTTACTCTTATTAGTTTGTAGCCCGGATACCATTTATCAATACATGTTGACCTCAACATTTAATGTTAATATCGACGTTTATTTCAAATAAACAATACAAATAAATTTATCACGTTTTCATATAAAATCGTGGATGTATAAAATGATTTCTTAAAATAATATGTGTCGCAACAAAATAAATGCATTTACGATGAATGTTTATCATGTTGGAAACCGTACAGGCAAATGAAATATGATTCTTTCTGTTTCAGGATTTACAACTTTATCAATCTAATGGAACAGTTGGCCCTACGTTAAAATGGTTACCTGGTTTCCCAGGAAGCTCGGGGGGAAAGATTATTTCAATGCATCTAATGCAGACTAAAAACGACAATAATCAAGGCATGGCAAATTCATCTGAAGGCACCGGAACGAAAGGGGTACTTTGTGAAAATTGAATGTGAATTTCAATTAAAAACAAGCATATGAAAAATAAAAATTTACATATTTCCAATGACAAAATTCGATAATTTTTTTTACATTGAACAGCGTTCACTCCTGTAATCAAAACAACTTAATGTTTTGACATGTAATGACCCGTCGTCATATGTATGACCCCTCGTATCGGCTTCTGTCTTCCCTGATACAAATATGAAAATCCTATCCAAATTTATACCCGATCCTTTTTGTATCATTCATTTCTAAGTCCGGGGCAGTATAGGTTGTAATAAATAATAAAGATTTTTTGTTTTATATATTACCGTTCTGATTCAATTACTTTCATTGTGCGTTTGTTTTTTACTACATATGCATATATTCTTACTACTACTACATTCTACTCAACATTGAACTTGGTAAATATTGATTTTTTTATTGTTGGTGTCTGCCCTTGCTATTTAAAACTTAATGTCTGTGTTTTATTTAAAGCACCGCAAAGAGACATATATTCGCGCTGTGGCGAAGAAGCTCAAATTATATTGACCAATCTAAAGGGAAAGACTATATTTGATAAAACCAGAATGTTTTCCTTTGAGTATAGCCCACTAAATTCTCTACACCCCAGCCAAAACTGATAGGCCAACTCACTGTTGTGAGAAATATTGAACCATGGTGTGCTCTATTTTGTGATTATGACATATTCGACCACGTGGATATATTTGAGAAATTAATGTAATGTACTTTACTGAGAATTTTATTAAATCGGTGACTATAATTTACCACTCGAAGAATATGAGTAATGTCTTTGCTTGTATTCTTCTTCCTTTTTATAATTGCTATTTGAATATATTAAATGAAATAGTTCATGAGAATATCATTTATACATAACTGAGCAGGAAGTTGTGAACAAATAGATCAAAACATTTGTACAACTTGTACATTCAAAATAAGCAGTGTCTATAGCTTCACGAACCAGTTTCACTTAATATTACTAAATTTTTGATGAAAATTTGCTCATTTCGAAGTTTTATTCATTCGCTTCATACATATTCTGTAACTTACTGCTCATAAATTTGAATGCTTCATTACTTTCGTTTTTTAATAGCGTTATTGGACACGTAGTGGACATAACGATCGTTTCAAAATTTTGTTGTTATTGTTATTTGTCTCCATCATTTTTTAAAAAATCGCTTTTTTCTTCGAATACTGGACCAATTGCTTTGAAATTTTCAGTGGTTGAAGATAAATTTTCCCCCAGAAGGCTAGTACTTTTATTCATTTTAAATATTTCTGTTAGCTCTGTGAGATTTGTTTTTGTTTGCTATGACGTCATTAAACGTTCTATGAGTATCGTACGCCATTTTGTGTCCTACTGTACTGTTTCGCTTGGTGTGAATATATTTGTAGACTGTGATCTGACGGTACAGTAAACCGTACTGTACTGCGAACAGACGTGTCCATATATTTGGGCGTGGCTCTCTTGTTATCTTTCAAATCATATTGTAGTAACTAATAATAAACTGTATATCTTTGCTAGTGTGCAATCATTGCGTTATTATTTACTAATATGGTCATTTGAGAGTTTTAGTGCGGTAGCGGGAATTCCAGTAAATACTTATAATATATGATATGGTAAATGCAATTACATAGGAAGCCAAAATGAGAATGGCTGTTTATACCACAATCCAACAACAATAATATACAACATCAAGATTATCGCTGCTTGATAACTAATATTGGGTTTTGATTTATATCCCGAGTTGTCTATTTAAAATTGTTCGGAGCAATCGGAATTGTTTGAGATTTTTTTATAATATGTGGTTCGGTGGCAACATGAACCGTTTTAATTTATAAAAATTATTGTAAATACGTGCAAATTTTTTTCTTCCAATTCTTTTTTATTGTTTAGTACTCTTGTTTCTATTCAGTCATTCTATAGTCATGCTATTGACAAGCGAATGATACCCCCATTGTATGCACAAAATGCAAATAAAAGAAATGAGGCAGTAGGGAAGTAGGCCAACAAAAAGAAACACTGATTGGTCATTTGATTCTGTGACCACGGTCTTTTTTTCTGTTAAACTTTCTATTTTTTTGTATTAAATTTCATTAAAATCAATTCGTTACTCATGACTCGTTTAACCTGTTTAACCTAATTGTCCTGTATTTAATATAAAACAATAACTTCACAAACTTTCAATAAAATTGTAAACCACAAAGTAAATATAACTTATGTGAAAACAGGACTTTTTATATTTATCCCCAAACGATTTCATTATACGTTAAACCACGGCTTTTCGTCCAGTTATAAGCCTACGTCGGTCATAGGAATAGTTAACTAGTTGTTCGGTTTATATGGCATACTGCCTAGTGTAGTAAGATAGAAAAAGATTTATTATTTTATTAACCAAAAATTGCAAACATCAATAAAACAAAAAAGCCACAGCAATAAAATTGTTTTGGTATGGACAGGCCACACGGTCATCAAGGTCAGCTCCTAGCATATGCCTTCAATATTATATATAGTAAAACACACTGACGTTTAGATTAGTTTTTATCGATCCTGTTTACTCAGCCACGCAATACTATGTTTACCTCTGCGCCATACACTAAACTGCCGAAAGAGAATAAATTGCATTGGGTCATGGCTTTGCAATGACGCCTCACTTTCTGCTACCACGTTTTATTGCACCTGAGCTTTTTAATTTGATTTAAAATCCAGTTATTACCAAATATACATGTGTGATGAACTATATAGAATTTCATATTCTACTCAAAACTATGACGCCATAATACAACTCATAAAATTCGCTAACGGATAAGAATGCATTACCTGGCGAAAACAAGGTCGCAAGTCCTCAAAGTCTCTCGAGAGCAAGACAAAATCGACGAGTTTACCAAACAAATCTATCCGGCGGAGATAATGAGTCAGGTAAAAAAGTGAATTCCTATTATGTAACATTGAATAATAATTGTCGTATACTTAAACCTGACTGTCGCTGTGTGATACCGTGTATTGGTTTTTAATTCTATCCCAAGTTGTCTATTTGAAGTGACGAAATCGTTTGGAGTAATCGTATCAAAAATTCCTCAAGATTTAGCTCTACAGAATATGGAAACCTTGGACTCAAGGAAAGGAAGGCTTTATCCGGGAAACAAATATTACACAATGAGCATGTATATATTATTCTCATAGTATTACATCTAAACATACTATATTAATATTTCTTCGACATAGTGTGCGGTGGCTATATAAACCGTTTATAGTTTATAAAAAATATTGTTAAGAGTCGTCAGTGTGTTAAAGGTCAATAAAGCTGCCATCGATAGTTCTCTTTCCCAATTCTTTTTATTACTTATTACTCTTTTCAATAGTCTTTTTATAGTCATGCTACTAACGAGCAGATGACACCTCCATTATATGCATTGAGTGCAAAATAAAAGAAATGAGGGAGCACAAAAGGAAACACTGATCATTGTTGGTAATATGATATGTGACCACGGTATTTTTTCTGTTTCTATTATTTTTTTTATTAAATCTCATTAAAATCAATTCATTACTCATAACTCGTTAACCTGTCGATATTGTCCTGTATTTAATATAAAGCAATAACTTTACAAACTTTCAAACCCTAAAGTAGGAAGTAGTGCTTCTATAGTCGTGCTACTAACGAGCGGATGACAACCTCATTATATGCAAAATAAAAGAAATGAGGGAGCACAAAAGGAAACACTGATCATTGTTGGCAAAACAGGGTAATATGATATGTGACCACGGTAATTTTTCTGTTTCTGTTATTTTTTTTTTATTAAATCTCATTAAAATCAATTCATTACTCATGACTCGTTAACCTGGCGATATTGTCCTATATTTAATATAAAACAATAACTTTACAAATTTTCAAACCGTAAAGTCGGAAGTAGAAAGTAGTTGAAAGAACACATGATCTGAACGTTCACCCATCTATAGGTCGAACAGCTTAAAAGTTATAAAATAAAATTATTGTGATACTCGGTTGGTAAAATGCATTGATGCCTTTTCATAAAAAGTTTTCTGGCATAAATATTAATCAAGGTATATGAAAGATTATTTTATATTATCCGCTTATTAAAAAATGTAATATCGCAAAATGAACTACCAATAGTTTGTTGAGATAATCGTCAATTCTGTCACGGCAACCGGAACGTACAGTTTATGAAAGCGTGCAAAAATGACTGCTATAGAAACTTTATTGACGCTAATCGTAAAAAAGACAAAAATTACACACAACTTTCAATTGAGAGACTACATTATTCAGGATTCTATTCTCGACGAAGACCAATAATTGATACTAATATTCATTGTCATTTCAACGAAAGGAAATAATTACCAAGTTTTTTTTTTATACAAATATACATCATTTTTCCCAGAAGAAACTTTTACTGAGAGTTATATATATCATGCTGATATTTTATTTTCTAAATCATGACAACCTACAGAATATAGCTTTAGCTCAATGAAATGGGATAGAAAGAACGTCTATGCAATTTTTTATTATTTATAGACAAAAGGGAAAAATTGTTGCTCCAGAGACTGACACGCATGGTTAATGTGTTCCGGCTAATAAATTATCCATCGTTACAAGATATAATAGATATAAAAAAAAGGTGCAAACTGTCCCTGTTTTAATCGCATTGCTGTGTTCCGCAAATGACGTCACCGTTTCTTTTTCTAACGTGGGTTTAATGTTTTTCTTTATAGCTCCTTTTTTATATTTTTGATGATGTTGAAATACCTTCCGCTCGTTAGCGCGTAATTAAAAGCTGTTGAACAAAATAAAGAGTGACAGTCGGCAGTGGAGAGCGTTTGTGAAATATAACTAGTTCGCTTATACACTGTTACTATATTATACAAACAAAATTGATCTGCGCAAATATATTGAGAATATAAGAATACCATATTTTCATTCACTCATATTTAATTAAACAACATAAAGTTTTGCAGTACAAGATATCAAACGACAAAATGAAGATTCAGTTTTTTTACATAGGCCTTCTTATGGCTGGGAATGTAGTTTTTGGTAAGTTGAATTTCTTTACTTTCGTTCTTGTTGCCATGTCATGAAAAAGGCATAACATATAGGGCATTTCCGTAATATTAATCGAGGCAACTTAAGAAATGCAAGCATAACAGCATATTTATGGTTCTTTACTGAAGTATAATTAAAATAAAATGCAAAAAAATGATTGGTAAATTTATATCTGCTTATATATTTTTCCGCATAAATATTTCATTTTTCTTCTGTTCCGTAACACACCGCATTTTTCTTATAAAGGGGAAGAAGTTTGTTGGGCACCGATGCTTTGTAAAGACCAAACAGTGCCATCGTGGGTAAAACGAAATGTCGGCGTAAGTATGAGTATATTTTTGTTTAATGTGTTAGTAAGAAAGTCAACATTGACATGATTAGATTTAGAGCGTATACTATCAAGGATTCCACAATTCTGTAAACCGTATGCGAGACATTTGCTGTCCTCCTGCCAACAATAGATGTGAAGAATTTTGCTTTACTAGAATAGTATTTTTATTCCCATAAAACATAATTTTTCTTGTACTTTTTCTCAAAAATAGGCTACAGGCAATACCGAGGAGGACAAATGCGCAGGAAGAGTCGAAGCGTTGGAAGGTATAGGCACATAAATATAGTCACGGTGATAATACTTCATACATATAATAGACAAAAATTTTGGCAAGAAATACAGGCAGTAAAAAATAGTGCAATAGCAAATTGTCATGTAAATCAAAGGCAGATGAACAGTAATGAGAGATGCTAAAAACATGTGGTTTGGTAATCGCGAGGAGTCAATAATATGTTTGTCATATGCCCTGACAAAACTAATAACTAGTAAGATGACGACTGACGCAACTACCAAGTCATCAACAGGTAAATTAATAAACGCCTTCTATGCAGGTTTGTTCAAACGATTAAACATTCACACAATATTTTTGGCAAGAATGTAACTCAACGAGTGCGATTACTTTTGAATTTGATTGCAAAATTGTTGGGAATGTTTACCACGATAGACCAAAATGCATACTTTTCATAAAGTTAATAAAAAAAACTTGAAAATTCAACAAAAATCTCTAAACCGCGCATGATGTGTGAAATTTAAATTTGGTTTAGATACTACAATGCAATCAACCGCGGCTACAATGCGCCATGATAATAATGGAATAGTATCAACTTCATCTTCCAATGCAAGTACTACTCCTGTCTTGGACATTTTTGAGTCGAATATTCGAAAAAAAGAAATGCACGGAGTACACTAGTATACTATAGACCAGTGGCTGGCCAGTGGCTCCCAACCTTTTAGTACCATCGCCCCCCCTACAGTATTTTATACAACTTCATCGCCCCCCAGCACTACAAAAAATGTGAAGTCAGAAACGAATATATTACAGACCAAATAAGAAGACAAATCATATTTAATAGTGTTTTTTAATGAGATGGATGAGCTTGGTGTTCTTCAGCAGGTTTTATTTATTATTAGGTGACATTTTTGTCAGACACAAACTTAAATCATCCGTTTACTGATGGAAAGGCGATTTCGTTGTTTTGATAGCAATAGTAAGTTAATTTTCCCAAACGTTTGATAATGATTTTCGTACATCATATTCATCCATACAGCCTGATGACCTGCACCAAAATACATATAACGATCTTTGATAAAATTAACCCTCGATTCCTCATCCTACCACGGCCTCCAGTCCGATCACCAGTACATGGAATTAATCAGCCATTTGTTTTAGATTCGTGGACTCGGATGTGGAAAAAGCCGTGACCGACTATGGGCTACGGCCCAGGGGTCGGCAAATTTTGTTTCGGGTTGCTAGTCTTTTGCGGGTCGCATATATTTTCTGAAGGTTAAAAACGGAAGAGCGCGCGAAAACTGCAACAATTCATGAACTCAACTCAGTCGCCCTATTGAAAAATTATTACAATGACATTTGATGTGACACTGTCTTGTTGCTGCATCACGCTTGATAACTTTACGACGCCAAGGAAGAGTTTCTAAATGGTTTCACTTCCAAACATCGAAGTGAATATTTTTGCATGGTTTGTGAAATTTTGAATTTTGATATAGATTTTCCTTAAGAGATACATTCTTACAAACATTAAGCAGTGATGAATCTCTCGAATAGAATATAAATTTTATATCCTTATTGCATTGCAATATATTTGAATATTTACTGTGATATTGAACCCCTGCACTCAGCATCAACTTTTCTGCGTGTTGCCATTTGTCTAATTATAATTGAATTGTAGGCTCGTTAAACGAGTAGCAGCTGTTCTCTAAATTGTTGTTAAGATATAATATAATTTAGCCTAAACGTGTCTCACGATAAGTTCTGTTACGTAAAAAATGTAATTTGCTCCTCGAGCATAGATTATAAATAAAATTAATCATTGTACAAACGCCGTTTTGTCTGTATATTGGATGTTTTCCCGAGCATAGACTTCCTTGTTTACTTCGTGACATTGGCCAATCAGCAAGATGCAAAAATAAACGTAACGATGCCCCCTTTCGCATCCGCTCAGACGCTTTTCTCGCTCAGACAGATTTTCAGGCGTGGTCGTAAACATTACCTCAATTTCTCGGTTTTTGATTTATATTCGTTTGTTTTTAGTTGTGTTTCGGAAATTCAACTAAAAACCAAATAACCAAGCGTTAACCAAGCATGCAAGCATGTTGTGTGAATTTCAAACTTTGTTTAGACTCTATACTACGCAATCAAATGCTGCTACAATGCTTCAGGATAATAATAGAATAGTATTTACTTCCTTTTCAAATCCAAGTACTACTCCTGTCAAGGGCACTTTTGCGAAGATCAAGAAAAGCCAACACCAAACTATTGCACAAGCTATTCGATGTATATTAGTTAAACCAAGTTGGAAAATCCGACCTACGTCTTTCGTTGCTATTCCCTGCCATTATTGTTTAAATAAAGAAATGCATGGAGTGTACTAGGCTAATGTATTTATTTTCGTCTAAGAAATTGTTCATTAGGAAACTGGACTTCTATCCGACGGTAAGAATATTAATGTAATGGGGTTCTATCTTGCTCATTAATCAAACATATCTCAAACAGATATATACGATATTCATCTATCGGGATTTATCATTTATTAATTCCGTTTTTTTTATTTTTTCATCATTGCTATCTCATAATAATAATAATTAGACCTGGCGCTATCGGGACAAGGGGCTAACCAGCAAGTGTATGAGTTTATCTTTTTTCGAGATTGAATGCACATTTACAAAATTATATTTTTTGTTTTTGTTTCAGGCTGCGAAGGTGTTTTTTATCAAAATAAATGCTTCAAAACTCCACAGGATTTACACATTACCGATAACGTTAATTTAACTGTGGCTCGAACAATGTGTAACAATATTGGATGGAAGCTTGCCAATATATATTCAACAGAACACTACGAGGCTGTAGCAGAATATCTTCGCAATAAGTATCCCAAAATTACCGTGCCTTCGGTGTGGCTTGGCATGGTTCTGGGGCAGGTTGGAAACCTATAATATTATAATGAATTGGAATTTTTTCTATGTATCACGACCAGATTTTTTGAATTCTCAATTTTTAGCACTGTCTGGCACGCATGTGTTACAATTGCTGAGTCCGATTCAGTACGAAAAGCACACGTTTATGTTACTCTCATTAATTTATACCCCGGATACCATTTATTAATACATGTTGACCTCAACATTTAATGTTTATATCGACGTTCATTTCAAATAAACAATACAAATAAATTTATCACGTATTCATGTAAAAACGTAGATGGATAAAAGGATTTCTTAAAATAATATGTGTCGCAACAAAATAAATGCGTTTATGATGAATGCGTAATTATGTTGGAAACTGTACAGGCAAATATAATATAATTCTTTTTGTTTCAGGATTCACAACTTTATCTAGCCAGTGGATCGGTTGGCCCTAAGTTAAAATGGTATCCTGGTCACCCAAGAATATCGGGAGGAACGATGATTTCAATGTATCTAAGGCAGACTAAAAACAACGATTATCAAGGCATGGTAAATCTACCCACAGAAAGCTTAACGAAAGGGGTACTTTGTGAATATTGGATTTGAATTTTTGATTAAAAACAAGCATAATACGAAAAATAAAAATTTGCATATTTTCAATGACAAAATTCGGCAATTTTTTGACTCTTATACTCAAAACAACTAAATGTTTAGACATGTTAATGAAGGCCGTGCTACGCCATATGTATCGGCTTTAGTCTTCCCTGATACAAATAATAAAGATTTAATAAAGAGCAATATCTTTGCTTTTATTCCTCTCCTTTTTTATAATTGCTATTTGAATATAATAAATGAAATAGTTCATGAGAATATCATTTATACATAACTGAGCAGCACGTTGTGAACAAATAGATTAAAACTTTTTTCCGACTTGTACATTCGAAATTAGCAGTGTCTATAGCTTCACGAACCAGTTTCACTTAATATTACTAAATTTTTGATGAAAATTTGCTCATTTCGAAGTTTCATTCATGCGTTTCATACCTATTCTATAACTTACTGCTCATAGATTTGAATGCTTCATTACTTTCGTTTTCTAATAGCGTATAACCTTTTAAATCATATTGTAGTAACTAATAATAAACTGCATATCTTTGCTAGTGTGCAATCATTGCGTTATTTACTAATATGGTCATTTGAGAGTTTTAGTGCGGTAGCGGGAATGCCAGTAAATACTTATAATATATGATGGGGTAAATGCAATCACATAGGAAGCCAAAATGAAAATGTCTGTTTATACCACAATTAGGCTTCATCAAGACTATCGCTGTTTGATAACTAATATTGGGTTTTGATTTATATCCCAAGTTATCTATTAAAATTGTTCGGAGCAATCGGAATTGTTTGAGATTGTTTTTATAATATGTGATGCGGTGGCAACATAAACCGTTTTAGTTTATAAAAATAAATTGTATATACACGCAAACTTTCTTCCAATTCTTTTTTATTGATTAGTACTCTTGTTTCTATTCAGTCATTCCATAGTCATTCTATTGACGAGCGGATGACACCCCCATTGTATGCACAAAGTGCAAATAAAAGAAATGAGGCAGTAAGGAAGTAGGCCAACAAAAAGAAACACTGACCGTAGTTTGATCATTTGATTCTGTGACCACGGTCTTTTTTTCTGTAAAACTTTCTATTTTTTTTTATTAAATTTCATTAAAATCAATTTGTTACTCATGACTCGTTTAACATGTTTAACCTTATTGTCCTGTATTTAATATAAAACAATAACTTTACAAACTTTCAATAAAGTTTCAAACCACAAAGTCGGAAGTTGGGAGTAGTTGACGAAACGAAGAACACATGATCTGAACGAGTCATATTGTGGCGGGACTAGAGTTGTCCTATTTTTTATTGTTTTATATATATTTTTGTCGAGTTATTGCTTATGCATTGGTGTGTGGAGTCTAAGCCTTAATTCAACCGATAGTCAGGTTATGTTTCTCGACTCCAACCACCACTGCATATGTGAACTGTGCTGCGTTTCGCAGTGGTCGTTCCTCTTGCTTTTGTTGTCGCCTGGCGAGCATCGTATTTGTTTTCTGATTTTATCTGCTTTAATCGTGTGTTTCACACTGTCTAATAAAGTCTCATCTCATCTCTTCGTTTTCATCGCTAACTTCAAATATATTGTGTGTGGATAATAGTGGCGAACACGTATATATTCCGGTAAAGTCGCACCGCTGAACATGCAATTAAAGTATGTAAACAGCGATTAAAATGACCTCAGATATTTCTGTGCCTTCCAAGTGCTGCCCGATTCAACTCAACTTGAAATCGGTAAATATCTTCAATAACAATCAACAAACGATATTTGAAATCAAATCTCGAATATGAATCAGAAACATCGAACTTGATACGTGGGTACGGTTTTCTGCCAAAATAATATTTATAACTAAATAGCTTATATGGAACAATTAATCAAATATAACAGCATTACCATATAACAAGCAATAACAGTTCACAGCAATTAGCAGATAACCATATGTCACAATCATGTACAGATTAAATCACATGAGATAAAATAGCATTCAAAATACTAAAATGCAGAATAAACCATACAAGAATATTTACATACCGAATGTTTAGGATCTTCAGCCAACTCAATACAACAAATTATAATCCAAAGTAAATATAACTTAAATTATGTGGCTAAATATAAAGAACAGCAGTTATCTTTCTATTTGGACTATAATACCGCCCTAACCTGCATCCCTACATTATATAACAACCCCAGTCTAAACCCTTAGTTTTAAACCCGGTTAATAACTTCAATCCAAATCCTTAATCTTAACCGCAAACTTCAAACAGTAAACCCAATACTAAACACGATAAACAATTTCTAGCGCAATAAATTAAAGTGGATACAAGCTAGGCAGTATCAAATCATGGAAGCAGCGTGACAATAATTATGGTCACCCGGGTCAATTAATCAAAAAACCTCGAACAGGACTATGTCGCATATCGCTGCGTCGATACGTTTACAACGTCTGTGTAAAACGTCTTTAACCTTAACATTAACACATTATGATTCTTACTAACATAGAAATTGAATAACAAACCGTCGCCAATATAATAGAATGAACGAAAGAGACAGAACAAAAACAGGAAAAAGAAAAATCACACAAGATATTTGAAATCAATAGGAGAGGAAGGACTTGCTGTTAAGATTTGAAATATGCGGAAATCAACCCTTTTTCAGTGTACGTAATATTAATAAATAGGGGCATATTCAATAGCGGAGTACCCAAATTCTAAGTTCTAGTAAGTTTAAATTTGAGTTGTGTGAAAAACTTTAAGTATCTGACTTTGCTATTGAATAATACGATCGCATGCCTCTTGTGCAGAAGGGCATGCTAATAAATTTTGAAAAATGCAAAATTTGAATATTTTTCTGTATATGTGATTTTGAAAAATAGCTCAGGTTCGAGTTTTGTGAAAAACTACATGTATTTCACTTTGCAATGAAATAATTAAATCGCATGCCACTTGTGCGAAAGGACATGCTTTTAAGCTCTGAAGATTGCAAAATTTAATTCTTTTTCTGCATACCCAATTCAGTAGGAGAGAACCCAAAATTATATGTTCCATTAGATTTGGGTTCGGGTTTTGCGACAAATAACATACATTTTCCTGAATGAAATGCTCATAATCAAATAGTTTCTTTTTTATGATAAAAGTTGCATTTTGCCATATATATGTATTCTACTCATTGTATTTTGTTTTATAAGAATATTCCTTTTATGAAGGGCTATTCTGCTATCATGCTAAGTTATCTAAATTCAGTGTCAAATTTGTTGCTCGTTTATTTTTACATCACCATTCTTCTCTTGTATTCTATATGTGAAATTGATGAATAACATTGATTGAACAATAACTTTTTAGTGATTTGAATGCCCTGTCTGAATATTTTTCGCGTGGGAATAATGTAACTCCTATATTTCTGCCGAGATTTTTGGATCTTTTCGCTTCGCCGCACACAAAGGTCAAATGGCAAATAGCTTCACAATGGTCGAAAGCGCACGCGCCAACCCACTCCGCATCTCGTTGAACACTGTGATCTATGGTGCCACCAAACGACGAACTTTTAGGCGCTTTCAGCCCCTTCTTCCCCTCGAAAATAGAACTTTTTATATTTATCCCTGAACGATTTCATTATACGTTAAACCACGGCTTTTCGTCCAGTTATAAGCCTACGTCGGTCATAGGAATAGTTAACTAGTTGATCGGTTTATATGACATACTGCCTAGTGTAGTACGATAGAAAGAGATTTATTATTTTATTAACCAAAAATTGCAAACATCAATTAAACAAAAAAGCAACAGCGATAAAATTGTTTTGGTATGGACAGGCCACACGGCCATTAAGGTCAGCTCCCAGCATATGCCCCTAATATAATAGTAAAACACACTAACGTTTAGATCAGTTTTTATCGATCCTGTTTACTAAGCCACGCAATTTTATGTTTAACCCGGCGCCATACACTAAACTGCCGAAAGAGAATGAATTGCATTGGGTCATGGCTTTGCAAAAATCCAGTTATTACCAAATATAAAACTATGATGCCTTAATACATTATAAAATTCGCTAACAGATAAGAATGCATTACCTGGCGAAAACAAGGTGGCAAGTCCTCAAAGTCTATCGAGAGCAAGACAAAATCGACGAGTTTACCAAACAAATCTATCCGGCGGAGATAATGAGTCAGGTGAAAAAGTGAATTCCCTTTATATAACATTGAATAATAATTTTCCTATACTTAAACCTGTCGCTGTGTGATAACGTGTATTGGTTTTTATTTCTATCCCAAGTTGTGTATTTTGAGTGACAAAATCGTTTGGAGTAATCGTATCAAGAATTCCTCAAGATTTAGCTCTACAAGATATGGAAACCTTGGACTCAAGGAAAGGAAGGCTTTATCCGAGAGACAAATATTACACAATGAACATGTATATATTATTCTCATAGTATTACATCTAAACATATTATATTGATATTTCTTCGACATGGTGTGCGGTGGCTATATAAACTGTTTATAGTTTATAAAAAATATTGTTGAGAGTCGTCGGTGTGTTAAATGTCGATAAAGCTGCGATAACATCGATATTTCTCTTTTCCAATTCTTTCTTATTACTTTTTAATCTTTACTCTTTTCAATAGTCTTTTTATAGTCATGCTACTAACGAGCGGATGACACCTCCATTATATGCATAGAGTGCAAAATAAAAGAAATGAGGGAGCACAAAAGGAAACACTGATCATTGTTGGTAATATGATATGTGACCACGGTATTTTTCCTGTTTCTATCATTTTTATTATTAAATCTAATTAAAATCAATTCATTACTCATAACTCGTTAACCTGTCGATATTGTCCTGTATTTAATATAAAACAATAACTTTACAAACTCTCAAACCGCGAAGTCGGAAGTAGGAAGTAGTTGATGAAACAAAGAACACATGATCTGAACGAGTCATCAGCCTGTATATAGGGATAACCCATCTATAGGTCGAACAGCTTAAAAGTTATAAAATAAAGTTATTGTGACACTCATATGGTAAAATGCATTGATGCCTTTTCATAAAAAGTTTCCTGGCATAAATATTAATTAAGATATATGGAAGATTTTTTCATTTTATATTATCCGCCTATTATAAAATGTGATATCGCAAAATGAACTGCCGATAGTTTGTTGAGATAACCACCAATTCTGTCACGGAAACTGGAAGGTACAGTTTATCAAAGCGTGCAAAATGACTGCTATAGAAACTTTATTGACACTAATCGTAAAAGAGACATAAATTACACACAACTTTCAATTGAGAGACTACATTATTCAGGATTCTATTCTCGACGAAGACCAATAATTGATACTAATATTCAATGTCATTTCAACGAAAGGAAATAATTACCAAGTTTTTTTTTATACAAATGTACATCATTTTTCCCAGAAGAAACTTTTACTGAGAGTTATATATATATATCATGCTGATATTTTATTTTCTAAATCATGACAACCAACATATATAGCTTTAGCTCAGTGAAATGGGATAGAAAGAACGTCTGTGCAATTTTTTATTATTTATAGACAAAAGGGAAAAATTGTTGCTCCAGAGACTAACACGCATAATTAATGTGTTTCAGCTAATAAATTATCCATCGTTACAAGATATAATAGATATAAAAAAAAGGTGCAGCCTGTCCCTATTTTAATCGCATTGCTGTGTTCCGCAAATGACGTCACCGTTTCTTTTTCTAACGTGGGTTTAATGTTTTTCTCTATTACTCCTTTCGTATATTTTTGATGATGTTGAAATAACTTCCGCTCGTTAGCGCGTTAATAAAAGCTGTTGAAACAAAAAAAAGAGTGACAGTCGGCAGTGGGGAGCGTTTGTGGGATATAACTAGTTAGCTTATGCACTGTTACTACATTATACAAACAAAATTGTTCTGCGCAAATATATTGAGAATAATATAAGAATACCATATTTTCATTCACTCATATTTAGTTAAACAACATAAAGTTTCGCAGTACAAGATATCAAACGACAAAATGAAGATTCAGTTGTTTTACATGGGCCTTCTTGTGGCTGGGATTGCAGTTTTTGGTAAGTTGAATTTCTTTACTTTTGTTCTTGTTGCCATGTCATGAAAACGGCATAATATAAAGCATTTCCGTGAAATTAATCGAAGCAACCTAAAAAATGTAAGCATGACAGCATATTTATCGTTCTCTACTGAAGTATAATTAAATCAAATAATAAAATATAATCGGTAAATTTTTAACTGCTTATATATTATTCCGCATGAATATTTCTGTTTTTTATTTTTTCTGTTCCGTAACACATCGTCTTTTTCTTATAAAGGAGAAGTTTGTTGGGCACCGATGCTTTGTAAAGACCGGACAATGCCATCGTGGGTAAAACTAAATGTCGGCGTAAGTATGAGTATATTTTTGTTTAATGTGTTAGCAAGAAGGTCAACATTGACATAATTAGATTTAGAGCGTATGCTATCAAAGATTCCACAATTCTGTAAATCGTATGCGAGACATTTGCTGGACTCCAACCACGTACAATATAACCGCTTTATCAATTTTCCTCCCGCCAACAATAAATGTGAAGATTTTTGCTTTACTAGAATAGTATTTTTTAACCCATTAAAACATTATTTTTCTTGTACTTTTTTCCAAAATAGGCTACAGGCAATACCGTGGATTACAAATGTGCAGAAAGAGTCCAAGCGTTAGAAGGTAGGCACAACAATATATAGTTATGATGATAACACACAATACCTGACGAGAAATAAAAGCAGTAAAAAAATAGTGCGTTAGAAAATTGTAATGTAAATCTAAAACACATGAACAGTAATGGGACATGCTGAAAACATTTGGTGATGTCACAAAACGTGAAATACGGTGCACTTCCTTAGAATAGCGCATTGCAAATCTTTAAGTTGTGAACATTCGAAAATTTGCAGTATATACTTTTTCCTTATCTACATAAAATCGTTGACTGCTACGTGCTGCCCAATATCTGTTTCTGTAGCTTGTATAATTACATCAATACACTCTCTTTGTATTTAGGTCCAATCCAATTAATTATATCCAAATTTAGCAAAATAGAGAATTCGCAGTCCACAGACAGAAACGCCCACATGCTTGAAGAGTATTAGGCCTAAGACTATACAATTGATTTAGAATGAGTCAAGCTCAAATATCTCTGATAGACTCTAGAAGTGGTTGTCGAACTTTTTAGGGCGCGCCCTAATAGAATTTGTCAAGTCTCGCGCCCCACCTCAAAAATAACTAGCTAGCAATAATCTACAAATAACAAATAGTAAGGCAATAGTATGTTTCATTCAGAAAACACGTTGAAAATGTACATAATTAAGAAATATAAATGGCAAAATCGAATCTAACAAATATTTTTATTTTCAATTAGCTTCACGCCCCCTCAAAAATTGTCTTGTGGCATTGCATTATTGGGGCTATTCATATTTACTGGTGATATAAATAGGTATACAGATCCTATCTCCTAATAAATTCATCGCCCGCAAATTTCAAACTCCTTTATGCTCGGGTCCGTAATACAGTCGTGGGTGTTTTATGTAGAACGTACAATGTGCTTGATTTTTTTATTACCTATAATTAGAAATCGGAACGATAAAATACACGGTTTAGCCAAGATTCAAGACTATGTTTGTCATATTCCCTGAAAAATATATTAAATACTTAATGTTTATTTAGGCACTGTCAGCACGATGAAGAATCAAATCCAAGAACTGACGGAAGTAATAACTGGCAAGATGACGACTGACGCAACTACCATATCATCAACAGGTAAATTAATGTACGTCTTCCATGTAGGTTAGTTTAAATTTAAACGATTAAACATTTCACATTATAATTTTGGCAAGAATGTAATTAAATGAGTGCGATTACTTTTGAATTTGATTGCGAAATTGTTGAGAATGTTTACCACGATGGACCGAAATACATAAATTTGATATAGTTGATAAAAAACAATAATCTTTAATGTAGCTTTAACTAAGCTAATTTTGAATATTACTAAGACTCTACTACGCGATCAAACGCTGCTACAATGCTCCATGATAATAATGGAATAGTATCAACTTCCACTTCCAATCCAAGTACTACTTCTGTCTTGGACATTTTTATGACGACCGAGAAAAGCCAAGACCAAACAACTGCACAAGGTATTCGGTGTATAGTACGATGTTAAACAAACGATAGTTTAACAAAGTTGGCAAACCCGACTTACGTCGTTTATTCATATTTGCTGCCACTAATGTTTGAATAAAAAAAATGCATGAAGTATAAGGCTAGGCTAATAAGGTATTTATTTTCGTATAAGAATTGTTCAAACGAAAAATGGTCTACTATTTAACGGTATGCATATAAATGTATTTGGGTTCTTTCTCGCTCATAAACATAACCCATTGTTATATATATTATATGTTCATCGCTCGAAATTTTTCATTTATTCATTTCGTTTTATTTTTTTTATCAATGCTATCACATAATGATAATAAAATATATTTATAATTAGTGCTAACGTTATCGGGACAAGATATGCCAACTATGCAGCAAGCATCTGAGTCTTTCGTTTTTCGAGATTGATGCAAATTTACAAAATTATATATGTTTTGTTAAAGGCTGTGTTTCTTATCGAAATAAATGCTTCAAAACTCCACAAGATTTACTCACGACCGAGAGCGTTGATTTAAATCAGGCTCGAACAATGTGTACCGATATTGGATGGAAACTTGCCAATATATATTCAACAGAACACTACGAAGCTATAGCAGAATATCTTCGCAATAAGTATCCCAAAATTAACCAGCCTACTGTGTGGCTTGGTATGACCCTAGGACAGGTTAGAAACCTACAATATTATTATAGTGAAATAGAATTTGTTTCTGTTTATCACGATGCTATGTTGAATTCTCAATTTTTAGCACTTCCTGGCACTAAGCATTTCTACACGTACAAAAAGTCCACGATTTTGTTTTGTTTTATTCGTTTGTAGCACGGATACCATTGCAATATAAGTTGACCTCCAAAGAAAATGTTCATTATTTCAAACACAATGAATTTATCACGTTTTCATGTAATGGCGTGGATGGATCAAATGAAGGCCGCAACAAACTAAATGCGTTTATACTGTTTTATGGTATTGGAAACTATACATGCAAATGAAATATGATGTTCTTGGTTTCAGGATTCACAACTTTATCTATCTAATGGAACGGTTGGCCCTACCTTGAAATGGTATCCCGGTTTCCCGGGAGGCTCAGGGGGGAAGATGATTTCAATGGATGTACTGCACGTTAAAAACCACAATTATCAAGGCATGGTAAATCAACCCCCAGAAAACAAAAGAAAAGGGGCTCTTTGTGAAAATTGAATATGAACTTACAATTAAAAAAAGCTGAATTCAAAATATTTGGGGATGAAGTATTGTCACGTAATGGGTTACCGAAGATTAAACACATTTAAATACATTTCAGTACAAACGTACGTTTCGCTTGTTTGCATATTTTTAATGACAAAATTCGACAATTTTTTTCACAATAAACAACGTTCACTCATTTACTCAAAACAACTTAATTTTTAAACATTTAAATGAAGATTTTAGAGGTCGTGGTACCCCACATAAATAAACCGTTTTATTGACTTTTCTCTCCCAGAGATGAATTTGAAAATTCTATCTTAATAAATTTGTCCGAAAAGTTTTAGACTTTCTTTTATATATTTCTGCTCTTCTTCAATTTTTCCATTGTACGATTCTCCTGTTATATATCTATTTTATGTTTTACTAATAGGCTATACCCAACATAATAAATATTGACTTCTTATTGCCAATGAGTGACAGTGACCCCCCCCCCTTTTAGAAAAATTTGAATGTCTGTGTTTTAGTTAAAGCAATGCAAATATATCTTAATACATTTGATTTGGCTTGTACCCGCGCTACGGCGAAGAAATTAAAAATCTGAAGGGGCGGACTATAGTTGATAGAAGCCGAATCTTTATCTTTGTGTATAGCCTACTAAATATTTTACCCATGAGTCAAAACTGATAGGTCAACTCACCATTTTGAGAAATATTAATTCAAGTTGTGCTCAATTTTATGTGATTATAATATCTTCGACCACATGGATATATTTAGGAAAACAATGTAATGTGCTCGTATGAGCATTTTGATAAATCAAGGCGGTGACGATAGTTTACTACTTGAGGCATATGAGCTACATAATTGTTCATCTTCTTCTTTTTATTAATTATTATTTGAATATTACAAATGAAATAATTCTCGGAAATATCATTTATACATAACTGAGCAGGGGTTGTGGACAAATAGATCAAGACATTTGTCCGGCTTGTACATTCGAAAGTGGCACTGTCTTGCTTCACAAATAAGTTTACCTAAATATTATTAGATTTTTGATAAAAATTTGATCATTTCGAAGTTTCAAAATTGTGTTTTCTACGTACTCTGTAACTTGCTTGTTTGCTCATTAATTTGAATGCATCTTTGATTTTTTAATTTTGTTAATTCTTCTAAATTTGATTATAGTAATAATATACTGTATATATATATATATATTTGCTAGTGTGCAGTCATTGCGTGATTATTTACTAATATGGTCATTCGAGAGTTTTGGTGGGGTAGCAGAAATACCAGTAAATACTCATAATATATGATAAGGTCAATTCAATCGCATGGAAAGCCAAAATGAGAATGTCTGGAAAGAAACTAAAAGTGATAGGACAAAGATCTCGGACGAGGAAGTTTATTGTATTATTTAAATGAAAAAGAAAATTCGTATTTTACGATGTGAAAGATATTTTAGATTAGATCTCGCATACCTCTCTCTCACTTTTAGCCAATCATATTTCTCTATTATCTTAACAATCCCAGACAAATGATGTTTTATCTTTATTATCTTACTGTCTTGTTTACAATGACTTATTACAGGGGGGGGCAAAATCTTTTAGTATAAGAGCCGCATGCAGCAATCATAAATATGTAAGAGCCGCATAATTTTTTAAATCAATAATAATAAAATACCGTGAACAGAAAAAAACTTTACACAAACGTATAATAACAATATTGCAGCAAAGTACATATTCTTTAACCGCTAAATTAAAAAAAAACTGTTACGCTACAGCTTCTCTTAGTTAAATTTGGATAACATACAATAATTGCCAGCGAGAAGAGCCGCATAAAAACTCCGGCGAGCCGTATGCGGCTCGCGAGCTGCGGTTTACCGGCCGTTGGCCTATTATATCGCCACGGAGAAGACGTGTGGAGTAAAACTTTTCCCTCGGGTTTTGATATAACGTGCTTCTGTTTCTTGTTCTATATGGCAATGTGGTATTGCGAAAGTGTCGTTCGATATTACCATTTGCTTTCAACTTAGTTTACCTTGGGGGGTGCGCGTTTCGTAAAATCTGTCGTAATAATTTAGCTTAGGTCCTATTTAGTATTTGCTATTATTGATTGTTATAGTGAACGCTATGTTGTTAACATATCGTCAGGCTAATAACCGAATTGCGTAAGTGATTTTTGGTGATTTTGAGTTTTTTTGTTATAAAATAGGTATTTATGTAATGCTGCGCACCTGTCTGTTAACTCAAATTTTATTTTAGGAATTCCAAAACCATAAAAACGGAGATATTGTATGATATGCACATTTGTGCAATTGTTTCGTCATAATGAATTATCATTGTTGCTGCAGGACTATTCTGACGTCACAAAGGCAAATTAACCTCTGCGAGCGCTTATAAATTTGAATTCATACTACAGTATAGGGAGGCGTGCACTTGTGATATTCACTGTCCGAGTCCAATTCACCTTGGTTGGCTTTTATATTGGGTGCAATGCTGTTTTATTCTTTATATTTAATCTTATTCTTATTTCCGTGGGTGTGCAGAGCGTTTTATAGTGATGATATATATATTTCTAAACATAAAGAATAATGTAATTGAAACAGATTGGCTATTTTGGGGATTAGACATCGTAAATACCGAGAATTACATTCGTTTTTGGAATGTTTGGTTTTCAGGACTGGTGCATATAGTCAAGTTGCAAAATTGCGTATGTCCCCAAGTCATAGACACATTTCTGCCTAAGTCACAGTGCGCCATTATGACGTCGCATAACTGCGTCATACAAATTAACTTGAATCAGGCTACGATCAAAAAATTGAACCATGGCAAATTATTGAGTCTCAATGGCATAACAATATCATTAGGAAGTTTTTTACGTTTTTTTCAAAACTACTAAAAATGACTTACGCAATTCGGTTATTAACTTGACGATATTGTACACACCCAACAAATGCAAAAGAAAATGCAGTTGCGGTATTCCATTAAAAATAATAAGTAAAAATTTATATTTAGATTTTTTTTATGTGAAGTATGTACGGTAAGAAGAATATCTCGTTTAAAAGTTCAATGAAACTTAGGACGTAAACTTTTCGGCACTATTATAGCAATTTTATAACCAAACTAATAAATGGTGTTTTCAAATAATGCAAAACATTTTCGATCATGACTGGTTGTGATTGAATGATCGTAAATTAAAAAAAAAAACATGATACGATGTGCTTGATGATATCTAAAGATTTTGGCGCTCCTGAAGTATGAGCACCAATGTGGAGGTAACTAATTTTGTTCGCCTTTTTTACATCAATTTGTGTAAAGGGACTGAAACCTATGGACAGGAGGATATTTCATTGGATAACACTAACAGTTTAACCTGGTACGCATACTTCGGAAATACCAAATTTTCGTGTAAATAGCCTTTACATAATGCAATTGTAAGGCGTTCGTAAAAAGATGAGCACACATGACTTATTTGAATCAATGTGTCGAATGCAATTTTACCAAAGATAAATATTTACCGACCATTTGTTGGTCGCATTTCTATGAAGGCGACAGCGGGTTCGTCGTTTGATGTACGTTACTATAACTTTAAACTTTTGTCTAATGAAAGGAATAGTAGGCCTACCTTTTACAAATGCTTCACTAGTAACGGCCAATGCTAAAGCACACCCATATTTCCAATGGAATACTAGTAAAATGGATTTAATACAATGATATAACCAACGCCCGTGCGAAATTTATTTCAATTGGTACAGTAGTTATTGCAGTTTTAAGATACTATCTCATTCATCCTGAATAGGTAAAGCAATTTAGAACTCGAGGAATTTTAGTGTCAATTTATTTATTTATTTTTTTTTAATATATTATACATTATATTTTATTAGCTTGTTATTTATTAAATGTAATTGTATAAACAAATTCCCCGAGAAAAAGTAATAAAACATTAACACCGTTATATCAAAACGATTTTGAAAGGTAACTAAAGTGTTTATAAGTTTAGATAAAGTAAAACAAAAACATAGCATGCTGTTTCTTTGCAGAAAATGTCGTCACTGAAAAGTAGAAACTATTTTGCTATTTCTGCGATTGTCGCATTGGTTGCATTTGGGCTAGGCATTATTGTTGGTGTATTCGGAATAAATAGATGTCCCAGCTCACCCTCGGTTGATGAGGACGTTGCCAGACAGATCAGGGATGAAGTGAAAGCATCAAAGATTGAAGAATATCTAAGGTATATAAGTAAATCTAATAACGTACTTATTTATTTTCGTAATTTGGCACAACATAAAATACCCAGCAGACTAATGCTATGTGAAATATGGACTAGTTATTGTGGTTTGGCGATTGGTGTACTGTCGATTTCATACACTTTTATTTATATTAAAAGCAATATCCCAGTGACTTTGAGAGAGTAAATCACATCAATTATTAGTCAGATAAATACGGGAAAATATATGAATTGGGTAGGGCAGCGTTTCTCAGACTTTTTTGCCGCGGAACTCCTACGCTTTTTATCATGCCTCGCGGAAAACCAAGAAAAATTGGAACGTATAGAATTGATAATAAAAAAATTACGTAATGGATTTTATTTAATTTGTGCATCAACTTGTACAACCGGCTTATCACAATATCTTTTGAGGCTTCCAGTTTTAAGCCAACAATCAATTAAGTAGGTTGGTTTCCAAAAAATGTATCCTATGGTAAAATTTGAAACTTTGCTGTAAACTTGACAATTGAAAATTTAGGCCGACGGTTAACGATATTGAACAGTTAACGAAAATATAGGGATTTCCATACTCGCAAGAGTCATGTCCGCCTGTTTAGATAGCATGGCCTGCTCGCATGTTTGTCTCCAGTTGGAAGACGAATTTACGACCCAGAGGCGCGGAAGTACGGCTGAGATCTCCATGGAGACCCATTTAGCAATTACGACCCCTGTCCCGAGGGACACTTCGAAGAAGGTCACGGAACAGCAGTGTTCCGCGTAACACAGTTTGAGAAACGCTATGCTAGGGACCAGTGATTCCAAAAGATAGCAATTTAAATCACAGTTTTGCTGAAAACTTTTTTTACAGTGGTGGAATTCAAATTTTTAAGAACGGATTAGTTTTCGTATCGAACTCTCTAACAACAGGTTCGATGACCCAAAAATAATGCCTGACATATAGCTCTATAAATGTACCGCATATTTACTAATTGTTTGTCACTACCTAAGCTACATTCACATGAAACGCTTCACATAAATAAAAAAGAACTAGTTCGCTCAATATCACGACAATCATAGAACATGCGAGCGAATCACCACTGCCTAACAACAAACGCATAAGAAACATCTGGTAGATTGTGGCAATATCTGAAAAGATGTAGCTTAAGTCTTGAAAACCAAATGTGTCAGCTATGTATGAATTTATGTAAGTTCTCGATAGGCTGGACAGTGGACATGACATCATTCGGGATTTTGGCTAAATTCTTGCTGCTTTGGTAGTTGCGGATGTTCAATTTAAACAAAACAACTCTGTTTCATTGAAAATATCTTCCTGAATGATATCACTTTTGTTTTTTATTTTTTCTGATCTCCTTGAGACCCAATTTAACTCAAATTCCTTCTAAATTTTAATGATAATATAAATAGTGTATCAACTAAAAGAATTCCGCTCACGTCTTATTCTGTTTACACCGAGGTACCTTCTCCATATTGATGTTGTACAGACTATATATAGTTGAGGTATATATATATATATATACCTAATAATATTCAGATAGATTGATGCGGATTAATATTTTTTATTATTCTTTTATTTACATCAGGTACTTGACGGAAGAGCCTCATATTGCCGGTCGAGATGTAGATGAAAAAAAACTTGTGGAATATATTAAACGAAACTGGGAAGATTCAGGCCTACATGTCGAAGTTCATCCATATGATGTGCTACTTTCTTATCCAAACCAAACTGACTCTAATCTGATATCAATCATTTTTCAGAACGGTTTGTATGATTCTCAAATTTATATATATATATAATTAAACCTGACAAGTGACAAAGACGGTATATTTTACTATTAATAAATATGTAATTATTTGTAATGCAATGGGCGAGTACGAACAAATATAGTGCAAAACTGCAAACAGATATAGTGCTCATAGAGGGATCACGATTTACTATAGGCCTACTGATTTACCTACTTGATTGACTTCCCAGATCTACACCTGGGTCGAAAACAGTAGATACTAGTTTACGCAGAGCGAAAAGCTCTCAGGGACAATCGTATCAAAGAAACCGCTTGGCGGGAGAAAACGCACAGAACGGTCGTTCACGGGAAAAAAACTATTAACGCATGTACTACAATGAATGACCCCTATTCGAGTTGAAAGACAAACAGAAGCCATTTTAATATCTATAAAACAAACAAAATTGGTCAGCAGTAGCCTACTCCTTGTAACCGCGTATCAGTGATCTGCTTAGGTACAACATAGACTCAGGAAATAAATATCAGACACGATGAAGTGACCCGAAAATTTTACATCAAAAGATAAAATGTATTCATTCGGTTACAGGTCTTTGTATGACGACCAGCTAGACAAAAAATTACTCAAACTCTGACAGGGAAACAGTTCTCAACGTCCGAACATCCAAACACGCGCAATCGCATTTGCTCCAGCAATATACATAATTGGTGTTGTAGTTCAAGTCTGTATGTGTTTGCAGTCCTTATTGATTATAATAATAGACATTGACGAAACTGGACATGATTGGTTAATTTTGTACTTTTTGAAAGCGTATTTATTGAATGACTATATAAGCTGTATTTTCAATTATACTTGTTGGAAATAGCGTTTCACAGAATGAATTTCTTCCCATCACAGGCACAGAAATGTACAAATCTCAGCCAAGTGAGAAGATTTTAGATGATTCTCAAATAAGCGACAAAGTTGTCAATCCGTTTAATGCCTATTCGGCAACCGGAGATGTAGAGGTCAGTGTTATCTTCATCAGAATAACAAATTTTACGATGATAACTTGACGATTACTTTCAAGCCTATAGAGTTTCATTGTCCATTGACCTTCCAGTTCTAACCAAAATATATCAACGATATTGAACGTTGTATTACTAAATGAATACTCGAAAGTGTTTCGTCTTCAAGTGCACACGACAATAGTAGGGCTGGGCATTTTCGAATACCTGATGATTTCAGAATCGAACCGAATATTTTTTCGACTCGAATCTCGAATACTTGGGAGTTAATGAGACGAAATGCCCAGCCCTAGACAATAGTAACCTGTTCAGCAGGCTATAAAATATTTTTGGCGGCTCTAATTATTTTGTTTGTCATATTTACTACATCATAATATAATAATTTAATTTCTGTGTCTTACCAAGCATTTACATTACATTCAAAGTTACTTTTTCTTTTTCTAGGGTCATCTTGTGTACGTCAATTATGCTAGAGTAGACGACTTCATTGAGCTTACGCGCGATTTAGGTGTTGATCCAGCTGGCCACGTATGCATCTCAAGATACGGCAGAATATTTCGAGGTTCTAAAGGTGAGGGACAATATAATTTTATTCTATAAAGTATTAGACATGTTGAAAGTTTTTTTGGAGCAAAGTTTATCAATGATACATGCGCGCAATATTTAACGTTTCATCAAAGCACATTAGGCTATACATGTTACTACTTTTACTGCCACCATTTAACACTTGTTTGCTGGAATGTCATAATATAAATATATTTTTTTCATTTAGTAATTGTTTTAAATTTCAGCTATGATAGCGCAAGAATACGGATGCACTGGTTTAATTTTGTACTCAGACCCAATAGATTACACTGTTCCCTGGTCTGGGGTATATCCAGAGGATTGGTATCTTCCTGGAACAGGTGCCCAGAGAGGAAATTTGCACATCGTCAAGGGAGATCCTTTGACTCCTCAATATCCCGCATTACGTAAGTATTTTGGGGAGCAAAAGTGAACAGTATTTTTTTAAATAAAAGCCCTGCATACAATCAACTGACATGAGAATACTCATGTGCTGAATAACTCAAATGGATTCACGTTTACACGTTCCAGACAAATATACTTTTAAACAGTTATCCTAAAATCGTCATGCCAGATATTTGTTTTAATAGCTACCGCTTGGAGATTGTATGAAAACGAGACCCAATTGCCGGTTATTCCTGTCACACCAATCGGGTATGATGACGCAGTGCAATACTTAGCAAGAATGGGTGGAAACAAGGTTCCTGATGACTGGAAAGGAGGATTGAATATAACTTATAACCTCGGCCCAGGTTTTGAAGGAGAATTAAATGATACAAGGCAAATATATAAATCATTTTTTTACTTTGGTGCTAAAAATTTATTCCTTTTCTCTGAGTCCAAAAGTTGAAAAATTTATAGTCTCAAAACGTACAATAATCTTACTTATCTAGTATATATGTAAAAACATGTAATGAATGAAAAATATCAAAATTCACAACCAAATTGTTGCGATCAGACACAGAATGTATAATAACAAAATTTGGTTTGCTCAGTTAGTATACGCACGAGTTTTTGCACCTACCAACGTTTCGTATTTGGATTTCAAATCAAGATTACGGTTTCGAGATATATCGAGTTTTTAATTTTACAAATAACATTATTGTATATTGTAAGTATTGAACTTATACAGTAAAGTATATACAATTAGGTTTATATTCAACTAAGTAGTAGATAGATAATAGTGGATAGCTTTAAACAGATACCAAGCCAAGCAGAAGAATCAATACAAATCGCTGCTGAATGAACATCAGTCCTAACTCGCAATGTAATAAATACTTCGTCAAAAAACAGCAATTCCACACCACCCATTATATATTATTGCATCAAGTATATATAATAAAAACTGCCCAAAAATACATATGTAGAAAGGTAAAAAAAAAACTTTAACCATGTAAATATAATTTTATTTTTTATTTTTCCAAGGTCACGTACACGATAACTTTGACGCTGTTCATACTGAAACGTACTCTTGTCACAACTATATATAATTAGATCCCAAATGTAGAATGTAGATAGATACAAAATGGCCATTTTGGTCATGCAATTTCTTCCACAAGTGATAGTCTGAGAGTGTGTCAAACTTATCTATAAAAAATGTTTCTTTTTGTAAATTTTCAATACGCTTTTGTTTTAGCAAGATAAAAATGCACGTAACAACGAAAAATGAAAGAGCGGTTGCGCATAATATTTTTGGATACATAAAGGGAGATATTGAGCCGGGTAAGATTAACATTCTCATAAAATTCCACGTCCATACAATTTTGTTTTCATTTTGAGTTGTGCAAGAGAGGTTTTGCCTTACATCGACCATACCAATTTAACATCAACTAATTTTACAAATTACCAAATCAAGCTAAATTCCGCTTTAACTTATATATATATTGCAATATTTTTAAATTTTATTAGACCGTTATGTACTGATCGGTAGCCACCGTGATGCGTGGGTATTTGGAGCCATTGATCCGTCGTCATCGATGGCTACGTTGATAGAATTGGCTCGAGCAATGGGCGTTGCAGTAAAAAATGGATGGAAACCAAGGCGAACAATTGTGTTTTGTAGTTGGGGAGCTGAAGAATATGGACTATTAGGATCAACAGAATGGGTTGAGGTAAGACGAAGTTGAAAAGATGCTAAATTTACAAAATTGTTTGTTATGGGATACATTGTTATATGTGATCCAAAAAACATCTGAATAATGCGGTTTTCGTGTATTACAAGATTAGTGCGGAAACCTGGCGTAATTACCCAAAAGTGAGGGAAAGATTCAGTTATAAAATTTCACCTCAAGGTCACCTTTGTGCGGTTTCTCATTTCTTCCTCAAGGTGAAATTTCTGAAATTCCCCCTTATCAAGACAACGTATTTCTGAAGTTATTAACCGCATTGTCTGAAGTCACATGTCAACCGCTGAATAATGACATCTACGTCACAAGTACACCGAACCTATACATAACTCGTGGAGCGGCTGGTCGTTTGCAACCTTCCCATCAGTGCTCTTTCCAAGATTGGTTAAGGCTTTTCAACCTAACTTTAATCAACACATATGATGAAAAAATGAGTAGGTATACTCTGGATATGCGTAGATTGAATCTTCTCGATTAAACATTGCAATAAATTTATGTGTTGACTCCAGCATTGTTTAAAAGTTCCTACTATCTAAAACTAGGAAGAAACGTAATATTATTTTTGTCATATATGGGCCATAAATATTACTAATGTTAAAGAGTACAGTATTGTTAAATATTTACCAGAAAGATTAAACGCCTATATATTATGTTGATTCGTTTTTTCCCTGCAACAGGAGTTTCAAAAGTTACTGTCATCGAGAGCGGTGGCATACTTGAACGTTGACTCGGTAGCTGTTGGAAATTATACATTGAATGTGAAGTCGACACCAAACATGAACGAACTTATTTACGAGTCAACCAAGTTTATAAAAACGCCTCATCCGAGTGAGATTGAAGCAAACCGAAATACAATGTACGATACATGGGCATTTAGAAGTTCTGAAACCAACGATGTTCCCCCACCGTAAGTATGAGGGGTGTTGCATATTTTGTGATGTCTTGGTATTGCAGTCACCAGTACAGAAATATTACAGTTTATTTTACGACAAACCTGGACGTCAGTAAAACACAGCTTAACGCGAGGCACTCCAAAACATAAGAATGAATAACAAAGACGCAGACAAGTAAAAGCAATGAATAATTACGGGAAAACAAGTATAGCATCATAATTATAAATCTAGTCTGGTGGAAAACCTCAGCCTATGACGCAAATACAAAACACCTCTCTCACTTTAGGAAGAATTACTCAAGTTTAAATAACCATCAGTTCAAAATGTCTAATTTCAATACCACTGTAAATTTAATCTGTGCGGCTCCCTATTTCTGAAAGGATTACGTCTGGGCATATATAATGTTGCTGTGGCTGTTGCTGCTGTAAAATTGTGTACCTTCACGGTTCTTTACATCTTCGACAAGGTTCGTTTTGCAAACGTGCCTTATGTTGTAATGAATATGGTCAACCTGTGCGACCACTTCATCCGTGCTGCAGTGAAGGATCACGTTTCGGTGCCCCAGAAGTATGTGCACCAAGATGGCGGACACCGGAACGTAGTGTGTGTACCAGGTTAGGGTTAGGCCACAATTTCAGATACTACTTTGGGTAAATACTACGAGAGTCACTTGGCCAGTCCCCGAACTCGTAATGAAACTAAAATAAGGAAAATTGGTATAAAAATCATGAATTAACCCTAACCTGGTACACATACCACGTTCCAGTGTCCGCTATTTTGGTGCACATACTTCTGGAGGTCCCACTTTTCTGTTTAGCCATGTTCATATCGCAGATGTAACAAATGAAAGACTCTTCTCATAGAACACAGTTTTTCTAAACATTATTTTTTAGTATACCGACGCTCGGATCTGGTAGCGATTTCACACCGTTTGTTCAAGTCACTGGAATCTCATCAATGGATTGTTCGTACACTTACGACGAAGTAAACAACTTTTCGATAGCATACTTCACCCTGCCCTAATCTATGTGCCCTAATCTAAAAACTATAATTAGATAACTGGCCGCAGATAGTAGGCGCAGCAGTAAAACTAACACAAATGCTTTTAAATACTTTGGCGCTCTTTTGTAGACAACAAGTCTCATTATAGCTAAACTCATTTTTTAAGAGAATTTCCCTTTTCGTCACAAATTAAAATATTTGTGCGGAATTTTGCTAAGGCAGAAGGGACTGCATATGTGGTATGTGGCTATTGTGCAGTGGTATAGTGATCAGTTACTACATTGATGAGTAGAATATTAATTGCAATTTTTTTTTTGCGTGATACCACAAACTTGTATAAAGCACCAAAGTTTTATGTCTTTCTTAAGATATCAATAATAGTTAATTCAAATCATTTTTAGTCAATCAACATACGATCATATCCTGTGTATCACTCCGTGTACGAAACATTTGATCTGTACAAAAAATTCGTCGATCCGGATTTCAGCATAAGTAGGGCCGTTACTCAGATGATGGGAGAAATTGCTCGTCGACTTTCTGATTACCGAATTTTGCCCTTCAATTGCAAGGATTATGCTGCAAAACTTTGGGAAGATAAGGCCTCTTTTGCAGATGCCTACAAACCTCTCCTGGACAGTCACGGTATCGACCTAAGTGGGTTGGAAATAATGTCATATTTTTTATGTTTACTCAATCGCTCACTCACTCATATAAGTACCCTCAAGAATGTGTTACACTAGCACCCTTAATTTGAAATTCAACATCAATGGTGAACCTGTTTCCGGGATTGATATCGTGTACTAACCCTACCCTAACTACTCGTGTACTAAATTGCTCAGTAAATGCACAGACAATCAGACACACGCAGACATTGGCTTGACCAAGATTCGGCTTCGTATTATTTTAATTTGACATTTTTTAATATCCGCCGTTGGCATTCATCTGCTGATTGCCATGCATATACAAAGTTCTTCGATGATTATATGTGATAAAAGTATGCTTTCAAAATGATAGTTTTACAACTACAAAAGAAAAATAATATTGACAAAATCCTTCATTTCAGACGAATTCGACTACGCGCTGAGTAACTTCACTTCTGCTGCTGAAGATATTCATAAAAGAATTGAAAATCTTGATGCAACAAAGTAAGATGTGGAAATATTGTAATTTAAATATTTGAGTGTTCCTATTTATTGACTTTTTATATTATCTAATATCAACGCTCAAACAAACGTTTTGCGGTGTATCATGTTGTTTCTAAAATTTCCTTTTCCATTTGCTTTTCATATATCATTATCTATATGTAGGAACAAATCGTCTTTAATTTGTGTATTGAAGTACCGTAATGGAATGGCGAATACAATTTGACTGACTAACCTACTGAACATGTGTATGTGTGTGACAGGCATGAGTAAACACTTGACACTGGATATCGCTTTAATTACAATATAATATTATAAATTTATTCATCCGACTATTCTAACTTACTTTCTGCCTACCTACTGGCACTGGTAGCAAATGGGAATTGGCTGCATGTTATGCTTGTCTACAGCTATCGTGTCATTTTATTTAACAGCCTGTTTCATTCGAAAAAAAAATGATAAAAATTTATAACACTTCCATTTGATTCACATCCATCTGTTTTCAGTGAAATAAAACTTCGATCCATAAACGATCAACTGATGCAGCTTGACCGGGCATTCATAGATATGAATGGAATAGGGGAAAGAATCAATTTCAGGTATTTTGTAAATTGTAAAAACCAGGATAGTGGTGCGTCGCATTTGAGACACCGGTACAAATTTTATACGCGTTTTAATAGTACGTTCATAGAATTCACGCGAGCACATATTTTATTTTTCCACATTCAGGCATGTCATATATGCACCGAGTCTACACGACACTTATGCTAGTTCCGCATTTCCGGGGCTTGTCGACTCCCTATTCGACATTGAAGCAGATCCAGAACAAACTAAACGATGGAGAGAAGTGAGTGATGAATAAATTCTGGTTTAATAAGTATGAATTACAAGAAATTGATTTACATCTGAGTTTTGACCGGTTTTCCACAAAATAGGTCGTGTATGAAATTGACAAGTCGAGTAGTAAGCAAGTTATTAGTTGTTTCTGATGTATGATCTTGCGTAACCGACCAGCGGTTAAGTGAAACACCCCGAGGCATTCCGACATGCCTTATTGATAGAAAACAAGCATGTAGATTCTTTGTTAATTCTATTTGTATTGACCTACGTGCTGTTGACGTGTGTCGCAATGAAGGATATTTTATTCTGCTTGTTTCCAAATGTTTTTCAAGATGACTAAAGTCTATAAATTTCAGTTTAAGCTTGAGCATTTGAAATATTCAGTAGCATGATTTAAAAATATGGCTAAAATAGCTGTTGACATCGTTTTCAGGTTGAACGACAATATTCGATTCTTCTATATCACATTGGATCTGCTGCTTCAACATTGCGAGAAGTTATTCCTGTCAAAGGATATTCTAACTATTGAGAAAAAGAAATAATAAACTTAAAATAGAAACTGTATTCTGAACCGCTTTTAAAATGCCATGAAGTCAAAACCAGTTCCAAATTTGAAAAAGTTGAACTAATTGGCCGAGCTGCATGCTTTTGCATAATTTCTACCGGTAATAAATGATTCAGAGATTGAAAGTTATGGAAATTGCAATAAAATATTATGCAGTGTGAGTATCTATTCTATTGTATGGATTATTACCTCCATTTTTCAGCAATCCCTCATGCAAAACCCAGTTAGGAGCATATATATATTTAAAGAAATTGCTTCTACAGAGCCTGGTTAATCAGAGTTTCGGTAATCATCCCAGTAGAAGATTGCACATAGCTCATTTTATAGTGTATGTGTAGATGAACACCAACTTCCTTTTTAGTAGTTTCCTATACCTGGAGTTTAGTCTATAAAAAACTCAATGTTATTGTATATATATCGTATGATGCTTTAATCGTTTAGTGTATTATCAATATGATACTAACAAAGAAAAACTGTTCCCAAAATCACAACAAGAGTCGAACTTTCCCAAGCCGAGTTTTAGCGTATAAGTTGAACTGTCGTTTGTTCATACATTCGTGCAAGTGTACATACTTGTTTGTGGATTAGTGGAATTTACGTTACATTTCCTAAGCTCGTGTTGCGGCAATTCGACATCAATAAAATTTGTTTAAAAGCAACGGTTGCTTATTGATAAAATGTGACATTGCTTTAAGATTCGAACAGAGTGGCATGCAGAAATACGCTTCTAGCTACTTTGAGAATCCCACGCTGTATTTTGTATTTCATTATCTGAGTTGTAGCACAGTATGCATACTATGTAGCTTTTCCAAGTTGTGAAATGCTTCCAAAGTATAAGATTAGGTATATTGGACTACTAGGGAGATTCAAACAGGTTTTTAGACTGAGACTACTGTATCTGGTTTTTAAGTCGCGCGGAAGAGGCGAACCGAGCGCCGGACATGTTGACGAATTCTCACAAGACTTTTATCACGAAAGGCAAAGAAATATAATGGGTGTTTTATCGACCCTTGACCCCCAACAAATTCATCATATACTTCACTATGGCAAAATTTTGTATGCTTATTTCGAGAATATTTTGGAGAGTTGCTCTTCATAAACGGGTGTACATGTTCAAAATCATTATTTTTATTAAAACCGCGTGACGCTTATAGGTACTGACAGCTAATTTTGGCCTAGTTTCTCGCAGCATTTGCGGGATAAATTTTTGAATATTGCAACTAAACTCAAACTCCCCTGAGAACATAATGACAATTAACTTATTTGATTTACAACTACTTTTCGAAAACACAACTGGCAAATAACACGAAAAAACAACGAAAACGAGGCAGTGTTCACAACCATGCTCAAATATATGTCTGAGCGAAAAAAGTGTCTGAGCGCCAGTAAGCGGCACATAAATTTCAATTGTTACGTCCTATTGACTTATTGCTGATTGGCCATTCTTACGGAAATAAATAAGAAAATCGATGCTCGGGGAAACATTCGTGATAATGAAAATTGAATCAAGCTACCTTCCCTCAACTTTGGGTCTCAAGACTTTAACCCTAGTTTGCGAAAAGCTCACGGGCGTACGTTTTCAGAGAGGCAGAAACTGTACAATTACTATATCCCCCGACTCCCCATTCCATACACCCACTGTCATTGAACTTTGCTCTTTAACTCTTTAGCGTTGTTAATATTATCTTCAGTAATTATCCAGTCAGATAAGAATGTGGCTGAAAATATTTCTGTGTTTGGTTGTCATTGCCGGAGTTTTCACTTCCCCCCATGAAACAGGATGCGGTTGCACAACAACAACAACATGCAATGGTTCTCCAAATGATGGATGCGAGGCAGTATCGAGGCCGGGGAAGCGTGGGCCAGTAGGGCCTCAAGGTCCAAAAGGAAACAAGGGGGAACCAAGAGGAATCGACCAAAATAGAATAAGAAGATTGGAGAAGGAAATTGAGGAATTGAAAGAGTTCAAATGTATGTTATGCTGTCCACTTTTGGAAAAAAACTAAAACATTGCTTGTTTGACTATACTCTAACCTAAAAACGAATTCTTCCAACTCGAACATGTCTGATGATGCGTGAACTAGCACAGTGATATTCGTTCGAAATAAGCCTTGGAATAACCTTTAATGTAGTTCAGGGTGTGACTATCACATTTTCATAAATTATAGTTTCACAGAAACAGCGTAATACACATTTCGTTGATCGAACTGTCTGCCCAAAAGTGCTGAAATAGTATACTATATATATATATCTACATGGATTACGACAAGTTGCGAATTTTGCATGAAGAGTTGAGTAAATCATAATTGCTTACCAATGAAATTCTTACCCGACTAGGCGACTAGTATTGAGTTTGAATTTATTGCTGCAGATATGGCCGACCTCTATTTCTCATTCCCGAAAACATGTGCTGAATATATCGCGAAGGAAACTGAATACCGTCGCTTCGAAAGAGTTCCAATCTACCCAAGTACAGTGAACGATAGAAGTATCATGATGATGGCTAATTGCACCAAGCTACCTGTACTTATTAATCCAAGGGTAATTGTTATATATATTGTCACTCTATCTATTACCTCCCACTTTGAAACTGTTATTGCCTGTTTAATAAATAAATTTCCTGTTAACGTATATAATTCAAATTCCGATTGCTGTTTCGTCATTGTATCAATCGGAGATGACAGCTGAAGTTGCCCAAGTTTGAAATCAGTAGAATTAATACGAGCATTGCGATCGATTTGGTCGGGACAGTTTAGCATACCCTACTTGAAAACAAGAGTTGAAAATTATCCATTGCCAAATTTATTTACCGAAATATATACCGAATGATCCAATTTAATCTAATACATAGTATTTACATTCATAATACTAGAAGAGTTCTCCCGCGTTGGAAGTTCCCATCAATAGCCTACTAGGAAGAACATTGATTTTGAAAGCTACACCTACAGCTGGGAGTAATAGGTAAGAACGATGGGGTTGCTTCTACGATGGAGTTTGGCGCAATGGTGTGATGCGGTGGTTCTCAACCTTTTGTTCTAATTTTTTCCGTAAAACAAGATGTAGGCTTTACCGTATTGAAACTTAAAAACTCAATTTGCTAGTAAGATGTTCGACATGAGCAGGGCTGGATTAACCATTAGACAAAATAAGCACGTGCTTAGGGCACCGAGGTAAAAGCGGGCAGCCGGGCACCACAGAAATTTTTGTAGACGAATTTCCTATCGGTGTTTAATCAAATAATTCGAGTTGGTCAGACGATCCAGGCCTCAATATTGGCCGACTTATAAATATTTGCGTACTTTCCTTTCTGAAGTGTAATGAATTATAATTTGGCTTTCAATACTAAATATTTATTTACCATATTCAAATTCAGATAACATGGAACACTCGTTTCACTAGTAATATCATTTATATATAAGGCCTCGAGAAGGCATAATCCAGCCCTTGACATGAGTCGTCTACGTTTTTTCACAGCCTGAAATGTCAACATAATTTCAAAATGTACATATTCCAATAAAACTAGACTTGAACAGACTGGTGTCAATCGATAACATTGCCAGTATAATCCTAGCTTCAAGGACTTTGCTCAAGTAGAAAACCATTAGAAAGTAATGGCGTTTTTGTTATTTTAAGATTCTCGGTGAATTTCAAAACCTCCTTGGATTTGCCTCGTCATTATTTTCACCTAGTTGCAGATATGACAGGACGTTATATCGCACGAAATGATTATGTTACGAAATGGAATACAGAAGAAAAAGATCTCAGCATACCATTTCCTTTCAAAATCGGAGAACGCTTTACGGTAAGTTTTCAGTGATTGGATTAACTGACAAAGGTTCTGTCCCAAACTTGTGAACTGATTTTAAAGCCAGAGTCCTTAGGTTACCCCAACGTTAAAAAATCTCTATTTGATTTTATTGTAGTTTTCTAAGATATGCATAATACAATGATTACTCTCTCACGACTAATCTCGCTTAAAAAAATTGCAAGCTGTTTATATACGACGTATATTATACGTCAATCAAACTGCGAATTATTATTCGGATTTCCGGGCCGTGACTTCCCTGATGAACAGTTAGGCTGCTGAGAGCGGCCCTGTCCAGTATCGAGCCTGATTTTTCATTTTATATTTAACACAAACCATATAATGCCACTGTACAAAAGAAACGGATTTTAAATGATATTTAGATGCTGATTACCACCGACGAGAATGGATTTAATGTGGAGCTGAATGGAAATAAATTGCTCTCCTTCAAACACAGGCAACGTCCTTACAGTGGAATTGGTCTTGTTGTTATTGGGGGTTTATCTGTTCAATATATGTCATTCAACTAAGATATGTCTAAGCTTCATTTCTATTGGAGACATTTTGTCACTGCTTATTTTTGGGTGAAAGTAAACACCTTTGAAATTTTCAATATATGTAGAATATACATGAATATTGCATAAGAGTGGAAGTGTAATTCCCATTCCATGTATAATCGTTTATTTTGCATTGTGTTTAAATTCTGTTATCGATTCTCGATTTCACATCATTTACATTCGGTATTAAATGTTAGACACAAACTTGAAATAATTTTTCACTCACAATTTCAATAAATACGTTTTTTTTTATTATTGACGAACGCGTTTTCATTAATATTGGAGTGTATTTTTAAACTATTCCGAGTCGAGGACACAATTTAAATTTCCTGAGAGACGAAACTCAAGCCTTCAAATAGAGGTATTTGAAGTCAAATTTCGGACGGAAATTAAAAGAGGATGAATGAGCAGTTACCAAAATCTACTTTTCGTGGATTTGACCTGGATTCGAAATTTCTTTCAATCAGGAGTACGGAGTCGTTTTTAGGACCGAGAAACTTTCAAGTTTAATAAAATTTCACCAAAACTCTGCAGCCCAATGCGTTACATTATGAAGTAAAAGATATTCGCAAACGTTTACATTCGCTTATGCCTTATGGGAATGAATTTCGCATTCAATACACTAAGATGGTAACGAAAAAATATATTATGTGAAATAACATAATGACCAGGTTTGATCCAGAAAAGATCAAAGAACTTTCAAATAGCAATCATTATCTCTAATGCTCAAAAAATAATCAGGATAGTACGGAATATTTAAAAAATATTGTGCGCGCTGATATTCTCGGATGTTCGGATATATTGCAGAGCTATTCACAATGTGTATAACCCCAATCTCTAGATCGCTGGTCCACATTTTCAACTCTTTGCAATACAAGACAAATGACAATTTCAATGTATTAAAGTTTTCAATATTCCTTCCAAACTATATAGTATATATTGATAAAAAATTGAAAACTAAGGCAACAGAACTACAGTGACATAATATAAATAACACGCTATTTCAAAGTGACTGGATAACAGATAGGTAAAATTATAAGAATAAACGGCAGACAAGACAGAGTGCATCAGAACCTATGTACAACAAACAGAAACCAGGCTGTTCCTGTTAAAATAACATTCCACATTTTTAATAAACAAAAGTAGAAGAACAGTGTTGTAAACTAAAAATCTCTATTTTTCCAAAATGAATTTAATAAATAGAGAAAAGTTAATTGAATCTGACAGTAATAATGTGATAGCTCATCTTGAAAAATAATTTTGTATAAAACAGAGGAACGAATTACGCTACCCTTCATGAAGTACGGTAACTGACAATCAATTACATAAGCTTTATCAAAATTATTTGACACAAACAAAAATACAGTCAGGGGCTTGGTAATGTGTGACTACACACGGCTTAGATATACCGGTGATAGATCACAAAATGAAACACAATTACAGAATAAACTGTAGTCATCTAAAAGCAGTGTGATTCAGAACACACAGAAACACAATAAATATAAATAAATGTTATTCTGATACTTTACTCTTTATTATACAAGGCATGTCAAGTCATTTTTCCAACCAGTAAAATAAAAATCAATCTACCCAAATTGCATGAAAATGATAATTACACAGTTTTACTGGGACGGGAAGCCACTCGAAGCCCAAACTAGTTATCAAGCAATGACACCCAAGGATATATATCTACGGTAATTTAAAAAAATCTAATATGAAACGATATAACATTTAAAAATAAACAGATGCACAAAGGTATCAAGGTGATAACAGAACATGGGTCAAAGCTTGACAGTCATGTCTAAAGATTTGGGCATTCTATAGATCTATTTTCATTTAATTATTTTGGATATTTTTAAGAGTTTCGAAGCAAGCAAAATCATGATGTATATTAAATTGCAAAGAGGTTCAATTCAGAACAGTATTAGCTTGAACTAACTAGTTCAGATCCAACATTTAAATCTAAAGAATGCTTCCAAGTCAGGATCATCAATGCTTTTTCTATGAACACCGGCATATACACTTTTCAACAATTTAGTTTTGAACTTGTTGTTTAAAACTTCCATATATTTGTCCAAGACACCTGCAATAATTGAATCAATAATATTTTTTTATATAAAATTATGGAAAACATTTTAAGAACTGCAGATACATCAAAACTTTTAATCAAAAGTATTTTGAACTGGCTTTTCATTCTATATTCCCTATATCAGGGCTACTCACAACTGGCGGACCGCGGTCCGAATCCGGACCTTTCGGGTATTCGATTCGGACCGCGCCTTATTCTTTATTTTGGATCATTAGCCCCACTTTTGAAGTTTTCTCTTATAAAATCACTTTTATAGATTTAAATATATATGAAAAGAACTATAACGCCATAATTAACAATCTTGAATAGTTAATATTCATTAGTCTGTTGAGGAAGTGTGTTTAGGGATGCCGAAATATAACTTCTGAAAAGACCGCCCCTAAATATTTTTGAAGTTTTGCATGTGGATCTTCGGTAAAAATAGTTGAGTAGCCCTGCCCTATATCACTAAAATCACAAGGATTCTAATACAATGAAATGAGTGAAAACAGTTTGCGCCAACAAACAGCAAACAGAATCTTTCCACATTGGCAAATGATTATTCCTATGTTATATCAAAACCTTAGTCTAAATTCAAATTCTGCTTTTGTTTGATCAACATTTTGAAACTCAGCAGTAGACATAAATATAATTTTACAGAATATGACAAAACTTGAGCAATGTATTGTTGGATTAAAAGAAACCAATATATGGCTCAAGAACTGATAAAACATTGTTTATAAATATTTTGTGCAATGCTTACAGATTGGATATTTGTTGTCATAAAAAATCGGGGACGACAAATTCTTTTGCAAATGGTGAAATTTTCTACATTTCGTGATCTAACCTGTCTAAGGTTGAGAAGATATTTTTAAATAGCGAGTAATTATTGCATCTTGTCCAGAATTCATTTACCAGGTTAATAGAAATACAGGAAACACAGAATTTTGTTACACTATTTTCTACTGATTGTATTCCATATATAAACTTAAGCAGTAGTCATACCTATTCCCATGACTCTACCCCATGCTACCATATGTTCACACAATCTATCATCATCAAATTTTTCATGTTTCATTAAAATATGAACGATCTCTCCACTAAGATAAGCATCGTCAAAAGATCCTTCTTCACCACTCTTTGGAAATCTAGAAAAAGGCACCATTTTTTCTAAATCTTTCGGTTAGGCATTGACAACAGTATGTGGACTATTATTATAGTATAATGCCAAATAATACTTGAACCACTGGAGAGCAAACAACAGGGATAACATTTGGATTTTTGATATGCTCAGGACTATCTTGAACATTTTCTTGAACTGCAGAATCATGAGTTGAATTATATTTTTGCACGAACTTTGAATTAATATAGTTGTTGAGTGCTTATACGGCTGATGCCGATAATAATAATCACAACAGCATACCTGCAGTAAACATCGACTGCGGAAAGAGGGTCAGTTTTCATCAGGATTTCCGCGAGTTCGATGTAGGCATCATGAACCTTTCGAAAAATATGAACATAAGTGATAACATAAGTCAACTTAAAAGTATATATGTATTGCTTCAATCATGAATCTTTATGTCTCTGATGTTGCCTGCAACTCCCAGTATTATACATGAATTCAAATATTGCATTTCAACCACTTCTATAGTATGTGCTGTTTCATATGCATTATATAAATAATAAAAATACCTAAATACATTGCTACAACTGTCTGCTGTCCACTGAATTTTCAAGCGAAAAACATTCTGTTCAAATTATGATCATTTTTTATACAATACATTTCAATATAAAGTCTTCTTTTTCAAAAAACAAAAAATCACAAACCTCAGGGGCCATTTTTATAACTTCTTCATATTTATCTTTGGCATCTTTGATTGTATCTTCAGTTCTTGTTAATGCTCTCGCAAGCCCAAGTCTTGCATGATGAGTTACACGATTTATAGAAGCAGGCCTATCTGATTTATTCACAGTTGATGTTGGAGAAGCAGGTTTTGACTCCTGTTTATGTAATTTTACATTAAAAAATAGGAATGCTACATCTTAATAAATATCTACATGTTCATTTTAGAACGAAGTGAAATGACGAGACTGGCAGTCACTGGTATCAAAAAATAAAAGTGTCCACCTAGTAGTGCTAGAAGTCCTAAACTCTGAGTCATCAGAATCTCAAGGCCCAAAGTAGAGTCAGTCGTTGAGTAAGTCTCACTGGCAGTTAATTGATGATGAGTCTGAGGCATTCCACTTAAGTGATTCGAGTCACCATTTATCCTTAAGTGACTTGACAATGACTTAAGCCACCCCAACACTGCTGCCCAGTGAGGACTATCTTGTTCTTCACAGTTTAGAACAAGAAGCATCATGTTAGGAATTTTTTAAACAAAAAAAATAAGCATTGATCAACAAAGCTGTCAATGCTGCAAATAAAAGAGAGCGAGACAATAATAAAATACATACATAATATACATACCTCAGCATTCTTGGCTGGTGCTGGTTTATCACATTTCGTATTCGAAGAAGCCGCTGTGGGGGTTGTCACTCCTCCCCTTCCTCCACGAGCCCCTCTTGCAGAAGCAGTGGCCCCTGCTCTACCTCTTGCAGCAGGGGTGCCACGTGCTGCAGGAGCACCCCTGGCAGGAGCTGCTCTTGCACGTGCTGGTACACCACGAGCCTGACCACGAGGTGCACCTCTTCCCCGAGGTCCTCCAGCTGCCGCGCCTGTAGGGGTAGTTTTCTCAGCTGGCTTATTTTTTGCTTTTTCCGCAGCAATGCGATCTTGCCACCATTTTTGATCTGAAAATATTTGATTAATTATAAAGGATTTCCCAGAATCACTCATCAGTCATATAAGCTTGCCTAAGTAGAACTGAATTTTTCAAGTTAGGCATACTGCACAGTTAGCATATCATGTATGCCAGGGTTTCCCAAAGGTTTTGGACCACAGACCCCTGTTTGTGAATATTAATTTCTGTGCTTAACTAACGAAGAAGGATAAGGTTTCCTTTGACGAAATGAAACCAATGAAGGTCTGGATCAATTGGATCAATACATACGTTGAAGACTGGCAGGTTATCGGCAATTCGATGAGATTATGATCTATTTGTATATGTTCCAGACTTTTTTTATATCTCTGCAGAGATATAATTAGCCTTTCAGTTGGCTAAAATATGCCGGCAACGCTGTATCTTCCCTACTGTATGTATTCGCTGAACAGCGTTTATGGATGTTTCCCCAAGCATCAGTTTCCTTTATTATTTCCGTATTTATAACCAATCAGCAATAATGACGCAACACGTAATAATTGCAATTTCTGCACTCAGCCGCTATGACACTTCTGTCGCTCAAACAGATATTCAAGCATGGTTGCAAACATTGTCTCGTTTTTGTAGTTTTGAGTGATATTTGTCAGCTTTCAGTTGTGTTTCAAGAAAATAATAGTGAATTGATTAACTACTTAATTGTCCTTATGTCTTCCGCGGAGCTTTACTTTAGTTGCAGTGATCGAAATTGAATCTCGCAAATGCTGCGATGGACAACGCTAAACTTAGCATAATCAGTACCTGCAAACGGCACATGGTTGATTAATTTTAATAAAAATTATGGTTTCAAACACGTAAACCAGTTTATATGCGCCAACATACCAAAACACTCTCAGAATAAGCATACAGTTTGCAGTAGTAAAGTATAAGAAAAATTTGTCCGAGGTCAATGGTCGGGGAAACGTCCATAGCTCTGGTGCGCTATCCGTCCTTGTCTTTAGAGATCGCCCTCGCCCGCTATTGCCCACCTTAAATGGATCAATATGGGCATGATTTTGTTTGTTTTGCATGTTACGCCACAAAGGATGTAGTGCCACATTATAAAATACACACATTACATGTTTCTTGTGTCTTTTTCCCCGAGCCAAAAAAGAAGCTTTGTCGGTGGTACGCGGCCATAGTAAAAAAACAGTAAAGTGGTACGCGGTCAGTAAAAGATTGAGATGATTATTGTGAATATGTTGCTGGGCTGCTAGTCCATTTATATGGAATGTTCAACTCTATATCTATTCCCATATCTGAGCTGAACTGGTAACAGGAATAGATGGCATGTCCACAATATGTCTTATCAGTGTTCAGTGTATTTATCAGTACCCCCCTATGAATCATAATGAAAATCTTATCTTGATCTTTGAACCTCCTCAAGACAAATATAAGAGTTGTCTTATTAAATAAATTAAGTTACTTGAAATCTCATCTGGGGCGTTCCCTGATGCTGGTTTGCCTTCTAATGAAATACTGGAATGAAAACTCAATCTGCAATCTTTGAGAGATCGTTCACCAAACTCTGACTTGGGGTCATTGTCATAACGAGCCAACTGAGATACTCCAAGAAGATATAGAGAACGACTACTACATGGCTGAATGGTGACTAGTTTTTGACAAACCTATGAATAACAAAAGAAGTTTCTATAGTTCACAAGTTATTGGAATAGATATATTCAAAATGATGTGATTGGCTGAATATGAACATCAGATGAAAACTTCATGGCAATTTACAAACTTAAGTTATTGCAGGTTTACCTAGTGAACATTTTTCTTACAAAATCATATTATTTTGTTGGTTATTTGGAAGCCATTACACAAAATTTTAATATAAAAAAACAAATCCTATAGAGCCTACAGAAATTATTGAAATAAATAAAAGTATGAAAGATTCTACCATACTAATTCCCAATTTATTTTATAAAACTTGAGTCTACAACAGACATATTATCTGTACCTTTTCTTGCAGTTGTAGCAAATCGTCATTCTGTGGAATGGTTACATTTCTGATAAGTGCAGACAAATAATTGCATCTCTTGGAAATCAATTCTTCATCAATAGATGCTGGTGGTTGCTTCATCAATAGTTCTAACAAACTGTAGTGACAATCGAGCACCAACCATTCCAACTGTACAAAAATAATATTGTGACAAATAATTTTGGTGGCTCCAAACTCAAATATCAAATGAGTTAGAAGTCGAAGAATTTATAACAGGGTTTCCTAACAGAGGAAAAATTTCACATTTTTTGGGTAGAATAATTTACTTTGTATTTGTGTGTTGTATTTCTAATATTCTTTACTTATTTAGTAACATTGTAACTGGTAAGACATATTTATGCAGAAATTATAAATGTGAATTGTGTGTATCACTATCTAATGATACATGAGCCATTAAAGATTGAATATCAAACGAAAACAGAGTTTTTAAGTAAGGAATAAAAGATTTCAAAACAAGTAAATGGAGGAAATTATAAAAAAAAGGTTCAGAACCATTGGCATATCATATTTAATATAAACTTACAATACCCATATTGTATAAATGAATTAGTATGTGCAGATCAAAAATACTTAATTGACTGGAATTTGGAATTTATCACCCAAGAGAATCTCGATAAAAACACTATAAAATATGAAAAGAACTTTATCATGCAAAGCAGTTCAATATTTTGATCAAGATTTTAAAACAAAAAATCTGACCTGCTTGAAAATATCATTCCGTGCATGGAAAGTTGTGAGAGCAACAGATGCATGCAAACATATACTGTAAACATGAAAGTAACATGCAAAACAATAAATGAGTTTCAATAATGAAGGAATACAATGTTGAAATCACAGAATAAAGAGTGAGTAGTGTGATATTTTCATATCAAAGCTTCATGTTCATGGTGTAATCATTTTACCTTTACATATAAACAAAATATGGTATAATTTTTCAGTACATTTGCTCATTAAAAACATATAAATAATAATTCTTCGTCGCGTAGAATGCAGAGTTATCCAAATTGTAAGAAATTGCAAATTTACCAATCAAGTATTACACAGGCAATGAAATATATCCCAATTTAACAGAGTTTCTCCAATAAGATGACATGCACTTGCTCCACTAGAGACACTATATTTCATATATGTACTAACCAATGGTAAATTTCCTTTGCTGTGCAAAAAAATCCTGTTTGCGGATTCTTTTCCAAATATTGTGCAAAAATATACATTCCTCGTAAGATGTGTACATTGAAAATACTCCATGGATCTTCACAACCAAGGTTCGTATTGCTGGTAGCTGTAATATTCGTAATATAACAATAATGGAAATTTTAAAAACATTATCACAAGACTGAAAAAGTCGACCAATACTTATTATTGGACAATGCTTGTATCATGATCACAGACACATACCTAATAATGCTTCAGTAAGGCAATGGGGAAAGGGACCATGGCAACCAGATTTCGGTTGAAACTTAATCATTAAACTGTCGTGGATCGAGGGAAATTTTTTAAAAGCATGTTTAAACACTTTGCTCAAAACAAGGCTCATGATAAACTATTTTGAAATGACCGGTATATTCCGATTCACCATTGCCCACCAACTTTATTACATCCTGGGTGAAGATGGAACGACAGGGTTTCGAACCTGAGATGTCATCACAGTTAAGTCTGACACTTTAAAAACACTAGGCAACCACTAAACCATAACTGAAATATTCGACAATTTCCTCGGAAAAATGTATATCTGCAAACGAACCTTTCGCTGAAGCCTCTTCCAGCCTCACAAGCATTAAATGTTCTAATCCATCATGCATGTAACCCAAAGCTTCTTTTTCTCTTGGACCAGGTCCTCCTTCTTGTGTTAGGAGTGTGAGACCAAGATAAAACCGACCGATTACACTTGTCGGTTTAAGTCCCACAGCCTGTTGAAGTCTTGGTATTGCTTCCTTGTGATTTTCTTGTGCTAACATCATACGACCAACATGAAGATTATATGTGTGATCATTTGGGTTTGTAGCAAGTGCATCAAGATATTTCAAATATGCTTGTCCTAACGGATTGCTGTCATCAGATGCATTCTGGGCTGTTTGGCCACCCTGACATAGAATATACAAATTTGTAATTTCTAATATTGCATTTGGAAAAAAACAGAGAAATATTTTTTTTTACAAAACGATAAAACGACAATAAGTGAGTACAGGTTATGGAGTTTTCATTTAGATGTTTTAATTGATATTTTCTTAGTCTTATTTTCAAAGTCGGGGGGGTTTGGAGTTAGAGCCAGTATATTCAATCAATATATTTCTATTGGTTAATGATATTCACACCTTCGAGTTATAAAAGTAAACATATCACTTACATCTGATTACAATTACATCAAATTACATTTAATTGATTTTTCAATTATTCAATATCATATTAGTTGATAGTTCGCCAGTCACGAACATGTTTAATTTGACTAATAAATACATATTATTATCATACATGATGTCTTTGCTCTCAACAAGCAGCCACCGATATGCAGAAAAAACTGGGATTTTAAAAAGGATTTTTCTGTTTCAGTATGCAATATTCAAATCAGGATAACGTGGAAAAGTGTGGAGCTCGAACTCCAAATTACCGATGTGATAAAACGATTTTTGTCTGGCAGTAGAGTAGTCTGAATTGAGTTACAGTCTGAGACTGCCTCGCTAATCGCACTTCATTTATGCTACCAGGGGGCACATTCCAACCATTGCCTTAGTCCACATGTCAGTGCCATGAGCACATCTTCCATATTGAACCAGAAGGTAGTTTTCTTGTTAACCCAATCACTGCATTGTGCACAGGCCCATCTAGGACTACAGAGTGGTTCTGTCTCAGACCTTCCCAGGGTTAAGAAGTGAGTTTCCCTCAAAACCCGAAAGCGAGCTTACCACCAGACACCAAAACCTTTACAAGATATGTAATTATACTATACCAAAACAACTAACCTACCATTTATGGTGATCGAAGATATACAAGTGCAAACCAAAACAAGGTAACCTTCCTACTTAGATGCATATCGAGTTGTATAATCTACTATTTGTGGTGGTTGGCTATATCAAGAAACCTGAATATACCTTGACTGCTTGCTTCGACTTCCAACTGTACAGAGCCATAACATAATCAGCTTTGGAAGATAGACCTCGATCCAAAAGACTGTGGTATTCATCATCTATTGCCTTTAGTTGTAAAGATAACGGCGCACCGGGCCCCACTCCCTTCATTTTGCAAATTGCTTGAATGTCATCTTCCTTTGAACTTTCCTTTGCAGCCATGTCAGTGCCGGCTGCTTCATCTTCTTCCTAAAATTTAATCACATACCCCTATAGTGCTGCTAACAAACGAATAGAAATTGACCAGAGAGGAAAGGCGCCACCCGACCTCTCGCCCGGGTACTAGTTCGAGTTGGGTATGTGATTAGTGACTTCAGTTATCTGAAGCCGTAACCGATTAGCGGCCAGGAGGCCAGGATCCTATAACACACAATCATCTTCCACAGGATTTGAACCTGTAAACCCACATAAGTGCAATGGTAAGCCTTTTCCTAATGTTTAGCAAAGTGCACCAACCGCTAAACAGCTAATGATTTTGGAAGGACCAAAATCTGTTCCAGTTGGAAATTGCTTACCCAATTCATTACAACTTGAGTGAGGACTTGGGGGCATTGAGTTTGCACTCAAGACCGTTAATCAAGTCCATGCTTCCAAAAACAAATAACTGGGTAACCGATCCCATACCCGACATGGACTGGTAATCGACTGTGAGGCCGTGGTTCACCATATGAATAAGCCGTCTTATTGACTTTCCTCTCCCCGGGATAAATATGTAAATTCTATCTTATCCTGCTGAAGCAACATATTTAGAAATAAATACGAAAATCCTATTTTATCAACAACAAGCATATTCTGAAGTTCTGTCTTTTAACAAGAAATCACCTTTTTCTCAAGCCCATACATTTCTTGCAAATAATATTGCTCTTCCAATACAAATCCTAATCTTAGATGAAGATTTGCATCTTTAGATTTTCCTTTGATTGCGGCAGCATAGCAAACAGATGCTTGATGCAAATAATCAACAGGAGATTCACCATTTGCATATCTCATTATATCACCTGAATAGGAGAGAATATTTAAAAATTTCCATTACATTATAAAATATTGGGCTACATGACCAACATGCTGCTACATTTACGAATTAATATAAAATACTCAAAATCAGGCATAGCAATGAATTTGCCTCAATTGGTATTTACTAACGCAAAATTCTACATTATATTTCTTTGAAGTCTCAAAAGCTCTTGGCATTTCAGCATTTGCCGGTACCTCCAGTCAGATATCAATCTCATTAATATATGTGCGAGTATGTGTGACCTTGCCTTGAGAAAATTCCTCTAAAAACTGCTGGGGAGAATTTTAAAATATAAAACCATTTCGATATCAATATTCCTTGTAAATGGTCTAATTCATAATATTATAAATGGTATTAAAATAAATGGTATAACATGAAAAAATTGTATTAAAATTAGATATATTGAAAGAATGCCACACTTACCCATCTTCTTAGGTAGTGCTTGCCTGTATTTTTTGATGTAGGTTTCTGCTGACTTAATGAGTTTATCAACATTCGAATCTGCTGCCATATGCTGAAGACGTTTCTCCCAGTTTCGTACCTGTTAATGACACACATTAATGAACTGGTATTTCCAATGATTTTCTTAAGCTCAGCCTAAAGTAAGAATAGGATTTTGCGCTCATTCGCAAACTTCAAGAAGCCAACTATTTTCTCAATTTTCCAAGAAAAATGAATGTATTTTACGAAACATAAGGTGGCAATAAATTCACTTAGATTGGGTTTTTATTCATATATACAAGGGGCATTAGGATACAAGGTGCAACGTTTTTTAAAGCAATATCATACTGGTTTTGAGTATAGGATTAGGCTATGAAACACAATAGATTCATACATTAGACGCACCGGCTTATAAGGCGCATAATCGATTTTTTAGAAAAAGGGGATTTGAAGTGTGCTTAATGGTCTGTAAAATACGGTAAGAATAGTCTTTCTAAACTTCAATGCCAGAAATTAATTTAAAAGGCTATTCAAATATCATTTACTTTATATATTATCATTACTCACTAACCTGAATAGTGTGTTTAACACCAGATGCTGATGAAGCTGACGAACCTTCAAATTCTGCTTTATACCAGTCAGAACCGGTCACTACTGCTTGATCAAGTTCAGATTTTGGTTTGTGCTCACTTTTAATAGCATGGTCTGCCATTTTACCAAGTGAAATTTCATCCTTGCAACCTATAAAATAACAAGATAATCAACTTACATCAGGTTTTTGATAAAAAATTGTCTTAAAAACTATGCAGATGAAACACACACACAATATACCAGATTACGGATATTCCCGAATTCCGGATAGAGTTTGGGAGTACTATGGCGCATCATAGCACATGATAACCCCTTTACTTAAATAGAAATCTATAGTTAGAAATGTACACATCCATTTTCTAAAAATTCAGTATTTTGTCTACTATGATACAACTTTCACTAATTGCATCAAAGAGATACCTTGAAAAAAAATCCTCAGCCTACCTTTATAACTGTATAACGACAATGCCAGACAGCCAGTGATATCTTTATCAATATCATATTCAATACATCTCCAATCTGGTTCCAAATTTGTTTCATCAAGTGGATTAACCTTTGATCTTAAAAAAATGGTCAATAAATGTTGTAGATTAGAGATTTCTTATTTAACTAATGACTAATGGTCAATCCATTTCTCAGCTGAATTCTACCATATCATGCAAGTGTGAGAAATAATGTGGCATATTGCGAGCAAATGAAATTTAGTCTCTCCAAAGTCAATAGACCTCTATGTCTACTAATTAACTGCTTATACAGGTCCCAGGGCCTTGTTTAGCAATAAAAGAAAGGATACTATTTACATATTTATCCCAGGGAGTGGAAAGTTGCTCAGACGACTCAATCATATGGCGAACCACGGCCTCTCGTCCAATTGTCGGGTATGTGATCAGTTTGCCAATTATTTGTTTCAGATGCTTGGAATTGATGGTGGAGTAAGCCCTGATCGACCAGTGGTTATGTGAACCACCTTACGGCGGCGAGAAGTCCAGCAATCCCCTTGCACATATTTATTCTCCACAAGACTCGAACCTGCGAACCCACACTAGGTAATCATATGAAATTTGCTGGAATGAGCATTTCAACTTGAATATTTATATATGCCTGTATGATTTTTGTACAGAAACTTGTTCACAAGCAAACATCAAATACACAAAAATCAGACATTATAAAACTTTTTACCTTCTAGTAAACATGTCCATACAATGTTGTGATATTACAGCTTTTGGTTCACTTCCATTAATAGATACAGGGCAGTAGAGGGGTGACAATGTCATAGGACATTCATACTTCAAAGCAGTCTTTTTATCTTTGATGAACATTGGCCACAAAAGTTGCTTTCTCACAACAGATATAACATAATCCTTGAAAAAATGACATTTATGCATAAATGTCATTTTTTAATATAAATTTCTATTTAAACTGAGTTTGACTGAAAAATTTCACCGGAGAAATCATTCCACGAAACCCTTTTCAAATTTCGCAGAGTGGAACGTTAATCATTTTAATATTCTGTTCAAAAGTAGGACAAACTTTTTTACAAACTGCTCACATTAAATATTTGTTGAATGTTTACAATTTTGTCATTTAGTACAAAATAGTTCTCTTTTGACACAGTAAAATGAAATGCACAGATGAGATGCTAATTTTAAATTGATTTATATTTTTATATTCAATACTTAACACAGCCTAATAGTGTTGCGCAGTATCTTCAGATAAATACAAGTTTATAGTATATTCCAGAATGCTTTCAGCAAAAATGCCTCCAGCACATTTATCTTTCTTGGTTTATAAACCCATTCTCATATATATTTTATTGAAGATTAAATCGATAGCCTTGTTTTGAACGTTTGAAACATACGAATGCTTCCTCAGAAAACGCCTTTTCCAAATCACGATAAGTTATGAGAAATTAAGAACGACGCAAGAATATATAGTTTCAATACCTTTGTATTTTTTCCATCAACTGACTTCACACTGACAATAGTCTTGGTTTCTCCTACATTTAATATAACAGGAGTATCGACCGGTTGTCCATCTACTAATATTTCACATTGTTTATCGGGTGCTGTTGCTTTCACTATTACCTGCTCAGCTGTACATGGCACTTTACCTGTATTTTGTATAGGAATATTGATTAATTGAAACATGTATGAGGTAGGATTTACATATTTATTCCAGGAGAGAGAAAAGTTGATAAGACGACTTAATCATGTGATGAACCACGGTCTCTCCACCAGTTACCAGTCAATTTCGGAAGCTGTAACTGGCCAGCGTTGACGCGAATCACCCTACGGCAACGAGGAGACCAGGAATCCTCTCACACATAATTGTCCCAAGTGGGATTCGAACCTGCGCAACCCCACAAGATAATCGTAGATGCGGTGGCGGGCGTATTCCTAGGCATTTGAAACAAAGGCAGTATGAAATATGTCAAACCTTGAAAAGTTATATTAGAATGTTGATATTATGGTAGATGCTAGATAATAAATTTGTGTTTGTCTTGTGTATTGTCATTTTTTTTCCCTGACGGAATTTAATATTAATTATCTATCTTATCTATCATATACTATTACAATTAGACCATAGTGTGGGAAGGAAATATGAAGTGATCAATTATAATCAGCAAAATTATAATCAGTACAAGCTGATATTAGAAACTCACATAAATACTCCGTTTCATCCAGGCTAAATTGAGGTTCAAGAACTCCTTCTGATAATGCAAGTGTAGAAAGAATTGCATCCGATGCAGACAAACGTTTAATACTGAGAACATAATTCTGAATTGTTCCATCTTCTGCTGTAACTTCAATCTTGATTTCATTGATTGTTCCTTCTATCAGTGGTATAACTTTTTCCCCACCTGATCCCTGGAACCATGAAAAGATGATACATTGTTTAAAATAATAAATTATTTATTGTGTATAATCGTTCAGCGAGATAAAAGTTTGGTACCTCAAGTACTTCTAGTGGCATAGCATAACGATTCTTGCACATGTCAATTTTAACCCCCACCTGAATACGCCATCCAAAATTTATGTCACTACAACATCAAAATCACATCATAGAGCTTGCCAAAGTAATGACATTCTTCTTTCATATCAGAATCGCTGTTACCAGAAAAAGAGAGAAATAGTCTGCTCGCTTTCAGGTACCGGTAATTGTCTTCATGTATTGGTTAACAGTTCGTATAGCTTGAAGGGCCCTATTACTACGACGTCACACTGATTTTCCGATTTTGGATGAGACAGTCAGGTGGGGGTTAGGATTGACATATACAAATATTGTTATGCTACGCCCACTAGAAGTACTCAAGGTACAAAACTACACTAGACTCGTACAAAACTACACTAGACCCAAAGTTTGGTTAAAACAGTAATAACCTACCGATACGGTAGACTATATCTGTATATGGAGTGACTCTATGAAACTATTTACAGATGAACTTAATTGATTATCCTGAAGCTGCATTACCACATTGTGGACTACTGATTTGCATTACCATGCTGCCATGTGGGGCTGCATGTCTGGCAGTGCAAGTGATAGAATGATGCAACCTTACATTCAGAGCAATATTTTTCTCATACATTGATGGATTGAAGTTCAAAATACTGAAATATAAACTAGTCTAAATTAATTCATAAAAATACACTTACAATTATTTGATAGGATGCACCACTGTCACTTGTCAAACAATCAACTTTGACCTTCTCTACATTGCTTGGCACAGTTGATGAATATTCCAAAACTTTTCTATTGAATTTCGGCAAAAGTTTTGCGGGAGCAACCGAGAGCTTTTCCAAATCGCAATCGTCCATTATAAATCCTACCTTTGCAACTAAGATAGGCACACTTCGTGAACAGATAGGAATACGGGAATGTGAGCTGTACGGTATATTGCAGAATGTCTATAGCTGTATAGCAAGTTGACAGTATACCGGTATTTCGTATTGAGAAGTCAGGCGAACCCGTCACTTCAATCTAAATCTACACCAGCGTCTGTAGTTACCAGTGCCGACGTGCTGCAAAAGCGACATCAATCGACCGACCGAAGGGGGATACAGGGGTGGGCACGGTTTTTGAACCAGGGGCAATAGATATTTACCACCTGGACCGGCGGGTCATGTAAGCGTGATGTAAAATGTTACATCTTATGAACAATATTTACAGTGTTGAAAATGAAAAAGTGGAAAACGATAAGTCTTGCGCCAAAACTAAATTCAACGCAATCTCAACAAATTCTCTGAGTTTTTTTTAGCTAAATCATCAAAATTAGGTTTTAGTTTGGTTTTGGCAGCATCAGGAGAGTCAGATTAAAATACCCATTGGGCCGGGTTTGGCCTGCGTGCCGTAGTTTGCCCATGTCAATAATAGAATAATTAAAATTTGCAAGTTCGCATTCAAAAATTTGAAGGTTCCCTAATCGCGTAAATCGTGTAACACTAAGGTGACCATACGTCCTCCTTTTAGAGGGTTTGCCCTCCTCTTTCGTTAAAAATTTTATGTCTTCCTTTTTCAACGGATTAAATATTTAAAATTCTTTTACAACATATTCAACATTTTTTGACGGGTTAATAAAATTTTGAAGTAAGCAATGCATTGAGATACCATATATGTCGATAAATACCTTAATAAACCCCGAATACAAAATAGGTTGAAAATACTTTAGTTAGGTTGTTATGACAAACCTAGGGATTTTAAGTTATTGCGTGGGCAACACCTCATTCTTAATCTACTAATAAATTGTAGCTCAGTTTTACGAACCGGGCGTATGTAGGAAATAAGTGTATATAAATTGATATAAAAAGCAACTAGGCGCCCAGTTTTAAATCATACAGTGGAATTGGGGTCCTTCCTTATTAACGGCACATGGACTTTTGGCACGGGTATAAATTCTGACTGTTTGTCGTCAAGTACGAGTGTCATTTAGTCCGTCGACATCGATAAACTAAATTCTGACACAATTATCCCACTACACAGGTATTAATTTTAATTCTGCTTAACTATACGATTTCTTTATAGATATATTGACTTGACCGCCTAGCCCTAGACTGTCTCAAAATATATTTACTTACGACTTATTGCGTCGACGATTACGATTAGCCACTAAATAAAATATTTGTAAAATGCTTTTAATTTGAACGTAGGACGGCGACGCTAGAATGTGTGGGTGATATTCGATATTCTTTTAAACACGAATAACGATATTCGAAGCTCGCGATATTAACATTAAATTCAAATTGGACATCCCGGCCTTTGAGTTTTCTAATTGAACACCGAGATTACTAGCGTTACTGTACAATGTATCTTAATCAGTTACAACATATATGGATACCAAACATTAATTTCATATTATGTGATATATATTTTTTTTAAATCTGAAATATTGTGTACTATGAACAACGCTCAAAGACCATTGTTTTAACCCGTCTGCCCTACACAGCATACCTAATTAAGTAATAATTACATAGTATCGGTATCGGAATATCGGTAAAATCGGCGTTTTTGTAGTATCGGCGTATCGGTATCGGCGTTTTTAGCTGGTATCGGATCGGTATCGGTATCGGCGACAAAAGTGGTATCGGTACATCTCTAATATATATACAGTCAATGTTCAGAACAGAATGAACGAAATCTAAACTAAAGTTTAATAACAAAATATTTTTGCTGAAATATTAATATCATTCTGTCTGGTTAATGTCATAATTGACCTGAATGAACCGAACCATAAAACCCATTTTCCGCTCCCAAATATAAAAAATTATCCTACGTTATTGATGCTTTAGTATTTTTTTTTTATCAGTAACTTAAGCAGTGTGAATTTTGTGTCCCTATCATAGTAAATCGTTGGCGTAATTATTCATCGTAATTCCTTGTTGCTGAAGCCTTTACCAATCAAAACTGAAAAAGTAGCCAAATGATTTTATCAAATTTAATGCTTAAAAATTCAACAATTATACTTTGTCAAAAATGGGTGTCAATTGTTTAAACGTAATATATATTACAAATCTTAGAAAAAAGGAGAGATATGGAATTTAGATCACACGATAACTGTTTTGGGATCGACAGAGTCTTTGCAAAATGGCATCAACCTTTGCTTCCAATCAGAAAATGAGCAGATAATTGAAACTATGTTTACATTTATATCGATAGTGTAAACTAAACTATAAATTTCACCAGTTGGCCTCTCAACCAGCGACGCCACGGTTGCCATAACAATATCGCTCAGCATGCATACCAGCGCTGTGATCAAAATTCTTCGAAAAAGTGGTTTCAAAGAGGCTGAAGTCCGATGAAGGTTCGATTCTTGCATTTTCTTTTCGTGGTTGCACAAAGGGTAAACAAATAATCCGACTAGTATTGACTGAAATGTTACAGTCGAGGTAGCAAGGACAGACCATTTTACGATTGCCCAATCATTTGATTCTCCAAATTCGCATGTGTAGCTGCTAGTTTCATTGTAGTCAATCCCGAGAAAGATGAAGAAGACAAAATTCAAAATAATCGCTATAATCATTAAACCCAGTGTCAGCCAACTTAAAACATTGATTAATGGCGATGCTAAAACGAGCATAACCTTGTGTCTGTACAGGAGCCTTTGTCTTCTCCATAGTATCAAGTATACGAGAGCGAGGCATAAGGCCGCAAGCCCGATGTTCATGCTCATTGATACGCTGCAGGAAATCTCTATCCAAAAGTCAAGGATAAGTCGTAAAATACTAGATATGATGCAAAGAACTAACATTCTGTCAATGAATTTTGTTCCCCCAGATTTCCGTTCAGTTTCATTATTAGTGGCTTTGCCCTTTTGCTTATTTTTCTCTTTTATCCAATAAACTCCAAGGGCAATCAGCAAATAAAGAGTAAACGCGAGAAATATAGCAGTCATAACGTAACAAAAGACCCATTCAAAATAGCTAGCTGTCGGTGGAATATATCCCGTCACATTTCTTCGAATTAAATTCACCGTTGACGTGGTGTTTTGCAAATAATCACCTGTTTTATTCCCACTCATCTTAAAATTTTGTAGCCATTTCTTATACAAAGCTTAGAAATCGAATCAAATAATTAATATCTACAAATATGTATTATTGAACAAGGAGAAAAGACTTGTAGTTCAGTACACATCCCCCTAGTACACCCTGTATTATTATACTTTCAAAAGAGAACCCGCTTCCGGGTAAGCCACATTTATAATGACCACGCTCATTCCGTTTTATCATACAAAATATTTACCAGTAATTATCACTATTATACCTCTGGTATCAATCATTCCAAAACACAATATTTTCATTGATCGTCGCGTTCACTGAAGTTGCCAGCAAAAAATCGATGTCTAATGCGAGACGTCGCACGACTTCCTGAGAAACTAACTTGCGTCTTCACACATTGTTAAATGCAAGGTACGCACATAACGGCTTCGTCAAGACACGATCAACTACAAAGTTCGCATAAAGAATATATGCATTGTAATAAAGCAAAGCCAAATCTCCCAAACAGTCATTTCCCCTTTAACAATACGTTAAAAGTATTACTTTTGCTGGAAACTGAAAAGGGTAAATTATCTTTTGTCTGCTTTTCACCAATTCAAGCAGACGACACATTGAATTACCATTATTATTTTGTTAGTTAGTGATGTTAGCACAACTCATAAAAAAAAAACTAAGCGGTGGACAACAATGTCGTTTTTTCTAAAATATTGTGATGAAATTTTTGGAAGGTATTGATAATGTTCATTGACTTTAATGAATTTCTAGTGCCAGAAAAAGTATACTTTATTCTTATATGATTTAAATCACTCTTACATGTATATCAAGAAAGAACATTTGGCAAAAACATACCTTGATTGACAACTCTCGCTAAAAGGTTCATTCAATTGATCTATCAGTTTTCTGCTAAGTCACGAAATAGTAATTTTCGGCATATGGCGACACTGGTTGCCATTGACATGTAATGTGACTCAAAGAATCTTGTTTATTAGAAATATTGTTCAAAACACATAGACAATTTTGCTTTTCAGTGTTTCATATTTAAATGCTTGGAAAAATGGAAGTAACTGCCAAACATTGGTGTATGATAAAATAACATAATATACTTACTGCGTGAATACTGTTGACAAGTGTGCGGCGCTATTGTGCCGATTTCGATTAAAATACTAAAAATGCTTTATTTTGCACTGAAGGAAATATTTGAAAATAATGCTTTTTCGCTAAATATATACCCACGAATAAGTTAAAAGTAATACGTCCAAATTCTGAAACAGTATTAGACACCTGACGTATCTAATCTAAAATTATCGCTGTCAAGTTTTTCTTGTTTCTACAGGTATTCGGTGCATTTCATGCAATTCAGTACATGGGTATGATGCACCTGCTTATCTAAATAAGTTGTAGTTTATTTTTAGAAACTACTGGCAAGTTGTAATTCAATTACAACTTTCGTCACTGTTTCTTGACTAGAACCGCATTACATCACCTATTAAAATACCTCCGGCACCGGCAAACCGCACATATTTGAAAAGTTAGCTTATCAATATCCGGTTACATTACCTGACATAACTAGAAGGCAGATATCTTGTTGTACGTGAGTTCTGTATTGTAATTCTGGAAATTTGAATTGTGTGTTCTAGTTGATTATGGTAAACCATCTGCGACGTATATTGCTGATTCAGATATATATAGCCAAATTTGTAGATGAATATTGGCGACGAAGTATACAATGAAAATTGTTGCCATACGCCTGGAAAATTTGATAAATTTCGAACGGATATGCAAGATAAGTAATATTCATGAGAATATATGCGAGGTTTACGTACGAACGATATAACTGTAATCAGAGAATAATGGCGCGCCGTTTTTTCGTAAACGTGATATGGGTATAAAATATGTCGCTCGAAACAACACGTTTTATCTCGTACAGGGACGATCTCGACTTGAATGCATTACCGTTGCGCAAGACTGTGTTGCTTTGGTGTTTGGAAATGTTTACAGAGATATTGGCTTAACGTGATTCTATCTACGGCAGTAATCTATTTATAAGATAACTTAGAAAAACAGCGTATTTTCTTTCCAAAATGTTCCTGGTACACTTCGAGTCTAGCAGATGAATCATGGATAAACAATAAGTTCAAGCCTTGGCCCACATTTTTTTCAAAAGGAAAATTTTATATCGTATAGCAGTTGTAAAAAATTTCAACTCTAACCACGTGTCATAGCCATGATTAAAAACGTTAAATACACCGAATTCTATGAATTGCAATAACTTTGAAATGTAAGTAGACTTAATGTATTTTTGCCATACATACCAGACCAACATCTGCGAATAAGGAGAGAAAGCACTCGCTTCTGTAGCAATAAAGTTCAGCCATCGATCATAGAGTAATCAACAAAAATGAAGATTAATTATTTCTTGGCAAATATTGGGAGCCGGATATTGAATGGTCAGTATTAGGTCAACAATAATAATCCCACGCCCTTGCAATAGCTATAGAAATGCTATTTGCAAGGTTTTCGATATTATAAAACGCGAAAAATGTAGTGAAATACATTTGAGTATATGGTGGAAAATAGAAAGACTAATATTCATTTCCCAATAGCAAAAACTTTACTGTGAGGTGAGTTTCTGAATACAATTAAAATATATTCGTTCAATGTCATCAGAAAAACCAGAGTAGTGGAATGGATTTTCATGGATTTATTTTAACATTTCACGATAAATGCATTTTGCTTGTTGCGGATAATTGATCCGCATATAGTAACATGCCAATTTGAGGCATTTCAAAATAACGTTTTTTAGTCATTCTTGACCTTTGCGAAGTTGGAGGCAATTTCCCACGAGAGAATGAGAGTGACCGAAGCTTTCACGAGGCAACAAAAGTGATAAGGTACACAATTTCCGATTTACTTTAAAAAGCGAATTGCTCCGGCGCTAAATACAGCCAAGCCAGTATTGCGATCAAGAGACTGATCCGTTCAGGTTGAAAATCTGGAATGCCTGTTTGAGAGCAATAATGACCGGGAGCTACCTTCTCTTCCCCCGTGGGAAATATGACTGACCGCCGATCATGCTTCGTTTGATGGGATTCTGACAATTTTTCAATATGTTCATGTTCATCATTATTCGGACAACATTTGCTGGATCGATAGAGTCAGCAGGAAATAGGCACGCGTTCGGGAGGCTCCAAATACACATCATTGCATACTGGAGTAATGACGTTTCGGTATATATAATTATTCAATACCGATACTATTCAAGAGAAAGACTACAAAATGAGCTGGAATCATTTCTTGATATGTTATAGCACGAAGAAAAAAGAAAGAATAAAGGTACTATTGAAAGTTGTGCGTCGGTGTAGCGCATCCCATTACAAAATGAAATTGCGCGAAAACTTTTGCTTAATATTTGTCGAACGTCCGCTTTTTTGGTTCAGTGAATGTAAAAATCGCATCGCAAAAGTTATAGGAATTAGGTATGATATGGTTCGCTTACGCTAGTTCCGCCGATGGCAGATATCTATTCTTAGATCACACAGCTCTATAAATATGGGTTATGGCTGAAAATGAGCATCATTTTTGAGAGATAATATCAGATTTGTGAATCTATATAACCAAGGTGACGAGTTCATGGCTTCTGCTTCTATTTTCTTAGTGTCTTTTATAATGGTTCGTAGTCATTCATACTCGGGAAAAATGCACATCGCCCACGGACAATGTGAGTTTTGGTGTCGCGAGTTCTTGGGTAATTTGTTGGCACGCAATGACAAAAACACCTGCGCGCGACACTGGAAACGATAGATTATAGAGATTAATTGTTACGCCATAAAAGTGTGATTGTATGCTTTCGTTCATCGCGCGCGTGAGAATGCTTTGACCTGTGTTAGGAAAAGTATGGGTAAGCGTATATTATAATTCCAGTTAAAAATGTTTGGAGACGAAGGATGGCTAAATATAATAAGTTATGGTATCCGGGTTTCGAATATACAAAAGGTATTATCTTATGTTGCATTTAAAGCACGCTGTAAAGGAGCTTTGTCCGCTTTCTTATCTGGGTGGCAGAGTTTATTGTTGAAATCACTTTGAAATTCTTAGAAATAAGTACATTTGATGGTGTATTTAACGTTTTTGTTTATTGTTCACAGGCAATCGGGTTAATAGTTACGACCTTGCGGGTGGCATATTTACGGTTTATGGCTAAGGAGTCATTTCTATTGTGTCGCCCGTCCAATTGCGGTGCACTTGGCGGTTAATGTGGAGAAAGTTAACGAGCACGGCCATCGAGAACTCTCAAGCTAATGAAGTTTTTTTGTGATTTATACTTTCGGCAATGTGGAAGTATTTCATTTGTTTTGAAAAGTTCTCGCTACCAGCCGTAGAACTCAATTTGAACGAGTGCTGTTTGGTTTCATCTGTACAGTCGAGGTTAGTGACACTGTAGCCTACGTACTGTGATGTATATTGTCTTCAAAAGATGGGGATCAATTACGAACGCGAGGAAAGGCTACCATAGTCGTAGTTTATGAATGGACAATGCTGAAAAATTCGGGCAATAATACCTCTCATACAAATAAGATTGAAGTTCTAGCGAAGCAAGGTAACTTTTAGCAACAAGCAAAATGAATTCAGATTTTAGTGGTATTATAATGGTATACGTTTAGTGAAACGGTTCAAATTGTCTTCCTTGTTTTAAATAATTTGATGCCTATTTATCGACGATTCGTGACTGAATTCCTGAACATGACATGGTCGTTTTCATAATCTTTGTGAAAGATTACACGGCTCCAATCCAGTAATCTTTAATAGGATTAGGGCGATTACGAGAAGGTCTTATGGCATCTACAGCTATGTCGGAAATTGCCGTCAAAAATCACAAAAGAAGATTCGTCATAAGTTATTACCTTATTAAGTTTGAAATCCTCTTCCAGCTGAACAAAAATTTTATTTGGGAGACAACGGACATCGATGTTTTTTACTTAAACAATACTTTGAAGTTCCGTAACTCGGCTTGGGAATTTGTTTTTGATTTCGCACGAAGATCAGATAATTTTTGATTAATTTTATACGGGCATAATTTGATCAACCGCAAAATTATTGAAATGTGGCTTTTTGTGTCAGCGAAGAGCAATTTTAAAATTATTAAATATAATATACGTTGGGTAATTAATTTCACTTTCCTCAAATACGAATAAAATAATTGTATATGATTGCGACTGCTTGATAATGATAAACACATAATTAGCAAACAACAAAAGTGGTGTCCATGTGAAATTGCTCGCTTCGCATAGTTAGCCAAACAACTTAGATACATCGGAAGTGGAGCGCATACGACGAGGGTTTGCTGTATCAAATTTTTATGATACGTGTATTCATTTGTATCAAAGTTCATCAAATGTATATAATGTTTATGATTTATGTTCTCTCATAGAATTAATATGTACTTGAAGTTTATGTTAACCCTTTTCAATATTTTTCGGAGTTTGCTATTTAAATTACGACATTCGCGTCGATAATTTATGGTAATTCAGTTACTAGAACATAGTATTTACACGAAGCACATAGAGCAGCACATTTTAATTCACAAATCATTTCTATGTTACTAACATTCTTTGGCAACAGTATTTAACCGCCCCACCTTGAAAGATGGTCATATTTGTATAGTTTCACCACTGTAACAGTCTTCTTATTTTGACCGCCCCAGTATTGATTTCTCGAGTCAAATAGACCGCGGACGAAATTATTCGCTGACGAAGTTTACTTTCCTTCGGGTGATTCATTTTCACTCGCTTGCACGCACTTTGCCGGCATAACTCAAATTCCTAACCGATAGGCGATCATAAAAGACGTTGTAATGATGATGTAATCTCTCGGTTATGAGAATGAAACGGAATACTGCAGAAACAAATTTCGTCATAGTTAAAAGGAGAAGTTCGTGTGTCTTTAGTCAATAGAACAAAATATTTCCGTCGTCAAGTGTATAATATATATAGAGTGCTCCAGGAATTTAGCCCAAAAGGAAAATTTAGTCGCGCTGCATTTAACGGTAACTCATTTAGCCACAAAAGTTGAAACGGGAACGACGCTCGCCGACGAGATGCATTTCGTTGGCGTGCCATTCTCGGCAGAGAGAATTTTCACAATATGAGAAGAATATTTTATAAAGTTCTGAAGTTATGCGTAAGGTTTAATTACTCCTCGTTCTAATGCTTGTCGTGAGCTCTATGGGCTTGTTGATGCTGTTTTAGAGAGAGAGCGTTGAAAGGTTGAGATACCTTATTATGGGTGCAACCGATATATAAATGCCAATCTCGAGGCAGCGGCACTGTATAACCCCTTGAAGCAATGACTTTATTTATATGAATGCTATGCGTTAGGTTTAAGGGAGGTAACGTGAATTAATTTTAGCGGCAATGCAGATTCCAGATCAGATTGTAAAATAAATAAAATGACATCGTCCTTGGTTCTATATGGAAATAAAGCATCTATCGATGAGCGGTTATATCCAGTTACCAAGTCGTATTTTAATTATATAATAAATCAACTTACAACATCTTAATGAAGCTTGCCACGCTTAACCGAATGTAGAATTCAAATATCACATGGTTGGAGATATTTACTCAATTGATAA